ACCTTGCTCTTCCTTTCTGTGAGACGTAAAAGATCCTCACATCTCCTTTCCTCTTGAACGAACCTCGAGGCCGTCTGCAATCTCAACACTTGTCTTTGTAGGGGACAACTTTGAGATAAATTGGTCTTCCCTTGGGGTGATATGGACGGAAGCACAGCTGTCGAGATACCATTGTGGAGGGGCTGTTACTTTTGTGTTCGGAAGCAAGTAGGTAGATCTCTCAGATTCACTACCACTGTCTTCAAGGATCCTGACCGCGTTTGCCTTTTCTTTGCTATCCATGGCCTCTCTCGCCTTCGCTTTTTCAGAGGCTAGCCAGGTCTTCCCTGCTTTGTTCGATATCGCGTATCGCTTAACGAGGGACTGATAAATTGCTCGTGGATCGGTGAGATGGTTGACTGAGTTCTTGTGGATCTGGTCAATACTCTGTCGTATTTTCATTCTCGCAAGAGAGACATTTTTAATGTCCGCAGCATTCTCTCCTGGCATTGATAAATCTGACGATTCCGCTGTTGCCATACCGGTGACGCAGCTCATAAGATCGTCACTCAACAAGTTATCTTCAAGATCCATCTTCCAGCTGTCAAAGGTCTCTTCCATCAAGGATGGTTCCTTTGTAGTCTTTCTTGCCCATAGTGCCGGGTCTTTGCTGTCAACCGTCGATTCTTGACGAAAAGTGTTCTCATATGCCGAGTTCAATCGTGCAGTGGAAGCAAAATAAAAGCAACCGGGTGCATAACCTGTTGCGATTGAACTTGCTTCTATTCAATTCTGTCTGACAGCTCTCAACATATATATACATAGTGGCACGTCCGTGCCACTATCCAGTGACTCACCACTTGTAAGTGCTGCCTAAACATGTCTTGGTCCATGTCTCATACCAAGTCAACAGGGAGAAACTCTGGGCGATTGAAGCAATACTGGACTCGAAACGCACAAAACAGAAAGGCTTCCAGTACCATATACTATGGAGAGGCTTCGACCTTGAGCAGGCAACATGGGAACCACTACAGAACGTCGTCAACGCTCACATCGCCATCAGAGACTTCGAGAAGCACAGCAAAACAAACCCAGACCCACGAAACAAGAAGTGCAAAATGCTCGCCTACAGGCTCAGCAAGACGTGGAAGAATCAGAAGCGATGGAGTAAGGGAGGCCCATGTGTGAGGGAACGATCATGTGACTTTCATACTTATGAAATGTCTCACTTTGATTCATGTAAATAGCGAAAGTCAGAGTCTTCCTTAGGAACCTCCTTCTCTCTTCGTAGACAATCACTTTACCCAAGTCGCACCCGACCTTGTTCGTGCACTTGTACCGTCACAAAGGTGCTACCGGTAATAATAGCTGTATGCCTTGACTCGGAAGCACAATTTCTCGCGAAGGAGAGATCAAAAGTGGGCATAGAAGTGAATAAAGGGACTTTTCATAGGTAGATTCCCAGATGATCTGATAGTCTGTGATTTCCATGTGTTCTTTATCCGTCTAACCCTCCCTTTATATCCTCTATGCCTTCCCTAAGTTAATATCCCGTTTTCAGGTATAGTATACATTCTATCAGGAAGAGGGCACTTCTTGCCTCTTACTGAAGGCCACGTAAGTCATCTATGTCAGCACATTCAGCTCGATCTCCTGATCAATAGCTTTGCAAGCTATTAGGTCGATAGTTTAATCTCTTGAGGTCCCCGAGCCAGTAAAAGTTATGCCGGACTCCTCAAAGGGTCCCCGTTCGAATAGGAGATCCTCCGGACCCCTCAGTGGTCTAGGAAGAAGAAACAACAGTCTGCAGACTTCCCTTCTTACCTGGTTTCAAGCTGTATTATCTAGAGAGACCTAGAGACCTCAACTCGTTCGGACCTTCTTCTCGACACAATTTGCACAAACCAGGCAAGAGTAGTATCACATCGTCAGATTAGATTATAGCCCAAAAAAGGCGCAAGAAGTTGCACGATCGAGTCACCGAAGAATTATCTCTTTTGGGTGTTGTGTACCGGTACGGGGCTTGAGGACGTGATGGTTTTAAGATTTTAATACTAAAGTTGCAGCTTACAGTCCGCCCCAGAATTGGGAAAAGATATCATTTTACGTTGCTAGAGGCAGCAGCATATAATAGCAGCAGGCTCCATAAGACTAATGCATCTGCTTCAAGCCATATATTGATGCGAGAGGTATGATAAATGTGCGATGCGCAATTGCTGCAAAAGGCGATGCAGGTATACTACAGTGGGGTGTAGCCTGATGTGACGCATGCGGTGGCCGGTATTTTTTTGGTGCGGTTTTTGCCAACCTTGCCTAATGTGCGACCGTAGGATCACCTAGAACCTCTGGTTCTGACACCTGCTAACGGTCGGCCGAGCTTAAACTCCTGAGGAGAACTCCATACAACGACCGAAGCATCCATGCCGTAGTCTATCAAATCGTTCCAAACTCGCCAAATGAACCCGCCACAAGAAATCGAAGTTGGTTGTATTAGTTGTAGGAACCGAAGGCGTTACCACAAGCGGCGGCGGCGGCGCGACAGGCGGGGTTACCAGGGTCGTTGGGGGGGGCACAGGCACCACAGGCGGGGGGGGCGTTGCGACAGACGGCGGGGTTACTGAGGACGTCACAACTGGGACAACCGGGGGCGAGGACGGGGTAGTTGACACAACAACAGTTGAGGGCGGCCACTCGTTTCTCCAGTTTTGCCCCCGATTCTGCGTCCAAAACTGGGCTTGCTAGTCCCAGTCCGGCAAGGGCTGTCAAAAGGACGATGGTGACCTTCATTTTGCCAAAGTTTAGGTGCTCAAAGTGGGAATCATTCAGCCGTAGGCTGACTTTACATTAATCGAATAAGTTTTCCCTAATATGAGGGTTTGGTGCAGCAGGGATCAGTTAAGTTTTCTGACATCTGATTGGTTGTATGGTTTCTAAAACGTAACTCAACTGGATGATGGCCTTCTAAAAGTGGGTCCAATTTTGCACTTGCCCTGAATGTCACAGAGCTACTCTGAGCATCGCGGGTCGCCAACAAACCCATCGTACGCAGCTGCTTTCAACCGCAGTGAACCCTATGCCTCATCGAGGGTCTCAAGGTGGCGTGGTTTCCATCGTATGCATTCGCTGTGGCGAGGAGAAACCAGCGCAAGACTTCCTCGGCAGAAGAAAGTCGGCTGGGCACACCAAGAGCTGCTTGGGCTGCCGCAATAAGCGCGCCTATCATGTTGGCTTTATCTCGCGCTCCACAAGATGTTCAATGCTGATCAATTGAAGTACTCCAGGTCCAGACGCATAACCCAGACTTTGAGGAGGTCGCGGTCCGTCCTTCCTCCGCTGACGGGCCTGCTGCGAAAAGAACAGACCGAGATGCTCGCTTACAACCCGAGCAAAAGATACCTAAAGCCCAGCCTACATCATCTGAAAGTTTCCAGGAACGTCATACAGTGAGGTTTTCTTCCGAGGACTCGATGAGCCAACCGCGTGTAGTGCTGGGGACACCACTGCCGCCGACCCAACAAAGTTCAGGAAAGGTTTAGGAGTTGGCAGGTTCTCACCAGAATCCGTATAAGAACGGTTAGGGGCTACGTAACTCCACTTGATGCTACCAAGACGTAGATGACGCAATGAATGCATGACTGTAGATTCTTGAATTTTCAGGCCTGCCTTACCGTTGACAGCAGACTTGCAGCCTTCGGCTGATTGTACGCCTTGCACCACTGCTCTAAAGTGCAAGGCGTGACGATTTTTGCCAACCTTGCCTAATGTGCGACCGTAGGATCACCTAGAACCTCTGGTTCTGACACCTGCTAACGGTCGGCCGAGCTTAAACTCCTGAGGAGAACTCCATACAACGACCGAAGCATCCATGCCGTAGTCTATCAAATCGTTCCAAACTCGCCAAATGAACCCGCCACAAGAAATCGAAGTTGGTTGTATTAGTTGTAGGAACCGAAGGCGTTACCACAAGCGGCGGCGGCGGCGCGACAGGCGGGGGTACCAGGGGCGTTGGGGGGGGCACAGGCACCACAGGCGGGGGGGGCGTTGCGACAGACGGCGGGGTTACTGAGGACGTCACAACTGGGACAACCGGGGGCGAGGACGGGGTAGTTGACACAACAACAGTTGAGGGCGGCCACTCGTTTCTCCAGTTTTGCCCCCGATTCTGCGTCCAAAACTGGGCTTGCTAGTCCCAGTCCGGCAAGGGCTGTCAAAAGGACGATGGTGACCTTCATTTTGCCAAAGTTTAGGTGCTCAAAGTGGGAATCATAAAACTATCCAGCTAAAGTCGAGGTGTGAAAGGTGACAAAACTTTCGACCAGCTCGAGCACTTTATAGTTGTAAAGTCCTCAGCACTCTCTGGCCAGAACATCAAATACTGTTTTATACCACAGGATTTGATCGTCTATTCCGAACCGTGCGGAATCTACGGGCTAGAAAGCCATACCTTAAGGTATGTGACGTATGTCTCAGCGCCACCAAATTTGTTAAGCAAAGCTGTAAATTTGTGCTACGAAGTGACGAAGTACACAGAGTCTGAGCCATTTGATCATATGCACAGGAGCGAACAGGAGCCTCTTGGATGACGATTAATAAGGGGAATTGTTGGCTTGCTTGCAATCCTCTCCAAGCACAGCCTTCGTAGCACATAAATTTACAGCTTTGCTTACTCCTGTGACGGCGTATTCGGCGGCAACCCAGGTATCTTATACAGAACGTACCTACAGATATCTCTCGTGTTGGGCGGGTATGCTACTTGAAGGCATTCCAACGTATGGCTCTAGGCATTCCTGCCCGTGGCTGCAGACATTCTTGCTTGTGGCTGCACCAGGTCCTCTCCGACAACCAGAAGATGGAAAGGAACACAACTCCCTGATAAGGAGAAGAGAAGTTAGATCCTCCACGAGCAGCTACGACAACAGCAGCCGATAAATCCTGCATACGCCTCGCTCCTACCCTCGGAGACGCGTTTCCAAGTCGCTGCGGATGCCCTCAATGATATCCGGCAACGGTATGGGCCCCTCATGAGCTCGCCATCACGAGAAAACTTACGGGTTCTTGCGAAAGTGAACACCGAGTCTATCGCGATGGCGTCACATTCCCAGGGCATAGTAAGCGATAAGAATAGCCGAACCCAGGCGTATGCGAATCGAATGAAGAGAGGCAAGATTGTCAGGCCGCGCGGAGAGTTTATCACGAGCTCCAGCATGGCCGACATCACCCAGGAGTATGAGAAGTTCCAGGCAAAGCAAACCAGGCTTCAAACGCGCCAGGAGATAAGGATGCATCTTAAACGAGTTCGTGGAGAAATGCAGAAGATCCGAGAAGACTATAAAGTCGGGAAGAAGCAGTTAGTCAATGGCAGAGTCAAGAAATTGAACTTTAAGCCCTGGCTAGAGTTTACGGGACGAGACGTTGAGTTCTACACTCTAGAGCAAAGTTGCGATACCCTCATGCGGGAGCTCAAAGAGCCATCCAAGGATTCCTTTTTCTACGATACCACGAAGAGAAATAACTCCGCCAGAGATGTCAGGGCGCGCGCAGCGACCCGACCTCGCCCACTTACAGATATGTCGTCGCTGCCCGGCAGTGACGATACCGTCTATTTCACAGGCCTCGATCTTGACAAACATAGTGAGGATGGCGCCGACGATAAAGACGAGGACAATTTACTCGATACGCAAGAGAATATACCCTCATCGCCGCCGTTAGCAGCGGTTGAAGCGGTAGTCGATACACCATGCCCTCGACCGCACACCCGACCGTCCAACAAGATACAGCAGACGCTCCAGGAACACAGGTATGGATAAAATAGCTTTCAGAAACGCATAACTGGCGAAATTACTACAGGAGCGGTTTAAAAAGCTGGATGCCCGCTGCAGGCGAAAGGGGAGTTCTAGGGGGTCCCCCCCTATTAGAAAGTGTTACGATCAAGGCCGATATGGATAACCAGAAGGGACTTGGAAGAATAGTTAATTATCGACTTCTTAAGGAAGAAGGGAAGAGGAAGAGGAACCGAAGAAAAGGAGGAAGCGGTCTATATACGTAACGGTATGTGGAAGTGGATACCGTAAGGTATGTGGAGGTGGATACCGTAACACGCCCATCCAGAACTTCGGGTCACAACGATCAAGGCTGTAGAAAGTATCGAAAAGGAGTCGCTGGTATTTCTTGCCGATGGTGATGTGGGAATGATGGTGTGGTGTCTGCTAACACTTGCATGTAAGAACAGTGAGGGACCAAAGATTTTGCAGCACGCCACGGCATAAATAGTGTACTTTTTTTGCTATGTCCATGTGCTTCTTCCGCGACTTTTGTCAGAAGATGTTAGAGCAAGAGCGCGGCAATAGCTTTTATATTGAAGATTGTAAACGTCATTGGAACCCGTCGGAAAGAAGCCCATGGCCGCGCGGAGACGATGATGTAACGTCCTCCGGGTCCACAGCGAACATCGCTATGTCGTCTCCAAATCCATCGTTTCTTCCGTCGCCTATGGCACAGCGTCGCCCTTTCACAAATTCAAAACGTCGTGACGATCTAGCGCCAATCTGCCGCTTTCTGGGCTCCAGCCCTCCCAGAGGCTTCATTGAGGGCGAGCTCCACAGAGTCACTGTTTCTGCGGCTCGGACCTAATGAGGAAGTAGGTGAATATGCATCGTGGATCAAAGCTGAAGCTTTTTGTATAACCTCAAATGCTTTTTGCGACATGCGCGACAAGGATATAGTGCTGAACTCGCTACCTTCAATTTGTCCGCCCTCGTCGCATTTCGCCGCAAATATGCCTCCAAAGACCCCAACATTAGCTCAGTTATCTGATATCAATGACCTTCCAAGCAGGACGACTGGGTCAGCCAGAGATAGTATAAGAACGTGGCGGCCGAATAGGTTTTCGGCCGTAAGGGTAAGGCAATATAGACCACCTAGGTAGACCTGGCCATGGCTCTGGAATGGCATCTGAGAGGAAGCAGTGGGAGGCCTGGCTTCCTTTAGCCCTTGAAAGTTGGCGTCTCCGTCTAAGAATGCGCCCTGGTCGCAAATTCCCCAACTTCCGTGTGCTTAAACACTTGACATGTCGTTCTGCGTCGCCCGTTTGCCCTTCCTCCCCGTTTTCGCTATGAAATCGATCGGTTCGAGGCTCTGCACCAACACAGACATGGTTGACTCAGGAGCCGTGGTACCGCCATAGTCAGATGTCTCTCTCGCGTAGAGAGCAGGGCAAGGGGCATAATGTTTTTAGGGTGCATCTGTTCTCCTCCCTTTTTTCTCCCTGTCTGCTGTACCATTCTCCCATTTATGCCCTTTGCCCTCTCTTCTTCAGTCTTCCATCTCCTTCCTTGCTGACTTACTAATGCTTAGGCACCCCCTCTCCGCGTCAGCAGGCCGACGCCACGATATCGTTCCAAGATGGGCCTACAACGGGAAATTCATCGCCTCCGAAGGGGTTGGAACAGGGCGTCATCCGCCCCTTCACGCGTCTTGAAAATCGCACTTGGCTGCATGATCGATCGGAAAGAGATGTCTACGGGCTGCTGATCGACGCCTACCGACTGCGCGTTGAGGACATGTACAACATTGAAGGCGAAGCAGACGCGGATAGCATATATGGTGGTGCCGCCAATGGGCTGCGTGGCTTCAAGCGTTTCCTGGAGCGCCTCGAGCGTTGTCCCGGTATGCTGCCGCCGTGGTGGGATGCAAAGAAGAAGAAAGAGTGTGAGACACTGGGTATGACCTACGAAGCGCGGTGGAAAAGAGCGACATCATCGAGCAATATGGGGATTCCCGATTCCCTATGCAGCTTCGGGTGTTTGCCGAGTCCGTGTACGGTCGAGCTCCGGGCGGGACAAGTGGGACGGCGATGAGTCAAATGATGGTCGCGATAGAGCAGGGTAAAGCAGAGGGGATGGAGTCGCATATGATGGACATGTCAGCAGCCATGCTTGGTCGGCGGTGAAGGGATACGCTTGGTTAGTCGACAGCACCGCAGATCGAGTAGAAGCTGGCCGATCGTGGCTACGACGTACGAAAGGGTCAAACTATCGGGATGGTTAGTATACTGCCACTACTTTTCGAAACCTTGGTCCTCGGATAACCGTCTCGTTTCCGCGGCCAAGTTCTTGAGTCTCTGCATTCCATCAAGTATGGCCTGATCCAGCCCATTGCCAATGAAATCATGGTGTCTCACGGGACCAAGAAGCTTGATGCCCCGAAGCGAGGTGCACCTGGACAGTTGCACATAGAGGCTCGTAAAATCGCACTTGGAGGGTTCACCATTGGTCACACGATTTCCACGCAGCTCCAACAGTACCTCCACGAACGTTTTACCCTGGGCTTTGTAATCAGTGAGAACGAACGCTGGTACGACGGGCAATCCACGTCGCGTGCATCTTGCTGACAAGAATTTGAAGTGAGAGTTAGTCGAATCAAGTGTATGTGACATGGGGCGGATGAGTACCGTCCCCACCGGGAGGGAGGGTATCGCCAAGGCTTTCGTCTCCTCGGACTGCAGAAGAATCCCGAGCGGTGGCCCGAAGTGGATGGTCACGTCATCCGCCAAGTGGTATCCTGGGTGATTGGGATCGAGTATTACGTCCACGGCAGTAAAGTCTGCCCCATTCACAACTTTCAAGCCAGTGTAGATGTTCTTGTTCACAACAACAGGCATGCCCTGAGCGTAGAAGAAGACGCCGGGGACCTTGCAGGCGGAGTCGTCACCTTGTCCTATGGTTCGCGCCACGATGTTTGGAGAAAGCGTGCCGTTGCGCCAGGTGTGAGTCGAGACAAAGATACGGATATGCTGCTTGTTGAAGCGCGCCCAGCCCACGACAGCTTCCATGTTGAGGGCCCACCGGGTGCGGTTCAGCGGCGTTATAGCACGCAAACCATCATGGAAGGTGATTTGGGAGCGTCCTACGATATTGGCATTGAGCAAGTCGAGGTCTTGCTGTGTCTGCCGCCCGTTACGGACTCGATCCAGGAGTGCGCGAAGTTGGGGATCGTTGCGGGCCCGGACTTGGTCTTCAAGGAGCACAACGGTTTTGAACATATGCCACAATCTGCAGCCGCTGTGGTGAGAGATGGTCGCTTGTCGCAGGGTCTGTGTTCGGTCCGGCGGTCTGTTGATCAGGAGGCTTGTTTCCCGCACGGGGGCGAACTGGTAGAAGTCTCCCATCAGTAGAACGACAGGCATCCCACCAAACGGTTCGTCCGGACAGTCACGGAGTGCCTGCAGGTGACGACTGACGTTGTGCAGAGTGGCTCCTCCCAGCATACTGACCTCGTCAATCACGAGTACCAGCTTCTGTTTCCATATCCATTTCTTCGCCTCCGAGAAGGGGGGAGGCGGTTTGTTTGGATCGCGATGGGAATCTAACCCACAGGCCGAGTGGATTGTCGTGCCGCCAATCTGGGCCGCCGAACTGCCTGATGTGCCGGTTATCTGCAGAAGATGTGGCTGGTTTCTCGCCGCGAACACGTCCTTCAGGGCATCGATGATCCTCGACTTTCCCGTGCCACCCGGCCCGCCGGTATATTGAAGATGCTGGCCCGCTGAGTCCGGATTGGCCGCATAGTTGTCCAGAAACACGCAAACGAGTTGAAGGGCCATGGTCTGTAGATAGTTCAGTGTAAAGCTGGCCGCGGTGGTGTGCCCCATCTCCACGAAGCTAGTCACCGGACTGACGTCGACAAGCATCCGGTAGGCGTACGCTTCTAGGCATAGAAGGGTTCGCCCTCCTTGCCTCAGAGGGATTGTCTCGGGGGGGGGTTCGGCGTCCGTCAGCTCGCCGGCCTGATGGCGGAGATGTGCCCATAGCCGAAAGATTGTCCAGTAGAGGGCCGTCAAGTTCAGAAAGGACCAATGCGGCACGTTGGTAAAGTCGGTGTCATAGCCAAGGAGGTGGTAACAGACCTCCACAGCCGAGAGTTGTCGCTCAGAGAAGATCCGATTTGCCGTTCTCATCAGGAACTGACGGCTTTCGTTCAATACTGCCTGCTGCCTGTCGTCGGGCAGGGCGGGACCTGGTGCGCGAGACGTCGGACGACCGGCTTCGCGAAGTTGGCGGGCGACCTCGGTGGCGAGAGCAATGCGCTTCCACATCGGCGTATCCAGTTTGGTGGCGTAGTTCGTGATGTAGTACACCATGGCCAGGCCCTTGGTTTTGGTCAAGATCATCGAGACGTCGTGATTATGACGAAGGCCGACCGCCAACGACTTGTTGTACCGGTTGACGAGTGGATGGTTGCGCCGGATCTGAAGCAAGCCGTCCTCTGTGAACCCTGTCTCCTCGACGATCTTCCACGGTGCTTTGAAGCGGCAGGCTGTCCGTCTCTGTTGATCTGCCCCCTGTTCGACGACCCCCTTCAGAGAATACTTAAGGCAGGTGTACGTGTGGGAGTGCACTTGGCAACAGTATGCGATGAAATTGGATTCGCCTTCGAAGGCCGCAGTGAGAGCCGAGGTGCTGGTCATGACCTCCTCCACCGGGTGGATGGGCTTCCTCTGTTGTCGCACGGCTTTTCCGGCATCTTCATCTAGACACTCATGAAAGACGGAGTCTACGTATCGGATTACCTGGGCACGATATGCTTCTTCCGCGGGATTGGCCATGTCGTCTATCAGGTTCGGTAACCGCATGTTGCCGTCCAGCCAGAGGAGTCCATGCAAGTGGAGGCTGCCTCGCTCGTTCGTTTCCACCGTTGCGTAGTAGTGGCTAATATTCCCAAAGATGGATTCTTGGCCTGTGTTCACGTACTTTTTAAAGAATAAGGATATTTCTCGGTGGAAGAAGATGGCCGAGCTGACCGGATCCATGGTGCTGAGGGCGATTCTGTCGTATTTTTCACGGAGATCGGCCAAAAGTTCCTTTGCAGACTCATAATCGTGGAGCCTATGAATGGCAAGCTTCATCTTTACCGGATTATTAATGTCGTTAGGACTGATGGTAATCCAGATTGCAGGCATACCGGCGCGAATGTCTAGAGCTTGTATCTTCCTCCGCATAAGTAAACGGGATTCGTTGGAGAGCGGCTGTGCATGGCCAAAGACCGACAGCTCGCGAAGCAAGAGCGATATGTCAGGGTCCGACGTAGTCCTTGTCTCCCGCATCTCCGCCTCGGCTCTCTTCAGTCGGTCCTCCGTCAAGTTCGCATACGCTTGCTCGAGCCTGTGGAAGGAATCTTTAGCGACACGGACCATGCTGATGCGGCGGTTGGAGGAGCGAAGGAGGGTGTTGAATACTAAGAAACAAAAGACAGGATGGGTGGCAAATCGGCCTCCATGCCGTTGCAGTACGTATCTGGCCCGATAATTGAGAGAGTGGTTCGGACGACGGTCGGCAGCGTCGCTTTGTCGGCTATGACTCGAGTCGCCCTTCGATTTCGGGCCGCCCCTTCCCCACGGAAAAAGCTTCGGAAATGTTCGAGGGAAGAAATCTTCGTGCAGATTGTCTGCAAAATCCGCACCACGCTCTACTCGGACAAACGGCTGGTCTCCCGTAGTTTGGACCTGCATAACGCACGGCACAGAGTTGCCATGTCGATCCGGATTGGGGTTGACGATGTCGGCCAGAAACGACAGTTTATCGGACTCGGCGAAGGCAGCCGGACCATCGAGAGGAAACATGCCGGACGTAGACGTCTCACAGACAGTGTTCACTTCCTGGCCGATGGCAGCCGGGTCGGGGACAAGAGTCACCGGCTCACCAGGAGAGGGTTGAGTCTGCTCGGTCGAAAGAGTACAGTCCAAATCGCAAGATTCGGCGACGAAAGTAGGATCGACCGAGTTCACGAGATCATCGATACTTCTGAAGCTGTTTTCCTCCAAGCCTCGATCAGTATCCGGCACTATGTGGTCCGTTTGTGTCCTCTCAATGGTCGACGGTTCCTCTCTTTGCATGCGGTCCATGATGACGGTCGGAACACTGGACCCATCGGCATACTGCCAGCCATCTATCTCTGCTTGGTTGATTGCGACATCCTCGTAAAGCGGGTTGCTCCTCTGCAGCCATGCCAGGGCAGCTGCCACACGAGATTTGCGCACCTGAAGCAGGTGTCTGACGTCTGCGGAGCCAGGCTTAGCCGAACCGCTCCAAGAGACGTGGATGTTCTCAATGGCCTGCAGTAGGGGATGAGGAAGAACCGTGGCCACAAGATCGTCCACCTTGTTCGGAAAGACGACGATATGTCCTTTCACGTGCTTGCGGTAGCTGATTCCCGAACGGGTCTTGTTGTCGACTGCGAACTTGGTGATATAGCCAAAAGGCGCATGTAGGGCAATGAGTCTCTCTTCGACGGGAGATAGGTCATCAAGCTCATCGGGGTACCGATGCTCACAACCGATAGCCATGTTGTTGACAGAGCAGGCCTTGGGCAGCCGTCCACTGTCGAAGCTGACGCGACACTCGCGGCACACGTCAACTCTGGCGCCCTCGTGTGACGGAAGGCACGCGCCACACTCTTGGATAGTCCTGGTCGCCCGCCGCATGGAGGGCGACAAGCGATCCCTCCACTGCATGGTGGCGAGTTCGCAAGGCGGTGTCTTCCTATAGCAGAAGACGCAGTGGGAAACCGGCAACGTCCGTTCCTCGGTAAACGCTTGGTAGAAAGATTTAGCAGCGTCTACCTGGAGGGCAACTGGAACTTCGTTGCACCAGAATCTTGTCGATGATGCCTGCTCCTTGACGCGGAAAGTGGCGTTGTAGTGATGCAGTATGGATTCGACAGAGTCTCGTTGAAGTTGAACGGTTTCTCGCGTAGGCCGGGGCCTTTTGGGGGAGCGCCTTGGCTGCGTAGGCAGCGGAGTGGGAAGCGTTTGCCCTTCTCTAGGTCGCTTCGCCGGCTTCGGTGATGGAGTGGCTGGCGGCTGCGTGTGTGCAGTATATTGGGGTTGGGCTTCACGGCGGCGGGTTCGGTCTTCAGCGCGCTGGCAGTCCATATCATGCAACACACGGATGATCTCATCGTGGGGGGTATATTGGGATTGGGCTTCACGGCGGCGAGCTCGGTCTTCAGCGCGCTGGCGGTCCATATCTTGCAACAGACGGAGGATCTCGTCGTGGGGGACCCTGACAAGCTGTGGCCGGCGCTGAAAGGTCGTTTGCGATTCAAGGCCCTCCGAGGTGCGACGAAGCGCTTCGGGTGAGACCGTGGCTGCCTGTTCTCGTGGCATGGTAAACGGGGATGGTGGGAGGACGAGTGCTACGAGGAAGCAAGAGAAAAGAGGCAAACGGTCTGTCGCCGGGGTCCGGGAGCAAGAAGTCGATCATGACATCTAGTCGTTACATCTAATAATGGTTTCGAATGCTTATGGACGGAAAAGTCGGCCGAAGAAGTCTAGAGCACCCACGAAGGCAGACCTTTGATCCCGTGGTGGTAAGAGACGGCGGGGTAGCCGGGGTTAGAGGTGAGGAGGTAGGAAGAAAGCGGTAAAAGAACCAAAAAAGTTTATGTTCTCCCACAGGATTGAATGGTCAGACTCCCATCGGATCCTATCTCTGTAGACTAATCTGGAAGGCCGTTCTTCCTTCGCAACGTTCGCCTCCACCCGACGTTGGAGGGCAATCAGACTGCACAGAGGAGTGTCTGCCCATCCCGTTTTTGCTTTGCTTCAGAAGAAAGAACTGCTTTCGTTCCACGAAACGCACACCTTCACCGCTGCGAGGAGAGGGCGGAAGCATGGGCGGAGCGGCCAGTTGGGCGGGTAATAATGGGGCGGGAGCAGCGGGAAGGGTTGACGGTTGGAGAAGGTGGCGTGGAGGTGGCTGGAAAGGCGGCGCAGGCGTGCACGGGCCACCATGCGATCCGAGCTTACGGAGGGCGGAAGAAGGAGCCTCGTTCCTCAAGGCATACAGGAGACCGGCCCTTGCAGGGTCCGCCAATGCCTTGAGGAACGAAGGAACGACGAAGGTGGCGGTGAAAAGTGGCTGGTGGGCACGGAGCGGGGGTGTGGCGAAGGACGCGGAAGAAAGATCCTTTCGTCACGTCGTTCCTCGTTCCTCAAGGCAAAACGCGATGCACACTGCCAGACGCAAGTACAGACTTGCTCTGGACAGAGGGCGAGCCCTCGTATTTATGCCTGATGGCGGTGACGCCATCACGTGTGGCATGGTCGGCACCCTGCCTTATTGTCTAACGATCCATCCGGTCCCCGTGTGTCCGGGTCTGCTACTAGGGGGCCTCAAAGTCGGCCAATCCCGTGACAGCTCCACAGTCACGGGGGCGGTTGACCTAGAAAAGCTCGTTGACCTGGAAAAAGAAGTACATAAGAGCCCCGCCATTTTGCTAGAACTTAAAAGTACCTCTCTTCCCGCGATAAGTGCAACACATGTTCGCTTTATTGCAAGCTAGTCATAGCAATGCAAATGCATCACCATACTGCCTTTGAGGTGTTTTTGGTGTTTTGGCATCGAATTGAGCTCTATTCGATTTCTTCTTCCTTCCCAGCCTCGAGCGCGTCTTATGATTCCTCTTCATCGCATCTCGATGCCGTCAGCTTCCAAGGAAAGCGTCTGACGGCAAATAGCACGCTTATTTGCCTCCATCACCACTAATTCGGCTGCTTCCTTTACAATCTCGCGATCATAGTACTCCGGCCACATGATCGCCTTGCTTTGCCCTACGCCGCGGTTGTGTAGCTCGCGGAGAATCCTGTAGCTTGCGCACATCCACTCATTGCAATTGAGGTGTGCGCGCTTGTCGCCCTTGGCCCAGAGACCTCTGATGTCTCGAATCCTCGCCTCTGTGATGCTAATCCTGACGTTGAAGCGTACCTTGCGAAGCCAGCGGCGTATATAGCCAGCTTCGTCGCGAACCTCCTTATTCCTGACTCTCTGTGCCTCCTCTTCTTGTGCCGCTTGTCTATTGTATTCGTCTCGGGCGACTCGAATTCTAGCGTCACCGACGCTTAATGGGCCGTATCTCGCTACAATAGTTGTCTGTTGCTGGAGACTGGAGCGCTTGGCTTGTTTCTCTTTTATCTTCGTCATCTCGGCCGTTGCGGTGATGCCGTTGAGAGCGAGGTTTTGTCGGCTTTCCGCGCCTTCTCATAGACGTATGTGACGGAGGAGTCAACGGCATGTGGGAGTCAACTGATGTGGCTAGACGAAGCTGTACGTAGGCGTGATACCTCTGAATCGTAGAGAGGTTGAGTCTCGGCGTTGAAACATTGTTCCAGTTGAATCGTTGAATCGAGGGCGGCGTGTGGCGATGGTGTTGATGGTCTTGCTGCCTGAGGCCCGCCCTGAGGCTCGCTTTCGATCGAGCCCGGCAGGTCCTTAATAGCCACTTCTTCTGTGAGCGACGAGAGCGTGTCTTGAAGCTGAGAGAGCACGATCTCGGGATTGAATGGGAAGAGGCCACATTTCTGCCAAGATGAGAGAATTGTGTGCTTTTTGAAGGTGCGAGTGCGGACCTCTTGAAGATGATATAGAAAATCGGACTTGTTAAAGTCATATGCCCCGTCAGCAATCTCACGATGTAGAACTTGTTGATGCCAGTGTTTGTATGACCTAAAAACGCCGACATCAAGAGGTTGAAGCTGATGTGTAAGATGGGGAGGCATTGGGAAGACCTTAATGTTGTGATCGAAGCAGAAGTGAACCATCTCTTCTGTATAGTGATTATCACAGCTATCCATAAGTAGAAGCCGCTTCTGAAGTGGATCAACTGGTCTCGTGTGTTTCTCGAAGTGTTTGATCCATTCAATCGCGATGACATCGTTAATATACCCCTTTTGGCTGGTTGAAATGATGGTATCGTCGTCAAGGCTGTTGCTAACCCAACGGGCAGGAATTTGGACCCCAGGAGTATCACAAACGAAGGAATGCAACTCCCAGCTGCAGAAATAGCCTCAATCGCTGTGACCGACACTGTATCGTGAGCGTCAGATAAAATAGGGGTATCAATCTCGCGGAAGGTCCAAATAAATGTGCCTTTATGTAGATATCCCACCATGAAGCCCGTCTCGTCGAAATTCCAGGTGTTCTTAGGGAGAATCTCATCTTTCTCGATCGTTTGAGACCAGCCGCGAAAAAAAACCTCAACGTGGATGCGATCTTGCATAGCCTTCCGTTTGATGTCTCGCGCTGCTGCTCTTCGACGGTGGAAGAGTTCTCTATGCCGCTGTATAAAGCGCTTGGCCCAGGCTCGCGATGCTGTAGCTCCCACGCCCTTTGCCTTGAGAATGGCGTTGGCGTGTTGTTGGAGCGCACGACCCTGGATGTGGTGCCCTGTGTGATGCGGCGATGTGCCCAGCAAAATACCTCCTCTTCATCCGAGGGATCAAGCAGGGCACGGTTGCCCCCATTCTCGGCCGTTGAGTGATGCCCATTGACTCGATAATAGAGGCGCTTGTAGGGTACGCCAAGCGCCTTCGCCGCGGCCACAATTGAGCCGTAGAAGCCCTCGTAGTAGAGCTCTGCTCCTGCAATACCGGTAGTTCGCGTCTCGAGGTTTGCGGTTGTATGGCGCGAAAAGTTGGGTAAGCCGGTGGCAGAATCGATCCATTTTTGGACAGCAGACTCTTTAGCTTTTGAAGAAGCCATAGTCAAAGAATTGGCCTTCCCTCGACGACTATTGAGATAGTGACGTGGCGATAAAAATGTAGTGTTATGACGCCATCGTGAAATGGGTTCTGAATTATTGCCATAGGGGGGTATACGGATATGCGGGGTCGAATTGTAACTATGGTAGATATGATCTTAAACATGTCTACTTTTTATTGTATGATGCGTGCACACTAATTGAAGTACCCTGTTTTTTTCCAGGTCAACGAGCTTTTTCTAGGTCAACCGCCCCCCCGTGACTGTGGAGCTGTCACGGGGATTGGCCGACTTTGAGGCCCCCCTAGTAGCAGACCCGGACACACACGGGGACCGGATGGATCGTTAGACAATAAGGCAGGGTGCCGACCATGCCACACGTGATGGCGTCACCGCCATCAGGCATAAATACGAGGGGCTCGCCCTCTGTCCAGAGCAAGTCTGTACTTGCGTCTAGCAGTGTGCATCGCGTTTTGCCTTGAGGAACGAGGAACGACGTGACGAAAGGATCTTTCTTCCGCGTCCTTCGCCACACCCCCGCTCCGTGCCCACCAGCCACTTTTCACCGCCACCTTCGTCGTTCCTTCGTTCCTCAAGGCATTGGCGGACCCTGCAAGGGGCCGGTCTCCTGTATGCCTTGAGGAACGAAAGGCTCCTTCTTCCGCCCCCTCCGTAAGCTCGGATCGCATGGTGGCCCGTGCACGCCTGCGCCGCCTTTCCAGCCACCTCCACGCCACCTTCTCCAACCGTCAACCCTTCCCGCTGCTCCCGCCCCATTATTACCCGCCCAACTGGCCGCTCCGCCCATGCTTCCGCCCTCTCCCTCGCAGCGGTGAAGGTGTGCGTTTCGTGGAACGAAAGCAGTTCTTTCTTCTGAAGCAAAGCAAAAACGGGATGGGCAGACACTCCTCTGTGCAGTCTGATTGCCCTCCAACGTCGGGTGGAGGCGAACGTTGCGAAGGAAGAACGGCCTTCCAGATTAGTCTACAGAGATAGGATCCGATGGGAGTCGGCGACTTTTTAAACACGCACGGCGACTTAAGCCCCATTTGGAAGAGGACCCGCCACCAAAATTTGCCGGCCCCCTTTCCGCTCCCTGTGCCCGATTTTTAGTCTCCCTGTGCACCTTACCGTATTAGGTAGAAGCATCGCGAATCGGCCAAGACATGCATTTGTGTGTGCAACACACCAATTAGAAGGTAGTCACGGATTGTAGAGTCTTGCGTTGAACATTATGAACTTGAAGCTATTCGCACATTTCCTCCATATCTTCTAGCCGCATTACAAGCTCATACGGCTGCCGCATTGCGTGGCCTCTTTTCCGCCGTGGCGAGCGTTCCCCCTTTCCTCTAACTGTAGCGTTACTTATCTGCGAAGCCGGGGCGGCATGAATCCTCCTTCCACTGATGTAGGGTGCTAGAAAGAGGGTCGAGGACCCAAGGGTAAAGAGACGAGGGCGCTCGCGATGCCCCGTTGAGAACCTCCTTGACGCGGCGGCCGCGGCGGCTCGTGATATTCGAAGGCGGAGGTAGCCGCCGCATAAGTTGGGTGGCAGACTCTGAGCGCCGGAAAGTCTGCGGCTGCTGGTATGAGGTCGGTTGTGTAGGCGTTTGACGGATCACGATGTCGGCTTGTGGTGTTGACACCGACCACGAAGCTATAGCCGGCCCAATGCCAAGATAGTTGCCAATAGCCTCAAGCCGCGAAAGCACTGTCTGCAAGACTGGCTGCCGCTGTTGCTGTTGCCCGCGAGGCTGTGACTGTTGCGAAGCTGGTGGGGTAGCTGCTGCTGCCGCTGCTGACGAGGCCACAGGTGCAGTTACAGCGGCTGTTGCAACGGCTGCAGTCGTGGCCACAGGTGCAAAGGCTATGGCTCTGGCTGGTCTGCGGCGCCGGGCAATGACTCGAGGATCGCGAATTCGTCTGTATGGGTCTGTGACGGCAAGATCCTGCCGTAGAAGCCAGTGGCTGTCCCACAAGTTCAAGGGCAAGGGTCTTGTAGCTATAACTTTGCGGCTAGTCCTCCCTTGGACCTGGAGGTACGAGGCGATAATATGCTTGCAGGGCAGCCCGTATTGGGCAGTGAAGCTATTCCCACATTCCCCAAGTGGCCGCTCTTGTGGTTTGAGGAGGCCGGCCGAGGCGGCTAGTGCCTGTTTCTGTACAAGCTCGAGAGACCGATATGACGCCTTCTCGACGGCATCCTCATATAATGGTAGCCGGAACGGGTCGCGAGTCCGTCGTGATTCGCGCTCAACGGTCCGATCATGGTGTTCTCGTGAGGTTGAGGCTTGTAGTTGCAAGGCATGATATAATTCAAGCAGGTTCGACTGGCCGTTGCGAAGGAAGGTGCGAGAGCTTGAGTGAAGGGATTCACAAGGCGAGGTCGTTGTGTGGCCCCAGTTGCGGTAACGGCAGACCCAAGCGCGCGCCCATTGTGTTCGTACAGGCATCCAGATCTCTTCTACATACCTAAGAATAATGTGCTGGTCTGAGAAGGCGCCTTTGACGATGCCCCAGCGGCTGTTGAACTCGTCCTCGGTCGGGGCATACACTACGGACCGGAAGGCTGTTGTGAAGGCACAGGGCCTCTTTTTCCGGCAGTGGCTCCGGTAGCTGCAGAGCGCCCGGGTCTTCATCGTCTTGGGGCTCTTGCGGCGGGTCAAATGGGTCATCATCGTCATAGTCGCCAAGCCAGCGCTTCTTCGCGTTTGTAGTGATGTTCTTCATGATATGCCACGTACAGACCTGTAGCTGCGAGTCCGGGAAGGTAGCCGACAATGCAGCGCGCGCAGCAGCGTCATAGTCCGTGATGATAACGTGTGGGATAAAGGCATTGCCGTCAGCCTCGCCTCTTAGCCTTGCCTTTGACTGTAACCACTCGCGAAGCTGTATAAAACACCAGGTAAATGCGTTCGTGTCTTCGGAAGGATTAAACAGAAAGCCACAGGAAGATAGAGCCCAAGGCAGTGATTCCATTGATCTCTAGCAGCTTGAGGCCATATCTATTCGTGTTGTTCGTTACGTCGGCCATCATGAGGTGTGAATGTTGTGCCCAAAGCCGCAAGGCAGGGTCAAGGCCCACAATCTGGTAGAAGAAGCGATCCTCATCGTCAAGTAGCTCTTTATGGAAGGCACCTTCCTCGTCGAGCCTGGCAATAAGCGCTTGTGTGGATGTATGTGCCCCAAGCTCCCGGAGACGAAGCCGGGCACAGATATTCGCGATGTCCTGCTCTGTTGCAAGTAGCCGCGGGTTCTTAGCCCGAAGAGCAAGAAGGATCTGCCGCGCCGTTAAGCCAGCATCGCGAGATAAATCTTTAACCTGCTGGAGTTGATGTGGATGAAGGCGCCGGTATTCTGGGAAGGCGCCGGCCCTATTGGCCTCATGGTTGTGCCTTGGGCACATCACAGAGACTCGCCAGAGGCCTCCCTCTAGCTTCAGGCGCACAACCTTGACTCTAAACGGGCAGGAAGTCCGCCTAGTGCCAGTCTTCCGGAGTCCTAACGAGGCTGACTTGTATTCACGGCCGCCGCATGCGCATACGATGTCGTAACGGCGTGGGAGCCCATGTTCGTAGTTGCTTGGCTTGAACTTAACTATGGCGTAGCCTTGGCAGCGCGCATGCCGCTGGAGCTCGTCAAACGCATCGTCAAAGGTCTCAAAGAGTGGCATATTGTTTGGCGGGGCTGGAGAAGCATCTTGACAAAAGAACGGTTTGATTAGCTGCTTTGTGGCGGTTGTGTGCCTCTGGAAACTTAGCTGCGCAGACGCGATGTGGTATTGCGAGGTGGGTGGTTATCACGAGTTATTTTGGCTTGTGGTGTTGTACCAGGAGGCTGCTTGCCGCGACGCCAATTGTGTGTATTATGGTGTGTTACGCGTCTACGTGTGGAGTCTTGCCAAGTACGGTAAGGTGCACAGGGAGACTAAAAATCGGGCACAGGGAGCGGAAAGGGGGCCAAATTTGCCGCGCGCCTTCCCAACGAGCGCTTTCTTTACCGCGCCCGGCCTAGCCCCCTGCCTCGTCACGCCTTTTTTTTTTTTTTTTTTTTTTTGGTTGTATTACGCCCGGAGGGTTCCCCCATAGAGCCACTACGCTAGCCTGTCTACCTTCTGTACATTGTTCCATCTCACCCAAAGCCCCACGCTTCTTTTCATCTGTTTCCAGCCTCGTTCGCTATGACATGACAGGCCTGCTTGAAGGTCAGTTTCTCCAAGTGTTCAGCGTCCTACCTTCAGCGACTGAAGCGCGGTCTGCCAAGTTGAAGGCTGTTGTGTTAGTACGATTGTCCCTTGATCAGCACATGGCCCGTTGCCGGTCCATGCTAAAACGTTTCGTTGCCAATGCGAACTGTATTGTCGCCCGCACAGCCCCCATATCAGGCTGCCACTTGTCGTCGTCTGACTCTGCCTTGCCACCTAGGAAGAAGGACAAGTCTCCCATCTTCCCGCCTGCATATCGACTCATGATTTCTCGTTGTACCGTCCATTTTCTGCATCGGAAGAGGAAATGTTCCACCGTTTCCGCCGACTGTCCACACGTGCATTCATCCGATTCTACTGCCCCGATTTTGCAAAGATAGCTATTCAGCCGCGATTTGCCAGTTCGAAGCTGTACCAACACTTCCGATTCCTTTCTTTTCAGCTCGTCGTATAGCTTGCGGGTGTGCTTGCCCGGCAAAGCCTTATCGATGCGCTTCGAGTAGTTTCAACTCCTTCTGGAATCTGACGGACTCGAGTGTGTCCGTTGAGCAGCAAACGTAACGTGGTTGATCTTGCTTGGAACGTTGCTGGTTCGGCGACGCATTCATCTCGCGTCGCCCTTTTCGCTTGCCTTTGGCCAGTGGCCCGAGTGAACTCCTCATTCTTTGCAGGCACCCAACGAAGTCTGACTCTACAGCCTCTTCTCGCCAGAAACTCAACAGATCCGTATATCGCCCGTATCGTGCACTGGCCAGACTGCTGCCGTGGCCGCCCGATGACTTGCAGGACAGAGCGGTTGCTTGTCACAACTGTGAGGTCTCGGTCACGAAGGCCTAGGGAACACACCTCAGGGCCGTGGCGATTGCCTCGAGTCCTGCTGTGTAGGCATTCTGCTCATCACTGGAGCCGAGTGACGGAATAGCTGGCCAGCACCTCGTCTGCGCTGTTGAGGAGAGCGTCTCGAACGACGCCCCCCAACCCGACCTTGCCTTTCCTTTGAGAGCTGGATGTCGCGATAGTGATGTCCTCCGGGTCATCCGACTTCAGCACCTCCACTCGGTTCGTCTCATATGTTACCTGCACTCGGTCGTCCCACGGCGCCAGTGCGAACTCGTGGATGGTTTCCAGGCGTTTGGTATCTAGTCTTTCCATCGCCGAGGCAAGCTTCTGCATTGGCGAGGCATACCTTCTGTTCAGCTTCAGCTTCAAGGATGTCAGGGATGCGTCCTCGGCAGCGTCTGCGTTCTGATCCAGAATCTCGACGCCGCTTGAGCATGGCGTTCTCGAAATGATTGCACGCTGGCCTCGGCCTCGGCCACAGCCGTCGCGACCGTACGGAACCCTCCCGTGATCGCCTGGGCTCCGACTCGCTGGGCCCTCTCGATCCACGTTGCTTCTTTCGCCTTGCATGCATGCGACCAAACGTTGGAGGCATAATCCATGGTCGGCGCTACGGTCGCAGTGAACAGTTGCCTTGCCGTTCGTGGTGAGGCCATCTTCAGTCGTTTCAGGCACATGGCAGCGGTCAGCCCCTTGGCGGCTACTCCGGCGATATGCTCCTTGAAGCGAAGTGCTTGATCCATGATGACTCCCAGCAGCTTCACATTGTCCTTCGGCTTGACATCATTCCCTCTGATGGTGAAAGGCGAGTCGCTGTCGCGTTCTGCGATGCGTGTGAAGTGAATGACGGACGTCTTGTCCACTTCAAACGTGGCGCCGCTGCGCTTCTCCCACTCGAGCGCATCATCGATAATCGACTGAATACCATCTCTGTTCGACTCGGCCGTTGGTCCAGTGACCCAGGCAGAGTAGTCGTCCACGAAGGCGATGGAGCCGCTGTTGTTACTGATTCGCTTCTGCACCAGGTCCGCATTGAAGAACAGAAATGCCACCGGTGATAGTGGAGATCCTTGGGGTAAGCCGGCCTGCGCCAGGGCTTGCTGCTCGGATGTGTGCCCGTTGACAACCACCGATGCGGTCCGTTCCGAGCAGAATGCGTCTACCCACTTGACCAGGCGACTCGGGATGCCTCGAGCTTTCATCCTCTCAAGCAGCCGCTCTTTGCAAACTCCATTGTACGCCCCTTTGACGTCGAAGCTGACGAGACTCAAAACCTGCCCATTCTCCAAGCCTTATATATCCGCTCCTGCAGAAGCACGAGTGCTTGGTCTGCCGACCTGCGTTTCCGTGCACCAAAGTGGTTCGCGGGCAACAGCCCATGAGCTTCGACTGCATAGCTGATGCGTTCTGCTACGACTGCTTCCAGAATCTTGCCAGGGTTGACAGCAGTGAGATCGGTCGCCACGCCTTGGCCAGAGTGTAATCGTCCTTACCCGGCTTCTTCAGCGGGATGATCTTGGCCGTCCGCCATTGATGGGGCACCACGCCCTCTCGAAGCGATAAGTCGAAGAGCGTCCACACCCGATGCTTGACCACGTGCCAGAGCTTCTTCCACACAATCACAGGGAGGCCGTCCTCCCCCGGCGCTTTCCAAGACTTGGCCGCCATCACCTTTTCCTCAATCTCTTGCAAGGTGAGGTCGGGCATGGTTATCGCTTCTCTTTGCGGACGCTCACCCTCCGGTTCGATCATGGTTGGCAGAGGCGGGAAGAAGGTGCTCAGGAGCTCCTCACCTTGCTCTCCTTTGCCTTTGGTGATCGAGCCGTCGGCTCTCCTCAACGGCGGCACCTTGTCATCGAACACATTCACGCCGGGTTTCAGATACTTGACCACTTTCCAGATGTTGTTCTCGTCGGTGACGAAGTCGTCCCAATGGGACTTCTTCTGTTTCCGCACGTTGTCGTGGTACTCCTTGGCAGCGTCCTGGCGCGTTGCTCCAGATCCGGCTGCGGTTGACCGGCTCTTCGCTGCGCCCTTGCTTGATTGCGCCAATACGTGTACGTTTGCCGCAGTCGCGTCAGGTCCTTTGTCCACCATCGCTTCGCGTATGGCGGCGGCTGTGCCCGAGGTGTCAGATCATGAAGCACCTTGGTGACCACCCTCATGAGCTGATCCGCCTGCGTCTGTACCCCACACTCCACGGAAGAGGCCGAAGCTCGTCCTCGACCCTGGTTGCGATGGCGATCCACGGCGCGTTCTTGAGCATCAGGCGCTGTGGAAACGTTCTCTCCGGTACTTGAATGTCGAAGGCCGTCTGGATCGCTCTGTGGTCTGACCCGTGATCTGTCGGGTGAGTCATGCAGGATATCACCTCGTCTGCCAGTTCTGCCGATGCCAGCACCAAGTCGATGGTGCTCTCCTCGTCCGCCCTTTGCCACGTTTTCGTCCCTCTCGGCAGGAGGCTGCTGAGACCAAAGTCGTTCATCAGGTCGATGATGGGCTGGCCCTCCCCCTGTCTGCTCGCTGACACTTCATCTCCGCCCCAGAGGAGATCGTGGCGGTTGAAGTCTCCCGCCAGAACCACATCTGTGCGGTTTCCTGTCCCATCACGGAAGCGATCGATCAGGTCGCGCAGCGCTCCATCGCGCTCGTCAGCGCCTCGTCGTTCTTTCCTTGCACGTACACTGATACCACCATCACTTCCTCCTCGAGTCGGAGCACCACTGCTGTGAGATCGGCCGACGGCACAGGCACTTGCTCCGCCTCAAGGTCACTTCGGATCCAAAGCATGCTACGGATCGGCCACAGGCCGTCACGAGCACACGTCGGTATCATCTTTGTCCAGTTATGGTGTCCCATAGGGCTCGTCACCACCTCTCCGTCGATAACACGCGCATACGGCTCAGAAAGAGCCAGCACAGCAAAGTCCTTGAGGCCTGCGTCGTTCATCAGGCTTTGCTGCACCACATCACTCTTGTGCGCATTCAGCTGTAGGATGCGGAGGGACTCAAGCATCACTGTTCGGGTTCCTCATCCTACATTTCCAGCTGAACGACTCGTGCGGTCCGCCACACGGGACGCATTTTGGCTCAATTGCTGTGCACTCTCTGTGGTGATGCCCAACCTTTGCGCACTTGCCGCATGTCCGCTGCTTCTTGCATGCATATGCTTTGTGACCGATCTCCTGGCAGTTGAAGCATTGGATTGGTCCCGTTCTTGGCTCGAATACATAGGTGGTGGCTGACTCTCCCGCTAGGTCAAAGTAGTGCCCTTCTAGAAGCCTTTCTGCGTCGCTTTTCTTGGTGACATACACCACCATGGACCCGTACGCTTTGCCAGACTCTCGTTTGCTCAACCAGGAAATCTTGCCAATGGTCACTCTGTTTTCGGCACTCAAGGCCTCGATCGCTCCAGGCAGAACGTTGCCTTCCGCGTCAAGGATTGCTGTGCGGTTGGCGTTGTCGACTCGGACCGGGTACAGCTGGTCTCGCATAACTCGTGAACCTTCCACGGCTGTCTTCTGCGCAGCCTCTTTGACCATCTGAAGCTCGGCTTCGTCTCTGCAGACGATCTTGACTCGGTCGGCATTCCGGGACTCTCACGACTGCTGCGCACCTCCAGGTCTCTTGTCCGTTCATCGCTCTCATCTCAGTCTCGATGGCCTGGCGAATTGATCCGATTTGCGCTTTGTTCTTGTTCGACTCGCTGACGCGAGATGTGTCGATGGTACAATGGAGAGGATCGCTGGCTGTCTGCTGCTTTCTTGGGACAGCTACGCTGGATAGACTCGTCGGCGGGCTCGCTGGCAGTGTGCGCGCAATATCGGCAAACGTTGCTCGAGCGCCGCTTGACAGAGTCACCTCACCCGAAGCATTCAGCTTCTGCGTAAGCTGGGCCAATTGCTCTTTTAAAGCGGCGACTTCTCTCTGAAGATCCTGGTGTCCCCGTTTTAATTCCGCGTCGTGCTCATCGCTCTTGCGTCGAAACTCTTCCTTGGATTCCTGGACTTGGACCTCCAAGCCTCGGATCAGATCTTCCTGTCCTTGAATGATGGTGCTTTGCTTGTAAACCGTGGCGCTCAGCTTCCTGATCGTGTCGCTTTGCTCGGATACTCTATGTTTCAGGTCCACCATCTCGTTCCCCATATTCGCCAGCATCTCTAGAACCCTCTGCATCATCGATTTGGCGGTCTCCACACTGCTGCGTGACTTCACCTCGTCAACTCTTTCGCCTTCATTGCCGACCGATGAGACCCGCGTCGTTCGGGCCGTGACTCGCTTCGGAGCCCTTGCGGATGCATTTTCCAGTGATCGCAACGTATCTTGCACGCGTCCGCTGGGCGTCATCCTCGCGTCGGACGCGTCGATGGCGTCGGGCTAGTTGGATCTAGCCCCGCCACGTCCGCCAGGACCGCCACTTCAGGCTCTGCCATGATGGCAAGCAAGAGCCACACCTATCCCAGAGTAAAGAAGGATGAAGAACTATCTACGACGAGGAACTGACGCAATCCCTCTCAACGGCGAAATTCCGTTAACAATCTCTCGTCACGCCTTTCCTACCCGTAGCTCGCGAGTTCCAAATTAAAGTGGGGCGTGGCACGGGTAGCACCTGCAATTGCATTTGAAGCTATCATCACATAACCGCTCTTTTCAACACAACCACAACGCCGCCACCACGATGACTACGATCGAGCCGACCGAGCCCTATAGCCCTGAACCCGAGCCTATCGAGAATAGGGTTTTTGCACTTATGCCGAGGCCCTGAAGCCCTCAAGGATGATGAGCTTGCTCGCGGTTACGTGGCAGTTGTTGCAAATAGCAAGACTGCCGGCAAGGCCAAGCGCAAAGAGGGCACGATCCGCTGCCAATACAGTGGCGGTTACAGACCTTGGCGAGAAAACGAGGGCAAGTACAAGACTTCGACGAGGAAGTCAGGATGTGACTTTTATAGTACTATCCGCTTCTATCGACCTACACAGTCATACAGAGTCACTCTCAAGGCCGCCTCCCACTCCCACGAACCTCTCTTTGCGCCTGCTGCTTCCTCTATCGTCCGTCAACGCAGCCAACGCAAATTTGGTATCGAGAGGCTATACGAGATTGTTGAGGGCCACAGCAAAAACCCAGCCAATACGCTCAAAGGTATCGCGAAAACGATCCAGCGAGACTATCCTGAGGTCCTCATCAACTTTGCCGACGTAGCCTTCATCCAGCAACAACTTCGTCTTTTCCGTTACGGTGCCAGCACATCTACACAAGCGTTTATCGACGTACTCAACGAGGCCCAGACTAGAGGAAGTCGCCAACTTTACAGTTAACCGTGGCCCTGACGGCAAGCTCTGGAGGATATTCTGGACATACGCTGACTGCATTGCTGACTGGAAACGTAATCCTGAACTTCTCATCATGGATAATACGTACAAGGTCAACCGCTTCAACCTGCCACTCCTCCAGGTCGTTGGCACTACGGGACTTCACAAAAGTTATAGTGTTGCGTTTGGTCTTGCCGCCAAGGAGGATGAGGGTGCCTTTAGTTGGATGCTCTCACAGCTACATACCGCTGCTGAGCAAGCTGATATCCCTCATCCAGGCGTTATAATTACTGACTTCGACGAGGCTCTTAAGAACGCCCTCAACGCTATCTTTCCACAGTCACAGCAACAACTCTGCACTTGGCACATCATGAAGAACGTGGTCCTCCACATCAAGAAGAAGTGGGTAGGCACCCTCGATGGTACCGAGATTATGGGAGATGGAGGCGATGACGAAGACATCCGCCTCGCCGCCGAGGCTGCCCTTGCCACAAGTCACGATGCAGACCGACCAGAACGACCGATCGACCGTGCCGCCGAGGCACAGATACAACACGCCTCTCAGCTAGCAGACCAGTTCGTCAGGGAAGAAGACCCGGATCGTGAAGGCAACGAGGCAGCGCCGCCGCCGCCCCAACGGTCCTTCAAGCACACGGCTGATGGTATTCGTGATGCCTGGGTATCAGTCATGAGGGCACGCACGCCCGAGGAGTGTAACGAGCAGTGGGATCTTCTCTGTACAGAGTTTTCTGACCAGCACGGTAGCCCAGACCCTATTACCCTCGCACTGATTTACCCTATTATTATTAACAGCTATAGCCCTCGTCAACTACTTCCGTACGACCTACTACCCGTGGCGTGCCCAGTTTTGCCGATACGCTATTCAACGGCACCGAAACTACGACATTACAGTGACTTCTCGTGTAGAGCACTCATCACGAGTTAAAGTCACAGTTACGCAACCGCTTTATCGACCTCTATCAGCTGCAAGAGCACATCAAAGAGCTAGTTACGGAACGGCAGACCAACCATCGCGAGTCGATTCAGACCGAGTTTACAAGGGCGAAGGTCGAATGGGGGAAGCATACGATGATGAGGTCGTTGCACCGTAAAATAGGCTGGAAGCCGATGAATCAGATCCTCAAGCAAGTCAAGTTGGCACGAGACGAACTGGCTGATAATAGCGGCCAGAGGCCATCGGTTTGCACAGGCGCCTTCACAGACCAATGGGGGCTGCCCTGCCGGCATACAATCCGTGATCTAATACTGGCTGACGAGGCCGCTGCGATCCCTTTACATCTTATTGATAGCCACTGGCTAATTCACGGCATGACAGTAAGTGTCACACTCTAGCTATAGCGCTCATACTAATTTGCTGGCAGCCTGAACAACGGCAGTACATCGAAGCAGACCACGAGCCCGATCCTAACGTTGTCCCGCCGCGCCGGCGCGCAAACAACAGACCCGAGGAGCTCCCTCCGTTAGAGGCATCTACGGGCAGGATCCTTAGTAACTGGGAGCAAGAGGAGCACAAGGCTACAGCACAGCTCGGATCACAGCCAATAGGGACGCAAAGAGGAAGAGAAAGGGCGCGGGCACTATCGCGACCAAAGGTCGAATACACTTGCTTCCGTGAGCAGCCGGGTTGATGATCTTGGCCAGCAGATCAACGACTTCATCAAGTCACAGGCAGCAGCAACGCCGGTGCCGTTATCACAAGTGCCGCCGGCCTTCCAGGGATACCAAACGACGATGCCCTCATTTCCACAGGCGCCGCCGGCCTCAAGGGATACTATATGATGCCACCGCCAGTATCACACGTGCCTGTATACATACAGGTGCCGGCGCCGGCATCCTACGCCTACACGATGCCACTTACGCCCTCACGGTGGCAGGAGCCTAGGGCTGATATTTGAAGATTTTGAAGTCGAATCGGCCTCGGGACCCTTGAATTGAATGAAGCGGAATCGGGTAAGGTCTTCAAATTCGACGAATCGAAAATCAGGAGTCTTTATTCAATTCATTCATCAAAATCTTGAATGAATGGCGATATGGTCGAAATATACGGTGAAAAAAAAGGATCACCCCGCTTCGCAGCTGCCAGCCAAGGGGCATGCAGGGGAGGAAAAGGCTAATGCCCAAAGCCACCCACCAAGGGCCTCCCTTTTCTTTCGGAGCAGACACACACGTACACATCAAGAAACTATCGGGAAGAAAGACAGACATCAGATATGTGTCAATTGCAGCGCACCTGTAGGAGCGCGTTCCACTTTTGCCTGCATGGCGCAATGGTCTTCGCAACAGAAACGAGCTGCTTTGACCCCCATCCAGGGTGGTTTTCCATATCTAAATATGGAAATACCCTTTCCATGAATGGCATGGAAAAGGTATGGATATGGATCCATGTATTTTGTAGGAATGTATCTATCTAGTGGTGTGACCAACCATGACCATGGTTGGTACGTGACCCGTACGGTCACGTGTGCGGCTGAGGGCAGCGTACCCCTTCTCTCCACGCTGGCCTCTGCCTCCTTAGATAGAGAACAAGACGAATACAACATCAGGTTAACCCTAGTACCGTCTCATTGCAGCAGCTGCCGCAGGTGCCTACCCACACTGATCAGTGACTGGCCCACGCCCGTCACAGACAGCTAAGTAGAAGAGACAAATTCCTCAACCTTCGAAGGTGCTATAGTCCGCGTCACTTTACTGTGGCCCTGAGTAGCGCTCAGAAGAAGGTTATTTGTGCTAAGAACAAGGAATCTCCCCGCTGGTTTGCCCAGCCGCGCGAGAGTCCTTCCAACTGTTGATTACGATCGCCCGCTAGTTTGCCTAGCCGTGAGCACCGGAATCGACAGGCGACCACATCGCAAACAACTAGTAAGAACGTTCGACCCTTGACGTTAAGTAGCAAGATCCCCGTCAGTTCAGTCTGGCCGCGAACGACCTACTTAGTACGCGACGCTCGACCTCCTACTTGCGACAACTCGTATACGAAGAGACCAATACGAACCCCACATCGTCTCATTCATTTGATCACGATGGCCCCGACCGCCCGAGCTATGTCCCCAGAAGCCCAGCTCGAAGAAATATGCGACCAGATGCAGGCACTAGACATCCAAGCATCCGCATTCCGACAAATTAATATCGACCTTTGGGACAACGATATCACACACGACGAAACGGACAAGATCGCAGTAACGACATATGTGGCAAAGTTCATATTCATCGTTCAATCTGGCAGTGATCAAGGATACGACCTCCTTGGTTACTTCCAACAGCATTTTGAAGAATGGACCGAAGACACATGGGACCGCGCCCGAATGAATACAAGAGAGCCCTCAGAAACTACTAAGGAAAGAGGTATCTACACAGGTTCACAAAGGGGAAATTCAAACACAATTTCTCCTATTACAAACTATCGAGAACCCACAAACCTGGCCAGAGCAGGAGTTTACGGAGATGGTGTTTGATGAGAGGACTGCTGCCTTCAGGAGGCAGACAGCATTACTAGGATCAAATGCTTCCACTAATCCCCATCCGTCTCAACCTCCTTCACCATCAGTTACGCCCTTAGCAGCACCTCGTCAAGGTCTTAACGAACCACAACCTATTAAGACCCTAACGAGCCCTGCTAACGCACCTACTCCTGCTCCGACTATCCAAGATAAACCTGCTCCGACCTCTCTTACTATTCATCCGACTTCCTACCGCTTCCAGAACCCCGATCTCGTCCAACCCGTCACCAACTCTGTCAGGGCCCTACCTGGGACCCCTGGGTTACCGTGACACACCTGGGGACTACTACGGAAACCGCGGACGGGCACGGCACCCGCGGACGGGCAGCTCCGGGCACGGGCAGCTCCGGGCACGGGCAGCTCCGACGGTAGGTACGGGCAGCCCCGTCATCCAGGTCCGAAGCGACAGGGAGGATATGAGGAGGTCACGGCGTTAGGAGTTATGTGGTTTTCTTTCCTCTTCATCTTAGTATTCTTTCGTTACAGAGTATCTTGCTAGCTTTGTCTGCAGTCCCCTTTCGCTCGCCGTGACATAATACTAAGATCGCCCTTACCGACCCCAATACCCATTTGCGTTAATTGCTCTGCCAATTGCGCTAAGTGGTTATTGCCGCCGGTCACGCCGCACACCCGGCACCCCTTACCCTACGTGGAAGATTCCAAAGATATCAGTTAGAAACTGATCTTCCGTCCGCTAGTACGCGTACGATGGCTCCTACGACGAGCGAGACTCCGGCCAGCCTAGACGGGCCCGCCGACGACCACGACTGCATCGAAGTACAGATGGCTAGTCAGAAGAACGAGAGACAACCTGATCCCCTACTTGAGGGACGAACGACAATGCAGAGACCGTTAGAAGAGACGGCTAGAGTGGGCCGCGACTTCCAGGTCCCCCAGAAACTGACAACAGACTTGCACGAGCTCCTCCTTACGGATTCCGACCAGGACCTCGTCCAGCAGTTCGCACACACCGTCCTTGCCGCGCAGGAGAACCCTACCCCCTTTACAGCAAAGACAGGCCGCACGAGCGGGACCCTAGACGCGGCCTGGGTGAAAAGCGTCATCGCGAATGCGAAACATGAGGGTCTTGCTAGGGAACTGCAACACTTAGTCAACGAACGTAACGCGGCGTTACAGTTACTTCGTTGGACGGTCGAACGGTCCAGCACCCGAGAGAAGGTTGCCCGTCAGATCCTCGAACGAGCCCTCGCGAACCAGAAGGAGCTAGGCCGTCAGGCTAGAGCTCGCCAGCAAGATCTTATGGATTACACGGACCAGATCCGTGCGATCGAGGCGAGCTATGCAGGCATCAAAGACTCTGGGGCGCTCCGACAGGATACCCCGGGCCCCTCAGGAGCACCACACACCCCACGACCTCACGCCATCTCCCCCGTCTGAAGAACGAACCCCCTCGCAGGCGCCATCGTCGACTACGTCCACAGCCCGGACCCGGCACAATACAATCAAGATCAAGGACCCGGAGCCCTTGGACAATGGATCGAATCCGCGTTACGCTGACTGGAAGGCAGCAGTGGAGCGGAAGATGGAATTAAACGCCTACTTCTTTCCCGACGAATTCGCTAGGATTACGTGGATCGCGACCCTTATCAAGGGACAAGCGCACGAGGTCCTAGCGCCCTACCTCGCGAAACAGGACGACCTCGAGATCAGATCCGTGGGTCAGATCTTCGAGCTCCTTGGGTCAGTTTACGATAACAAGAGCCACAAGTGGGAGGCGAGGCAGCGGCTGGATAGCCTGAAAATGAAACAAGGGGAGTCCTTTATCGACTTCGCAGCGAAGTTCGTAACCCTTGCGACAAAAGCAGGACTCCATGACCGAGACCGGATCACAGAGCTTCACAAGAAGCTCACCGGTCGGATCCGCCTAAACAGCCAAGATATCTACGAGCGGTACGAGGAGCTTACGTTTGCTCAATATCGTGACCGGATGACTGCCCGGTATCTTGTTCAGGTTGACGCGTTAGAGGGACTGAAGGAGGACCGAGAGGAGGTTGCGAAGACTAGGATACCGACCCCAGACCGAGGAATAATCCGCCTCCCTCGGTCAAAGGCAGTCCGATTCGCTCCCCAAACCGAGTTACGGGCCCAGCGACCCTCGACCCCGCCGACTACCACGTTGCCGTCTGATGGTACCTTTAAGGGAACTGTTTCGTTTGCAAAGACCGGGCCATCAGGCTGCCGTCTGTCCGACAAAGGATCCCCACGAGTGGCCGCACTTGTGGCGGCAGTGGGGACGGTAAACGACCAACTGAGAGCGTTATTGGAAGGGTCGGACAGCGAAGGTAGCGAGTCGCAGGACGATCAAGATGAGGAGTTCGAGGTAGCGGAAATGCCATAGCCTGAGCAAAGGCTCCGCACAGGCTATATCCTAAGTATTCGCAAGCTTACTGAGAACCTGAACTTATCGACAATTGATCACTTAATTGGCGGTCCTAGTTTTGTGATTAATAGCACGATTCGCAAACATGGTCTCGCTATCTCAGTACGCATCCTTGTGGATACCGGAGCACAAACGTGGCTATTAGGCAACTCACGCCTAACAAAGCCAGCAGCTAAACGACTCGACCTCCTAGACGCAGCTATACAGCGCCGCGTTATATTAAGGGAATTGATGGTCGTGCTCAGTGTATCACTTCTTCTATCCAAGCAGACTTCCAGCTCCAGGGGCGGACTTTCCGCGATCAACCGATCCTTGAGGCCGACCTAGGGACGAGGAACGATTTCCACCTGATCGTAGGACTTATGTTCTTGAGCCATTTCGATATCCGTCTCGACTGCCGCCGTCGTCGCCTTATCTTCCCTCCTGAGCTGGAAGCCCAGAGGACTGGATCCCGATATTGCACTTAAGGCTTCTCGTCTTATGTACCCGAAGCCAGTTTCCCTACGAGTTCAGGCCGACGTAGAGCGGCGAGACCACCTTTGGGAAGAAGCAGAAAGACAGGACCAGGAAGAAGACGGCGCGGCCCATATCATCCAGATCTCTCCCGCGATACAGGAACCAACAGGGGCCACGAGCACCATCGGCCCACGGCAACATCGTCCACGGTACTCTACTCATCGAGGGGATGACCTGGGGAAGATGAACCGAGCACTGGCGGGCATCGAGTGGAGAGACCCCTGCCAGAAGGATATCAGGCCACGGTACCAACGGAGGGCGCAGGATCTCGATATACTGATGATTTCGGCACCAGCATTCCACGCAGGTATCCGTCGCAGGAAGGACCATCGGCATGCCTACGAAGATGTGACTTTCCTCAACCTTCACATGATCGATAAGGCGCTCGGGGAAAGGGGCGAGCAGGATAACCAACAGGACGAGGACGACCGTTTCCTCGCAGAAAAGCTACCTCCAGAGCTCGCAGACCTAGCCGACGTGTTCTCCCGCGAGGACAGCAATAGGATGCCTCCGTCCCGCCCAGGGGTAGACCATAAGATCGAACTAACAGGGCCTGCTGCGTTACGAACGCACCCATTGTACAGCCTTAACCGCGAACAGCTGGAGACTATGAAGGAGTATTTACAGGATAGTCTCCAGAAGGGCTTCATTGAGCCAAGCAGCGCACAGTTCGGATCCCCTGTCTGTTTTGCAAAAAAGAAGGATGGCAAGCTGCGTTTTTGCGTAGATTTCCGGGAACTCAATCAGCTAACTAAGAAGGATCGGTACCCTATCCCTCTTATTAGCGAGACCCTAGACCGCATTGCGAAGGCGAAGATATTTACGAAGCTAGATATTAGGCAGGCGTTCCACCGGATCCGGCTCGAACCGGATTCAGTCGAACTAACCGCCTTCCGCACGCGTTACGGCCAGTTCCACTACAAGGTCCTTCCTTCGGGTTATGCAACGGGCCTAGTACGTTCCAACGGTTTATTAACACGACCCTTTGGGACTACCTCGACTCTTTCTGTACGGCCTACCTCGATGATATCCTCGTGTTCTCCGAAGATAAGAAGGAACATATGCGACACGTACGGCTCGTTCTAGAGCGACTTCGGGAAGCGGGTCTTCAAGTAGACATCAAGAAATGCGAATTCGGTGTCACAAAGACGGATTTCCTTGGGTTTATTATTAGTACGGATGGTATCTCCGTCGACCCTAGGAAAGTCTCGGCTATCCTGACCTGGCAGACCCCACGATGCAAAAAAGAGCTGCAGTCCTTCCTCGGATTCTGCAACTTCTACCGTCGGTTTATCCGTAACTACGGTAGAATCTGCCGACCCTAAACCGCTTGACAGGGAGAGTAGGTGGGATTTCGACGACCGGTGCCTTGAGGCCTTCGAGACCCTAAAGACAGCTCTAACTACCGCGCCAGTCCTCGTCCACTTCATAGAGGACCGCGAGACGAAGCTAGAGACTGACGCGTCGGATGGGGTTATCGCGGGCGTGCTCTCACAACTAGCGGACGATGGACAATGGCACCCGGTCTCGTTCCTTACGAAAACGATGAACGCAGCGGAGTGTAACTATGAGATACACGATAAGGAGCTCCTGGCTATTATCGTGTGCCTGAAGGAATGGATGCCCCTTGTATCCCTAGTCGCTCCCGGAGTCATCAAGATCTTCACCGACCACCAAGCCCTCCAGTACTTCGCTACAAAGAGGATGCTAAACGCACGGCAAGCTCGATGGATCGAGACCCTTGCTATGGTTGGATTCGAAATCCACTATCGCCCGGGCAAGCAAAACGTCGTCGCCGACGCTCTTTCCGCAAGGCCCAGGACGTGCAGTTACAGAAGGCGCTCAAGGAGTTGAACCGCTCGCAGATCCTAATCCCAGCAACTCAGTTTGCAGGGGCACGACGGGAGGGCTGCTATAGCCGCAGGCGCCGCAGGCGGAGACGACCCTACTATTGCCATATATACCCCGGTTCCGCAAGACAAGCCGAGACCCCAAACTCTAGAGATGGGTGCCTACTGGAAGGATTCGAGCTTATCGAAGCGATCCTCCAGGCAAACCGGGCTTCACCTCGCTACGCTCCGAAAGGAGCAAGCAGAGATACCAGACTCCCGGTTCCAAGTCCAGAGTGGCCTCCTCTGTTACGATGGACGACTAGTCGTCCCCGACGAGGCGAACCTACGGACTGCCCTTTGTCACGAGGCGCACCGTCCGCGAAGTCAGGCACATCCCGGCCGGAATAAGATGAGGAAGATCTTAACGAGACGGTACTACTGGCTCGGGATAGGAGGTTTTATTGACCGTTACTGCGCGAACTGCGCGGACTGCAAGCGGTCCCAAGACTCCCGCCTCCGACCAGCGGGACTACTCCAGCCACTGCCAATTCCGGAGCGCCCCTGGCAGCACATCTCTATGGACTTTAAGACAATGCCACGAGACAAGAAGGGGTATACGGCGGTCTTCGTTACGGTCTGTCGGTTGAGCAAGAGGACGTTCTCCCTACCGACATATACGACCTGTACCGCGCAGGATATGGCCTGGCTTTTCTACGAGCATATCTGGAGGACCTACGGCGCACCGGAGACCATTACGTCAGATCGCGGGCCGCAGTTTATTTCGAGCTTTGGAACGAACTTTGTCGCCTCGTGGGGACGAAGATGAAGCTATCTACGGCCGAACATCCTCAGACGGACGGTCAGACCGAGATAATAAACCAGTTCCTACAGACAAAGCTCCGTCCCTATCTAGACTACTACCAGGATAACTGGTCCGAAATGCTCCCTGCTTGGATTTCGCACACTCAACCCACCCACACGAGAGCATCGGTCTAGCACCTGCGGAGCTTGAGATGGGATACTTACCCCGAATGTCGTTCGACTGGTCCGTGGCGCCACCCACAGCGACGGCCCCCCCCAGAGAGCAGCTAGGGCGAACAGCGGCGCAGCAGTTCGCCTCCCGGGCCGCCGAGGGGGTCCGGTGGGCGAGGGAAACCCTACTCACCAAGCAGGCGGAATACAAGCGGCAGGCGGATAAACGCCGTAGGGAGGTCGACTGGGAGGTAGGCGACCTGGTATACCTGAAAAGGGACACTGGTCAACGGGACGCCCGAGTGACGGCTTGATCAACCCTACCTAGGCCCGTTTCGGGTCTTATCGGCTAAGGGCCAAACGCTTTCGAATTGGACCTACCACCAACGATGAAAATCCACCGGGTTATTAACGCTAGCCGACTACTTAAAGCGCCCTCGGATCCGGTACCAGGACAGACCTACGAACCGCCCCGCCGGTAGTCATACAGGGGAATCCGAGTGGAGATCGACCAAGTCCTTGCATCCAGGATTGCCAGGGAAAGCTGCAATACCAGGTTAGTTGGAAGGGTTGGGACCCGGACCCAGATTGGTATCTAGCGAGTAACTTCAAAAACGCTCCGCTAGCCCTACAACACTTCCACAACGCCCACCCCGATAAGCCTGGCCCTCCGGGCCGCTTAGCTGCATGGATCCAAGCAGCGGCGACGGACCAAGTCGCCCTAGACACACCAGATGACGACCTCCCGACTCAACGGCAAGACAACACAAAAATGAGGCGACGGCGGGTAACGAAGTAGGTATGTCTCTGGGTATTGGCATTACGGCATTGGTCAGAGCTCGGGGCGAGCTCTCCGGAAGGAGGGGTAGTGTCAGGGCCCTACCTGGGACCCTGGGTTACCGTGACACACCTGGGGACTACTACGGAAACCGCGGACGGGCACGGCACCCGCGGACGGGCAGCTCCGGGCACGGGCAGCTCCGGGCACGGGCAGCTCCGACGGTAGGTACGGGCAGCCCCGTCATCCAGGTCCGAAGCGACAGGGAGGATATGAGGAGGTCACGGCGTTAGGAGTTATGTGGTTTTCTTTCCTCTTCATCTTAGTATTCTTTCGTTACAGAGTATCTTGCTAGCTTTGTCTGCAGTCCCCTTTCGCTCGCCGTGACAGCCGAGATCCCCGCCACAACTCCGGCCGCAGCCGGGCTGCTTGTTGGCGGCAGAGATAGCGCCTCGGCAGGTACGGTCGTAGAGCGAGGTAAAGGCGTGTAGCGGTGATAGCTAACCGGACGCAGGTAGATCGGCGATAAGACGGCAGGCGAGGGAAGAGCAGAAGAGGAAACGCCATCTTAGTAGTGGGCAGGCCGAGCGGAAACGCGCCCGGGTCGGTGAAAGGGTGCCGAGACCAAGGGAGCTGCAGGCCGAGGACCTAGCCAGCGCGCTGCGGCACCTCGACGAGGAGTTCGAGGCGGGCGAGAGGCTGGCTAACGAGCAGACGTGGTGTGCGCCGGTGCCGCGCGAGAGGCAGGTGAGGACGGTGCGGAAGTTCTACCGGGCGTTCCACGACGCTGGCACGCTGCCGATCGCGACCTGCACGCTATGCTACCGGAAGCGGGCCAAGGGGAGCTGAGGAGATGGCGTGGGAGGGTGGGAGGTGGTCGCGGAGCGGTGTTGCGGGGGGCGGGCGGTCCCCGTTCGGGTGCCAAGCCTGCTTCCCGGAGGGCAGGCCGGTGGCGGTCTGCGCAGAGTGCGCGCGATGGGCCGGGCGTGAGGGGGCGTCGCCGGCCATGCACCTCCATGGGCGGCTCGGCTGCGAGCACGCGTACCCCGACGAGCTAAAGGACCTCACGCCGCTCGAGGAGAAGCTCATCTCGCTCAACTCGTGCTACGGCTTCGTGACGAAGTATAGCATCCCCGGCGGCCAGAGGCAGAGCGTGAGGTACCCGAGGCACGTCAAGGGCCATATCACGGTGTTCCCGAACGACGTGCAGGGCCTGGCTGCCAAGGTGCTCCCGCACCCGCTGGTCCGGGTCATGGACGAGATCCACGTCTCGTGGCAGGGCGCTGAGAGGCCCGGGCCGCGGGACCTATCAGGCCTGCTGTCGGTAAGGCGGTCGGCGGTCGAGAGGGCGCTGGCCTGGCTCAAGGAGAACAACCCGCTCTACGGCGAGGTCGAGATCGACGCGGCGGAGATAGCCAGCTGGGGGGCGCCGCCGCACGGGGTGCCGCCGGTGGTGTGCGAGCGGCTGGAGCGAAACGAGCCGTCGGCGCGGGAGAGGACGCAGACGGCGCAGGTGGTGCCGCCGTCGGAGCGGGCCATGGACGACGGAGGCGCGGCCGAGATCGAGGAAATCCTCGCGATGCTAAGGCAGGGCCAGGACCCCGCCGAGGGGAGCCGCGACGTCGGGCTCACGTGCGAGGACGACGACAGGGACGGCGCTAGGCCCGAAGAGGACGGGGACGTAATCAATGAGGTAACGTCTTCCGGCATGTTCCCGTTAGATGGGGCGCCAGATGTGGCCGACGCCGAGAAGATTCGCTTCGCCCGCGACGCGGTCGGGCCCGAGGGAGCGCGCGCCAGCCCGAGGACGTGGGTAGGGACGGCGGCCAGAGGGGCGGCGGGCGACGGCGGCGACGGCGAGCCGTACATACAGGTGCGACGCGGCGAGGATTTCGCCGACTCGGCGGACGCCTCCTTCTTTGCAAAGGCCTTTCCGACCCTGTTCCCTTTGGCTTAGGCGGGCCGAGGCTCGCCGACGAGGACGCCGCGGGAGAGCGCGGGCCCTAGCGTCGGGAACCAGGGCGCCCAGGCGGAGCGGGTTGCAGAGGGCCTTATGTCGACGCGGAACATGAAGCTCCAGGCATGGGCCGACGTCGTGCTGCGGCGTCACGGCGGCCGGTTCGCGACGCACCCTATCTTCGCCTTCCTTGTCTTTAACATGGGCGTGCGGTCTAAGAACCGCCAGGCCAGCATGCTAGGCGTAGCGAGGAAGAACTTCGCAAGGGTCGAGGGCCTACTAAAGTCGTTAACGGCGCAGAGGCTCGAGGCGGCCAGGCCGAGCTCGAGGCCACAGGTAAGACTAGCGACGACGGGGTAAAAGCTCCTCCGGTCCCTCTCCGTGTTCGGCTACCGGCAGCCAATGTCGAGGAGAGCCGCCTTAGTATGCGGAAGAAGATACTATCCTCATCGTTAGGTACGGGGTGCCGGCTATCTGGTTCACGCTGAACCCGAACGACATTACGAACCTAGTAAAGTTACGGCTAGCGGCGCACCGCGGCCGCGACCCCGACGAGGCCGAGGCCTTCCTAAGTGACCTAGGGACCGCGTATAAGCGGACGCGGCTGGCCATATCGGACCCGATGAGCTCGGCCGTCTTCTTCCACCGGGAGATGACGCTCTTCTTCGAGCACTACGTCAACGTCGGGGAGGAGTCGGTGTTCGGCCACGTCGGCGCATACTACGGGGCGGTAGAGACCAACGAGCGAGGCGCCCTCCACATCCACGGGCTCCTCTGGCTAAGGGGCAACGCGGGCATTGGCGACGCGCTCGCCGGCCCGGACGCGGAGGAGCAGGCGGCGTACCGGGAGCGCATCGTCCGCTACGTAGATAGCGTCTTCTCTGAGGTAAGGCGGCCGCCTTAACACAACCCGATGCCCCTATCTGGGGCAGGCTGAGGGGCCTAAGCTGAACCGAGGCCGCAGGAGCTAGACGCAGAAGGTTACTGTGCCATGCAGGCGGAGCGGTCGGCCACGGCGCACATGTCGTCGCGGCTCGACGACGTCGCGCGCTTCACGGACACCTTCGACGAGGAGGCCAACTTCTGCGCGGGCGCGACGCAGATCCATACGCATAGCGCGACCTGCGTAAAATACTCGCTCGGCGTGGGGGCGCGGAAGGGGGACCTCTGCCGGTTTAAGGCGCCGTGGAGGTTGGTGGAGAGGACGGCGCTGACGGCGGACGGGGTGCTCGAGATCCGGCGGACGCATAGCATGGTGAACCGGTGGAACAGGGCGATGGCAGTGGGGCTACGACACAACCACGACATCTCGTTCATCGCGACGCAGCGCAAGACCATGGCCCTAATCTACTATATTACTAACTATGCGACGAAGGTAGAGGACCCGTGTGGAAGCGTGTGGCCGCCGCGGCCGAGTTCCTTCCTGTGCTAGAGCCGACGGGAGAGGGCAACAGAAGTGGCGCCGACCGCGACGCCGGCCGGGAGGGCGGGGCCGAAGGGGTAGCGACGGCGGCGGACCCCGTAGGGGAATAAGACGAGAACGTTCCTGCTTAAGGCGGCGAATCGAGTCTTTACGGAGCGGCCGCTGTCGCAGGTCGAGGTGATCGCGCACCTCCTAGGGTACCCGGCGGAGTTTAGCAGCGGCTCAGCGTGGGCGTATATAAACGCAAACCAGCTCTACTGGGCCGTCTTCCGCCGGTGGCGGCACCTCCGACGGGCGAGCGGCGCCGAGGCGACGGGCGACGCGCCGGACGAGACGGTCGTCGTCGAGGAGGCTGGCCTGAGGATCCTCTCATCGAGGCCTACCGGCACCGGGGCGAGCTCCTGCGGGGCCTCTGCCTTTATGACTACGCATCGCTTGTAAGGTTAAAGCAAAACGGCAGCGGCGCCGACGGTATGGCGGGCTGGGGTGAGGTACCCTTCGCGGAGAGCTGGGCGTCGGGAAGGGCTGGGTGCAGGCGCTTAGGCGGCCGGGTTGCGGGGCGACTGTATGCGTCGACGGATACCTCAGCAAGGAGTTCAGCGAGGAAGACGACGAGTCGTGCCACCGGAGGTGTGTACTATAAGACGGGGGGCGCCTAAGAGGAAGGCAGAGCAGCTAGGGGCATCGGCTAACAGCATCTAGGGCGGCGGTGCAGCACCTGGCCCTATTCGTGCCGTGGGAGTCCTTCCTCGGCGAGGAGGCAGGCGACATTAACAACATCTGGGCACGGGCGCGAGTCGCTGGCGCCGAGGGTCGCGCGGCTCGCAGACAACGTGCAGCTCCTCCGGCGGTCGGCGGAGGACGCGAAGCGCGACGCCAAGCAGTGGGCCGCCACGGCCGAGGAGGGCGGTATGACGGCGCCGCAGGCCGACGACGAAGGCAGGGGCGGCCGAAGGGGGCGAGGAGGCATACCGCGCCGGCGGGGCGGGCGACGCGGCTCGGCTCATCGACGTCGTCCGAACGCCGCCAGCGCGGGACAAGTCACGGCGCAGTCAACAGAGCTGCTAGCGATGACGCAGCAGCTCTGCCGGTTCCAGCAGTCGGCGCTCGGGTCGGCGGCCGAGCTCGCGGCGACGGTGGTGGCGGACGAGAGGGCAGGCAGGCGGGTGAACCTACCGGGCTCGGCGCTGTCGGGGCGGCACTGCCGCGGCAAGAAGAGGTGCGGGCCATCAAGTCGCAGCAGAGGAGCGCGGCGCGGGGCGGGAGCGGGCGATCCAGGGCATCCAGGGCGGCGGGGCGGCGGCGGGCGTCGGGGCCGACCGCGGCGCGGCCCTTCGCGGGGTGATGGGGGGCTTCGGCGAGGACGACATCGACGTAACGGCGGCCGACGGCGACGCAGACGCAGGCACGGCGGCGGGGATGCGCGTGCGGCTCGGCCCGTCGAGCTCGTTCGTCGCCGCCGGCAGGGAGCTGGCGGGCCAGCTCACGCTCAACGAGAAGCAGGCCATCGCCCTCCTAATCGTGTGCCGGCAACTCGACCGAATCCGGCAGGGCGACGACGCAGGCGGCGACGGTGGTGGCCAGCTCTGCCTATTCATCGGCGGCGAGGGCGGCACCGGCAAGTCGCGCGTCATCGAGGCGCTCGTCGAGCTGCTCGCCCGGAGGGACCTATCGAGCCGGGTACTGGTTACGGCGACGTCGGGGACGGCGGCAGCGCGGATCAACGGCATCACGCTGCACTCGGCCTGCGGCCTTACAGTCGGCCAGGGCGGCCGGGCGGGAGGGGCGACGAGGGACATTGACGGCGTACGGCTGGCGGGCCAGGGCGAGCGCTTCGTCGACGGCCGGTCGCGGATGGACTGGCAGGAGAAGGAGGTGCTGGTGATCGACGAGGTCAGCATGCTCGGGGCGCGGACGCTGCACGCCGCCAACGAGCAGCTCTGCCGGCTGCGGGGGGTCGGCGCGGGACTTCGGCGGCATCCCGGTAGTGATCCTCTGCGGCGACTTCCACCAGTTCCGGCCGGTGCAGGAACGGTCGATCCTGCTGCCGAGCGCGGCGGTGGCGTGGGACGAGGACGGGGCGTTCGCGGCCGAGCAGCGGCGGCAGCACGACAAGGCGCACGCGCTGTGGCGGCGCTTCACGACGGTCGTCATGCTAGACGAGCAGATGCGGGCCGCCGGCGACCCGGAGCTGCGGCGGCTGCTCGGGCGGATCCGCCGGGGCGAGCAGGACCGGTCGGACCTAGAGCTGCTCAACTCGAGATGCTACCGGCCGGGCAGGCGGATCCCGTGGGAGACGGGCCTGACGGTGGTGACGCCGCTCAACCGGAACCGCTGGAACCTCAACCTAGAGGCGGCGCTCGCGTTCCGGGAGAGGCGGCGGACGGCGGCGCGCGTCTTCCTCTCCGAGCATAAGTGGAGGGACGGCGTGCCGACGGAAGAGGAGGCGGTGCTAATGCTAGGCCAGGGCGACGACAGCGCGACCCCGGTGCCGGCCGTCTTCCTCTTCGTGCCAGGCATGCCGGTCGTCGTGAACCAGAACACGCACCAGGGGCTGAAGCTTGTGAACGGGGCCGGGTACACGGCGGTGGACGTCATCCCCGACCGCGCCTTCCCCGGCCACCGCGTCTCGGCGGAGCTCATCATGCACTTCGGGCCGCCGGCGGGCATCGTGCTGGCCTCGGAGACGACCAAGGACTTCCACTTCGTCGGGATGCCTGCCGGGACGATCCTGCTAACGCCCATCAGCGTCAAGATCACAGCGCAGCGGAAGCGGCCATGGCAGCGCAACGACGTCAGCCGGAGGGGCCTGCCGTGCGCCGCGGCCTTCGCCTGCACCGACTATAAGGTGCAGGGCGGGACGCCAGAGCGCGTGGCGCTGGAGCTGCGGGGGCGAGGATGACGACGGTCGAGGGAGGGCGGTGCCGTCGTCGTGCGACCCGTATAGCCTATACGTGCAGCTGTCGCGGTGCCCGACGCTCGACGGCATCATGCTCGTATCAGAGGTGCGGGAGCGGGACCTAGTGGGGAACCGGGTGCCTGAGGAGATGACGGCAGCGCAGGCCCGGCTAGAGGAGCTTAGCAGGCAGACAACACAGGAGGCGGCCGACTGGCTCCGCAGGTAACGCAGGCGCCCTGCATTTTCCACACTTCTGACGTAAAAGGAGTGTAGGTTAAGGGCCAGGAGGACGGGCGAAGGGGGTGGTCTGTGGAGGCGTGTGGTCTATGGCGGAGTTAGAAGCCGGGCCGGCTTGGGCACCTTCCTCTATGTGGTCTGCGGCGGCGTATGGTCTACGGAGGCGTTGGAAGCGAACTGCGCAGCTGGAACTAAAAGGGGCAGCAAGGGGGCAGGGCATTATGCATTTTTATTTATTAACGAATGAAAAGCGAGAACATCGACGAATCAAAAGCGAGAAAAGAACAACTGACGAATCAAAAGCGAGAACGCCAGCGAATCAGAGGGCGGCATTTGCGGGGGGGAAATCGATGGCGAATTTTTTTTCTCCCCGGGGAGGAACCCTACAGGAGAAGGCTCGCCTCGGGCTCGCGCAAAGAGCCTTGAGGAACGAAAGTTTGTGGTTGAAATTTGAGGCTGAAAAGGGGGATTTATCTGTGTGTTTGATGTTTCAAGGTTTTGTGGTGGTTGCGGCATCACTGGCACGGAAAAAATCTTTCCCGCAGTAGCTTGCATCGCGCGACGGGTGACTGGGGGCGAAGAAGATCGGGCGCCAAGCTGTCAGTCATGTCATGCAGCAATACGTGTGAATAAAAAGCAAGGAGAAGATGAGAAGTGATGGAGGAAGAGGGGATAAAATAAGGCGTAGAGAATTCGGCCTTGACGCATCATATGCGTCAGTTAACGTACCTCACTGAGTCATGCAACGCACCACGTCATGCAACAAATTGCCCGACCGGCAAGCCAGAGCGAAAATTAATCCTGCAACCGACACAACCATTTAAAATACTATTAAACATTACAATTATGTGAAACACTTCATACAGAGTCTATCTATAGGGCCCAATTATCTATACACCTCCTTTTATTAACTGTACACCAAAAAGTGGATCAACTGTGGCTGGGTCAGGCGCAGTGCCGATGCCGCTAATTTTGGTGCGCCCATTCCCGGCCGGCCAGCTGGCCAGTTCGTGATGCTTGCGTAACAACATCCTGTAACCGTAACTATCAGCAATACCATCAAAACTGAAGCTATTCGCACCGCGTTTTCTGCCCTTACGAGCCCGAATCATGGAGTCGCTTACGAAGACACTATTCCCGACCTTCCAGGCCGCGATGGAAGCCGCCGATACCGTTGTTGAGGCTGAGGGCTACGCCCTACACATTCGAACATCGAAGCGGGATAACGCTGGCCAACGCAAGTCTGCACTTGTTCGTTGTATCAAGGCCGGCCCCTACGAAAATCGGAAGGATAAAGCTGCTCATATCTCTCGTCGTCGCCTCAATACAGCAACCCAGAAAACAGACTGTGAATTTCGCCTCTCGTTGAAGGAAAAACGCGGTTACTGGACTATCTCTTATCTTCACGATGTTCACAATCATCGCCTTGTTGATGACCCGATGGTCTTTCCGAAGTACCGGGCGCTTGTTATCCAGAAGTATCGCGACGACATTATCCGGAAGTTTAATAACAATACCCGGCCGACCGATATTGCTGGCGAGCTTCGTGACCTGGTTCACGACGATCCTCGTTTAGCCGGTATCACGGCTCAAGACGTGAGTAACGCCTTGGCTAGGCACCGTCAGGAAGAACTAGCTGGCCGTACGCCTCTTCAGTTTCTCTACGACCGGCTAGATAAGTCCGACTTCTTTCATCGAGATAGTCGTGATCCCCAGGGCCGGCTAACTGGGCTATTTCTCGCGCCTCGTGCTACCTTCCATCGATGGCGTCAGCATCACGATGTCCTCGTCCTCGACTGTACCTACAAGACGAACCGATTCAATATGCCGTTATTGAATATCTGCGCGGCCACTCGAGATAACAAAACGTTCTCTATTGCCTCTATCTTCTTGAACGGCGAGACCGAGTCCCATTACTATTGGGCTATCTCGTTGCTGCTAGTCCTTTGCGAGAAGGAGTCGATCCCATTTCAAGGGTCACTGTCACGGACCGAGATACTGCGTTGCTTAAGGCGTTAGATAGCTTTCGCGAGCTTCAAAACAGTACTAACCTTCTCTGCACGTGGCATATTAACCAGAATGTCGTTGCGAAATGCAAGCAATTTTTCCCTAAGGCATCAAAAATCGGCAATCGAGTCGTACGGGCCCCGGCATTCCAAGCGTTTCTACAAGAGTGGAACGAGATCGTCAAGTCACAAGATGTGAATAGCTTCAACGAACGTTTACGCCAATTTGAGACACCAGGCCGCCACCCGCTTGCAGCTATACAATACTGTTGCAATACGTGGCTAACGCCTTGGAAGGAGAAGTTTGTATCTTGTTTCGTTAATCAATATCGCCACTTCGGGCGTACAACGACCTCGATCGTCGAGGACTTCACTCTCATATGAAGAAGTTCCTTTGGTCCTGTACGGGCGATTTGACGACCGTTTTCCAACGATTCGAACGCTTCTGGGGCCATCAGGCTGCTCAGATCACAGCGATAGAGAATCGAAACCTCCACAAGATATCAACGTTCTCCTACAGGCGCCGTATATGCCGATCCGCGAGCGAGTATCGTCATATGCGTTAAAGCTACTAATAGATGAGCATCGCAAGATCCTCTAGACCCCGAAGTCAACGGGCCAAACCGCCGCCAGGTCAATGTCCTTGTAATTGGGCTACTAGTCGAGGGCTACCGTGCTGCCATCGAATCTTCGAGTCTATCAACACCAATACCTCCCTTACACTCGACGACTTCGACCCATTTTGGTATATTCCGATCGATACAAGCGCTCAGGGCACAAGCCCTACTCGGGCACCATACGAGCCACAAGTTATCAGGGCTAAGGGCCGCCCCAAGGGCTCACTCAACCTCGAAGAGTCACGGCGGTCAAGATCAACGCGGCGGGATCCGTCACATCACGAGATCGCTGAACGGCATGAGCGGGCTGAGGCTATACGACTGCCTCCTCCTCAACGGCACCAGCGGCGATGACGGGTACGGTAACGGCCGCGATGACTTCAACGGAACGAGGGCTGCGGCACATCGAGGAAAACGGCGATACGTACGAGGCAGGCACACGGATGCAACGGGCGTATCAACAAGCCGGGCGTCAAACGCCAGTCTCTGATGATGACGATCAGCCGGTACGGCGGGAGACCCAAGACTGCATCTTCGTCGCTGGCCTCACGGACGATGCCGCCCTTGAGGATGTATGGGATCAATTGGAATCACAGTTAGATGAAGCGGATCAGGCACGTAGTGCACTCGAAGAAGGAGGCCTGTTGTAAACACCAAAGAATAGTCTCATCAGCATAGAAAGCGCAGTACGAATAGCTTCAATTTTGGGTGCCTTATCGTTGAAGGAGAACTGTTACTACCTGGCTCTACTTATCGTAGAGAATGTGTGCATACAAATTGGCGGTATCGGCCCTCTTCGGCCGTCAGCCACAGTTAATCCACTTTTTGGGTGTACAGTTAATGAAAGTGGGTGGATAGATAACTTGGGCCTATCTATATGATGGTTTTCTTAGGAAATATGAGCAGGCGGTCTTGTGGTCCGCCCAGACCTGAGAGACTGAGAAACCGGCCTCCATACTTCCCTGCGCTTCCGTCGAACGGGAGGTATGTCTTTTACCCCTAAAGCTCCGGGACTGTGGTCTCGAGCCACTGAAGGCTTCAGAACCAATCTTTACCCTTTCTTCCTCCGAGTTGTTGCGTGGTTGAATGCCCGTCGCGCAAACCCGCTTCCAACGCCCCTCGTTTTTCTCACCGCTACCATGTCTTTTGTGCCCTCTTACACCAGGCTTTGACGTAGCAGCTACCTCAAACTTGACTTCCCGAATAGCCTGGCGTTCAGCCTCGCGTGCAGACCTCTCTGCTTTTAATTTTGCTGCGGCCTCCCGTTTCTCAGCTCGCTTTGCCTCGCGCTCCGCAGCACGCTCTGTCTTCTCTCGAGAACGCTGCTCTCGCAAGGCCTGACGCATTGCAGCCCGCTGTTTTTTCTTCTCGGCGGATTCTCGAGCCTTTTCTTCACGTGATATGGCTACCTGGAGTCGACGATCTTCAATGGCTTGCTTGCGCTGCTCGTCGGCCTGTGCCTTGTCCGTCTGACGTCGCCGCGCCAGTTCCACCTTGGCTGGACTGAAAAAGACCGGCTGGCCACCATTTCTTCTGGATTGAAAAGGCCCAAGGCCTTTCTGCGTTTCCCTTTTTTATGTGCAAGTTTGAGCGCTTCCTGTAGATCTCGATTTTGGTGTTGTACGAGCTCATATTGTGTCGCCAGTTTCTCTGATGCTCGGGAGAGCGCTGTGACTCGGGAGTCCATCAGCCCTTCCTTGCGGAGACGGCGGGTAATGCGCCGAATAGCCCGAAGAGAGCCTGGAGTCTTCATCGCCCTTTCCTCAGATGCAGTTTGTGGGGGTGTCACATCACTGCTGTGGCTAATCTTGGACAATACTTTGCCGGGGTCGAGTGGATGGATTCCTGTGGCCCGCCAACCAGCCTCGATATTTTTGGCCGTAAATGCCTGGTTCCACGCATCACGAAAGAGTGGCCAAAAATTCCGTTTGGTAAGGCGAATTAACCCCCATCCAATGGACATCAGCTGGTCGGAACCTTGAGCATAATAGGTGGAGAGTGCGGAAAACAGGCCAACATCGAGTGGTTGAAGCCGATGAGTTGAGTGCGATGGCAACACAGCAATGAGAATTCGATTCCGATCGGCATAGTCAATGAATTTCAGGTTAATGTGACTATTGTGACCGTCTAAAATTAAGAGACGGTAGGCACGACCAGCCTTTTGCTTCGTATGGCAGTCAAATATGCGCTGAAGCCAGTGTAAACCCAGTGCATCACAGCTCCAGCCGTTTTCCGTACTGGCGAAGAAGGCTACTTGCTGGAATGGTCAAAATCCTCAAGCCAAGTATCTTGAAAGTCTTTTGACTCCCCTTTGTAAATGAGGGCCGGTGGCAGGTACGAATAATCTGCACATATGGCAGCGATCAGCGTGATGAACTCCCGGTTCCCGTCTTGGCTTGCCCCGACCAGTTTTCCGCGCCTGAGGGCTTCTCGGGGGACAACTCGCTTGGTGGAGCGAGAGAGACCAATTTGGAATCCTTCTCGTCAAAATTATAAACATTTGAGGACTGATGTTGTACTTTTCGATCTTTTCGCGGAGCTAGTTGGATTCGGTCAGAAATGGCGACTTTACGGCATTTGACCGAGTATTGTCGGCAGTATACCCTTGAAATGACGATAAAAGCAGTCTTACTAGATTGAAGAAGTTTTGAAATGCCTGGAATTATCAGCAGCCTTCCGCTGATGATCTATGGTGCGCAAATACAAGCTCGAAAGACGGTCATGGTGTCGCTTGCGGAAGCGGCTCACCCAGTTGACACCAAGCTCTGTCCCTGCGATTTCCTCGGCGATATTCTTCAACATCTGAGGGTAGGCGGGATACCACGGTCGGTCAGCTTATTGACGTGCCCAATAAGAATCTCCTCCTGCGCGCTGGTGAGTTTCTGTCGCGAGTAAGAGTTCGCGTCGTGATTTGAGGCTGTTTTGCCTTTGAAGCGGCGCCACAGCGTGGATTTGTCGATATTGTATCTCCTCGCGGTCTCTGCATATTTAGGGCGATCTTGGGATTGCAGTTCTATAATTGCCTCTGCAATACGAGGGTTGTGGTCCATATCGCGTCAATTTGAAGAAGACGCGTCAGGTGTTGAAAATTGTTGCATGACCTAGTGCGTTGCATGACGCAGCGGGGTACGTTATGGCCAACAGGAAAGCGGGATGAAAAAGGACACAAAAGAGGAGTAATCAAACATACACTCCTGATTTTCAAACATACACTCCGACTTAAGCCTATTCGAGACCGCAGCCCCACTCGCGCGCGTATTTCAATTAATTCTATGCGCCGCAAGGCGCCCGGCTACCAACTCTTTCTACTTCCCAACTTTCCCGTTTAAAAGAATTGGCAATTGAATTATCACCGCCGGATGCCCGGAGCAGAGTTTTGGATTCCTAATTTATTGGTAGCAAAGGCCTTGGCCCGCGCGAACATGGTAGCGTTGTGTCGCGCTCGGAGAATTGAATTTGCGCGCCAGAGGCGCCGGAAGCGCGCCGGAGTGGGGCTACGGTCTCGAATAGGCTTAAGTCGGAGTGTATGTTTGAAAATCAGGAGTGTATGTTTGATTACTCGACTGACTGGTAATTTACCGTCATAAACCTCCTTCCTATTTAGATTTAGTGCCTGTCCCGAACGGAGTTGGCGACATGGGCGACTCAATTTCCCACTCTCGGTAGGCAGTGCTGTTGACATTCTGTTTGCACGAGCGGCTTCATATTGACATCACACTTGTATCTGTTGGATAGAATGCGCAATAATTGTCGCTGTCACATTACTACGGATTAAGGCGATGGTGTCGAACGTTCTAGATAAGGGACTGGATATTTCCTACTTGGGGGGACTAAAATCCGTCCCGATTCCCGCGCATGTCAAGTCATGCACGGGGGGTGCGTTGAGTAGCAAAAAGTCCGTTGATTCGCAAAAAAGAGTACATAGCGGCCCCGCCAATTAACTAGTAGGATTATGTACCTAATTTCCCCCCCCATAAACGCACGAAGCCCCACCACGTCGATTTACGCACTTATCCGTACAACAATTAGACATACAGCTAGATTGATGGTCTCACGATGCTAGATTGCCTATCTATTCCTCCTTTATAATAGCTTCAAATTCCTCGGTTAGCCCGTCAATAACGATCTCTTCAGTAATCTCAATTCCGTCAACTTCAAACGTAAGCGTGCTGTAGACCTCTCTTGGGTCTCTAAGATAACCAATTCAACGGCTTTCTGTACGACCTCGCGATCGTAGTCTTTGGGCCAAGTAAGAACGCTGCTTCGAGTGTACGTAATGTCATTGTACCATATCCAAGCGAAAGGACAGTCAGTCGATCGATCTGGATTGCCAAGGGCACGGAAAGCGGCGTATTGGTAACATATCGACTCGATACTATCCATGTAGCTTCGAAGACCTCGTTTGTCGCGGCCAAGGAGCCGTAGCTGCTTGTTTGATGACTTCGAGATACTATCTCGGCAGGTACCCTTAACCTGCCTAACCCAGCGGCGCAAAAACGCAGCCTCTTCACGGACTTCCTTTTTAAGCCGCCTTCGTGCCTCGTCAGCCTGTGCAGCCAGTCGGTTGTATTCGTCTTTGCGACACGTAGTCTCGAATCGTGGACGGTTAATGGCCCGAATTTCCTACAATCGATGTCCCTTCTGCTAGTTTCGATCGTCTAAGCTGATTCTCTTTGAGACGCCTCATCTCATCCGTGGCGGTGATACCATTGAGTGCGAGGGTGCGCTGCTTTACGTACTTTTCCCTGTACGTGTGCAACTGACGGCGTAATAGGCGTACCTGATGCAATAGAGAGGTCTATTCGTAGTCTGATGAATTCATGGCATTTGTGGATGTCGTGAAGATTTAGCCGTGGTGTTTTGAGGGTCTTCCAGTCAATACGATGGACTGTAACGGGCGTTGCTGGCCCTCTACCGCCTGGAACCGCTTCGATCGATCGAGAAGTTGGCGTCTGTGGTGTAGAGCGCATATTTTCGAATGCATCCTCGTTACTACTATCGTCATCTATTGGCGTGCCTTCCTCAACGAACCCAGGGAGTTCTCGTTCGCGGACAGAGTCGGTTAATGAGGATAACGCATCTTGCAACTGGTCGAGGACGACGCTTGGGTTGAATGGAAAGAGACCAGATTTCTCCCAGGCTGATAGGATCGTAGGCCGCTTAAAGGTTCGGTTACGCATCTCTTGAAGATGGAAAAGGAAGTCGGTCTTGTTGAAGTTAGTAGCTCCGTTTGCAATCTCACGATATAGCACTTGTTGATGCCAGTGCTTGTAGGGACCAAAGACCCCAACGTCAAGCGGCTGGAGTAGGTGAGTCACATGAGGCGGTAACTGGAACAGCTGTATATTGTGTTGGTAGCAAAAATGCACCAATTCGTATGTAAAGTGGTTCTCGCAGCCGTCCATTAAGACAAGGCGCTCCTCTTCGGGGACTTGGGGCCGGGTGTGACGCTCGAAGTGGTCGATGAATTCGAGGGCAAGGCCGCAAGGATATCGTTGACGTAGCCCTTTGGGCTTGTTGTAATTGTCGTGCCTTTATCGAGGTTATCGTTAACCCAACGGACCGGGATCTGTGTCCCTGGAAGGATGAGGAAAGGAGGGATACTGCTGCCGGTCGCGGAGATTGACTCTATAGCAGTAATCGAGACCGTATCCCGAAAGTCTGTTAAGACGGGGTTATTGACTTCGTTAAAGGTCCAAATATACGTCCCGGTATGTAAATACCCCACCATAAAGCCTGTTTCATCGAAGTTCCAGATATTCTCGCGTCTGATGCTATTTCTATCGATGTACCTATTCCAGTCTTGGTAGAATCGAGAGAGGACTTCACGGTCTTGCATGACTTTACGCTTTGCGTCTCGGGCAACTGCCTTTCGACGATGGAAATATTGTTTGTAGCGTTTTATAAATCGTCGAGCCCATGACCCACTATCTGTAGTATTACCTCGGCCCGTAGCTTTGAGTATCGCGTTGGCATGTTGTTGTAAGGAGCGTTGCTGGATGTGGTGGCCTTGTGTGATGCGGCGATGCGCCCAGCATAGTACCTCCTTCTCTTCTTCCGGTGAAAGAAGTGTACGGTTGCCTCCATTGGTAGCCTTTGGATGATTGCCTTGAATACGAGACCGTAACCGATAGTAGGGTACGCGTAATGCAGCAGAAGCTGCCATGATTGTACGGTAAAACCCATCGTGATAGAGCTGGGTTGCTGCGACGGTTCGCGTCTCGAGGTTATCGGGTGTAAAGCGCGAGAAATGAGGCAAGCCGGTCTCTGAATCGATCCACGTATTGATAATAGATGAGTTACCTTCTAGAGAGGCCATACTGCAAAATTGGGATAGATAGTAAAATCGTAGTAATTGTTATCGTTAAAAATACTGCGCCACGCCTTGCACTTTAGTCTTTAGGGCTGTGGTGCAAGGCGTACAATCAGCCGAAGGCTGCGAGTCTGGCTACCAGTCAAGCAGTCAGTCACTGAACAATCAGTACAGTATCTACAATCATACATTCATCTGTGCCTTGAAAATGTCGATCTTGTCGCCGGTAGCATCAAGTGGAGTTACGTAGACCCGTCGCCTATCTTATACGGATTCTGGGTAAGAACCTGTCGTTTGCGAAGTTGTTGATCCTTCATTTTCATCTTAATTCCTTCCGGCGGCGACGCATAAGTCAGGTGATTGCGGTCAAACGGGCATCCAGCATCAGACCCTGCAGCGTTTTCACACGCGAGACGGCCACGTAGCTCAAACCGGTCTGAAAGTCACGGCACGACAGATCCGTCACGATCATGTCTTCGGTGATGCTCTGCGACTTGTGAACTGTAATGGCGTAGCACACGATCAGGGGAAACTGCGTACGAGTGCAGAGTGTGGCTCCGACGAGGAAGTCCCTGTCTACTGGCAGAATCGGGACAATCTTCCTGCCATCTGTGGTGGTCAGGAATACCGGCCCCGTGTACCGGTACTTGTCAAACTCCATCATGATCACGCAGGGAGGGTCTCGCATGGGGTCAGCTCCAGGCGCCCACGCGATATTGTATACTGTACCACGTGCACCGTTGCAGAGGCCAACCGGCTGCCAAAGGTTGGACGTCAGCATCAGACGGGCGCCAATGCATACGGGAATCTGCTTCGCAAGGTTGCCTGCCTTGTCGTCAGGAGCAGCAGCAGCACCGGGGCCAACGTTCTTAGCCATGACCTGATGACAGGCCGGCCTAGGCGGTCGAGGTGGTAGTGGTTATATTCGTTCACCCTGTCTTTCGTGGCGTATACTCGTAGGGAATTGACGAACTTGGCAACCTCCTGATCGTCCAGCTTCGCCTGAACACGGCTGGAGAGGAGCTTCCAGGACTCCATAGAGAGTTGGAGCAGCCGCAATTCCTCAAGAGCTGAGCGAAACGCTGCCTGATCGTCGCCGCGCTGACGCTGGGCAACCTTCAAGAAAACCGTCTTGTCGAAGCGCCGATATGCGTTCCTGCCCTTGATCTCTACCCCCCTGCACCTCCTTGTCGTAATAAAGAGGCTTCTGCAGTACAGGGGGGAAGCTGAAAGAAGTCGCCAACCAGGAGGATATTAAGACCACCAAAGAACTCCTCATTTCTATTCGGGAACGCCTCACGGAGACGGTCATCAATCCATGACAGCTGTCGCAGACCCAGCATGCTCTTCTCATCGACGATCAGGTACTTGACATCCTTTAGCTTCTTCTGGAGCTGAGCTTTGTCGATCGCTGACAGGGGCTTGAAGTCCTTGTTGATGGGGAGGTGCAGCAGGGAGTGCAAGGTAGTGCCCGATATCTGATTTCCCGCAACGCCCGTGGGCGCGGCACGCCAAACAGGCGTCCCTCTTCCGCCCGAGGCGGCTTGGAGGTGCGCCGAAAGCAGATTGATGAGGTATGATTTGCCCGTGCCACCGCCGCCGTCCACATGGAGTAACAACTGGGAACAGGCCTGGGTCAGAAAGTGGCCCATCACCGTATCGTACACTAGGCGCTGCTCCGGATTCAGGGAATCGCGAGCCTCCAGCGGCTGATGATCCACATCAAGGTGAAGGGGATTTTCGGCTTTGCGTTGCTTCCAGAAGTCGCCCTGGAGAATGCCGTCATCGGTATACCGTCCAACGTGGGGAGTCCAGTCATAATTCACGTCGACATCTCGCCGGCCCAGCACGTCGATATCCTCCTCCTCCAGCGGATGGTCTGGCAGCATACGGGCGAGTTCATGCCAATCTTCCTCCACGACAGGCTCTTCGTGCTCCTCCCGCTGAAACTCATCGTCCTCTGCCTGCAGCTCATTTGCTCCCACCTCGCCGTAATGGTCGTCCTCATGGAAATGGTGTCGCTGCCGGCAGCACTGGTACGCCGCCGCAAAGGACTCAAACGGCTGCCCGTCCACAGCAAGCAGCTCCTCCGGAGAGCGATGCGGATGGGCCATCATCAACTTGACACGGCAGAAGTCATGAAACTGGGGTGATGCCTCCGCTGACCTGTACCGAGGGAAGTAGGACAGGACCCTCTTCTTCGCGTTCGCACCGAGTCTCCTCCACGTCTTGAGATTGTAGGACTGCAGGTACTCGAGATAGGTTATACTCTCATGTTGGTCATTTCTCTGCAGATATTTCCGGTAGCTGCCGACAGCCTCACTGACATCCTCGTCGACGCGGAACGACCGCACATGCTGCTCCAACGGACGGCAGTCGACGTACACAACCATCCGAGTGCCTTCCTGCAGAGGGATGTTGAGCAGCAAGTGGGAAATTTCCTGCGCTGAATAATCTCTCGGCAATCAACTTATTCATAAGGCGAGAGGAGAAGGACAACAGGGGCTGGTGGTGTGCTGTATGCGGCAAAACCTGATCTGCGAGCTTGCAGTAAGGCTCCGTCTTCTTCTCCGATTTGCTGCAATACTTGGCAGCATACGTAATGACTGCCTGTAAGCTGGTGCAGGGCGATATGTCGATATTGGCCAGCCAGCCCAGAATGATGGCAGGATTGAAGTGGTTCATGAGGCTGTCGTTGTGGGCTGCCTCGAAGATGTAATATGACTTACCTTCTTTCCTGATGACTGCGGCTAGCTCCCGCAAGGCACGGGGGAAGTTGAAACGACACTCCCTCTCCGGATCGGCGACATTGGCCGCCTCGATATCGGCTGCAGCCCCTGCATATCGTTCGCCAGGTCCCCACTTCTCTTTCGGACCCGCAAGCAGTACGCGGTATTGCATCTGTGGCGCTGGCAGCGGTTGACGATTTGCGAGAGCCGCAGGAATGTCATCTCTACGCCCAGCGGATCCACACTCAGGGGATTCCCTTCACCCTGGGGCATTGTCCTGTTCGGCTCCGGGTTAATGGCAGTGATGTGGAATCCCCACGTGCGTGCAAAAAGGTCGCGAGCGGTTTCATCCCTCATGTCGGCTACCGGGCCATTCTCCATCCAGTACAGATCGTGGTTGTGTGGACTCCACGCCCTTGCCATTCATACCGGCCCCAGTAATCCGTCACGTTAAACTTCGTTCTCAACACGATATCCCGAAAGAGACAGTATCGGCGGTTAAAGTGGAAAGCAGCAATGTGAGGTTCTGCCGCAACAAGTACCGCGACAATGCCATCCTTTCCGGCTCGGACGCGCCCAGCCATTCTTCATATCGGGGCATGTGTTGGTAGAGGCTCCGCCAGTGTAAATCAGCCGGGCTAAATGTGATGAATGCGCCAGGACAACCCAAGCTGTAGGCATACGCCTCGAGGTCCTGCCTCTTTCTATTCCAAAGGGTCGCGTACCGCGAATCGACACCGCATGCCTTGTGATCGAGTTGATCAGCGCCTGCGCCCGTGGATCCTCAGCGTGTTCGAGCGCCTGAATAAGCTGCTCTCGCGTGAGCGGCTCACGGGTGCCATCGTGTTGCTTCACGAAGAATTTGGACCTCGCACGTGCTTGGGACCGCATCAGGGTGTTGAATGCGACAAAGCGGAAGGTTGGATGGCGCGCAAACGGCCGTCGTGCCACCGCATCGCGTGCTCGATGTAATCCTTGTACTCAATGGACCGCAAGCGAGGCTCCACAAAGTCGGCTCTGCCGTCTGGAAACAGGCAGGGAATGCCAAGGAGAGCAGGGCATGAGAGTGATTGAACTCATTGATCGGCGTGTGCCGTATGTTGGGAAGCTGGAGCTCGTGCCTCGCCTGCCCTGGAGAGCCTGTGGCAAGGGGTTGCCCCGCATCCGCTTCGGATTCACCCGCGAGAATAGACCGCAGAGCATCCAGCTCCGTGTCCTTGGCCAACAGGTCAGGCACCGCAGCCGCATCCTCTAGGTCAGGCTCTGCCTCCTGATCTTCCTCCGGTCCCACATCGGCAGCCTCCACCTGACTTTGGGGGATGGCGTCCACCACATTGCCGTCCTCGGGCAGTTGGCTCAGTCGCTCGTCGTCGATCGCGATGGATCGATAGCCAGGATGATGATGGCGCAGGTAGTCTAGCCATATCATAACCGCCTGGCGACGCACGCGGAACTGGCGGGTGAATTGCCGGCTGAGATTAGCGTGTGACGACGTGTTGGCAGGACGCAGCAACACCGTGTTCAACTCCCGCGGCAGGAGAGGAGCTGGTTGTACACCAAGCCAACCTCGCGGAGAAAGTGAACGACGTGCCCTCGATACTTGTACTGCTGCCCCGCACAAGCATAATGTTCACGTGGACATGGACACGAGCAATCAATGCCTCTTCGGTAGGTGTGAGCTCGGGCAATCGGGTCGGTACGGGGCCAAAGTCGAGCTGGTTTTCCGCAGAGAAGAAGTAAGGCTCGTCGGGGCCACGTTTCTCATCCTTTCGATAGCAACGCGAACAAATGCCGTCATAATCTATTTCCATCTGAAACCAACACTCGCGGCATCGGCTGCAGTATTCCATCTGGTCATTGTTGAGCTTGGTCCAGAACTCACGGAGGGTGGCCCTATCGCAGTCCGTCAAGGCCCAAGCATCCAGGTCGCCAGTCCACGCCGGATCTTGTGCACGGAAGACCGCCATTTCTTCCGGTGGAATTATCACTGGACTTCGAATACGCCGTGGCGGCCGCGACAGTCGATATTGCCGTCGAGGTTGTCTCTGGATTCGCCTTCCCGGTTGTCTCGGCCGCCCTCCTGTGCCAGGGCAGGACCACGGCGGCCGCGTCTTGGCCGCGCAGACGGCTGCTGCAAGCGACTACGAACAGGGCTTTCATACACTGAATCGTTATCGCTGTTCTCGTCTTCGTTCTCGGCATCGGAGTTACAATCAGCCCCTAATTGTTCACGGTAGCGACGCGGTCGAGCGGGGGAAAGCAGCAGGTTGAAATAGTCCTCGGCGTCCATATCGGGTTCGGAAAACTGGTCTCTATTGCCCCCTTCCTTGGCTACCTGATCCCCATTCGGCTGCGGCCGATCTCGACTCGCATCTACTTTCCCTGTTGGCCCGAACACACTGCTGCAACGAAAACACAAGGGACATCTTATCCAGGACACCCGAACCTTCCGAGACGCCGAGTTGAGATATGGAAGGAGTCAGGGACACAGTCTCCCCTGCACGACGTCGTGATCGATGGTCGCGCTGGATAGCGGCCAGCTTAACCCTAGCCCCTGCGGTAGAGAGATCATCTTGCGATACCTTCCCGCCTTTGTGAAATCTAGCAGCCAGGTAAGAATAATTCATTCTGGTTGCGTTGCCTCGGGCAGTCGATGGATCAAAATGGGAGGCGACTGGATCGGTCGCTGGCTGCTCAGCAGGTAAGAACCGCGAGCTTTGTTGGGTTGGTGGAATTGGCGTTCCCAGCTCTATGTGCGGCTGGCTAATTGACTTTTTGAATAACGTCATAGCTGCATGAAGTCGTCGTAGCTTCTCCGGCGAACTAGGCTGGGTTCCCGATCTCTCGCTGGGAGGCGACAGGTCAGCATCTGCCTCGACTCTTTCACGCTAGCTCTCCCAGGCGAGGAAGGACGGGCGGCGAGGTCCTCAACGTCAGAATCGACCTCGGGATCTTGAACACTTCACTTCGTTAGTATTGAATGTCATACGGAGCGGGAAGACAGAGCTGACATGAGAACTGCACCGACTCCGACAGTCCAGGCAGTTCTTGGTGTTCCCGCCAGTTTTCCGTTTGCTCACGAAGTCACCTGCCGGTTTCTTCTCGCCACAGCGGGCACAGACGATCGAAGCCAAGTCAACTTGGAGCCCTTGAGTAGACCTAGAACTCATTATTCAGCCGAAGGCTTGAAGCAAGATATCAAGACGAGTTGGGTCAGTGAAGTTTCCATGTCACGCGACATTCCAAGTCACGCGACATTCCAAGTAAACAAACCGGGACCCACTTTTTAGGAGCCGTCATCCAGTTGCTGATCGTTTTGCGACCGTACATACAAATTTGGGACCAATCAGAGCCCAAGAAACTTATGACCCCTGTCTGCACCAAATCCTCATATATTGGGAAACTTATTCTGATTAATGTATAGTCAGCCTTCGGCTGAATTAACTAGTCTTGTGATATGATGTCTAACGCGCATCGCGCGTCATCTAGCGTTAAATGCGGGGTTGTTTTTCTTGTAACGCGGATATGTAGGAAAAAGGGGGTACCTTAATTTGTGTGGACCGCTCACTAAACTATAAGTCACTATATTTTTTTGCGAATCAACGGACTTTTTGCTACTCAACGCACCCCCCGTGCATGACTTGACATGCGCGGGAATCGGGACGGATTTTAGTCCCCCCAAGTACCCCAAGTCGGCTAATTCCTACCCCAAAGTGGCGCAAACGCCACGACTTGCAGTGCCCACATAAATTCGCTGGTACCAATAGGTACCTATTTTACATGATACAATGCCTCAACCTCCCAATTAATTGCCTCAGCTATTCACACGATTCGTTTAACGCCTCAATCGCCTCCTCAATCTCTCGCTCAATTACCTCAGCATCCTTATCAGCCTCGTCTGCCTCGTGAACCGCATCAACCGGGCTTGGCTCATTGACACGGCTATTGCCCTGCCGCCGTGCATACCCCAAAACGTCATCAAAGTGATCAATGAAGGTATCGTCAACCTCGTCATCTTCCTCCATATCGGCCTGCATACTTATTTCAAGAGGTCGGGGCGAATACGCTGCTCTTTGTGACGCCCGTGGCGCCGCTGTGCCAGGCTGCATTGTATCGTGTTGATGAGCTTGTTCGAGTGAAGCCACCGTAAGGTCAACGAGGGCAGCAGAGGCCGAAGGGCGAGGCGGTTGTGCCTGCGGTTGTATGACCACACCGCCTCGAACTCGAGAGGCCACGCTGCCTCGAGGCCTGCCTCTCGTGCGCGGAGCAGGGGCTGGGGCCGAAGGGGGAGGCAAGGACCGCGGTTGTGCTTGCAACTCTGCTCGCTCGAAATGAGAGAGATCGCGGCGGCTGCTTGTAACCCCTCTGCCTCGCTGATGAGACTGTGGTTGTGTGGCCACGCTACCTCGAGGTCTGCCTTTCGCGCGTTGTATAACTGGTTCGAGAGGCACAGGCCTGGGCCGGCTGGGCGTAGGCGTAGGCGCAGGCGTAGGCGTAGGTGCAGGTTCGTCATTATCATGAGATTCGTGATTATCTGGAGAAGCCGTAGCCCACCACCAGCGACGATGAATCTGATCCTTCGTGAGCGGCAGCGAGGCTTCAATTTGTCGGTCAAGCGTGTGCTTACACGGAATTCCGTGTGTAGTCGGCAGACGACATCGGCAAGGGCCCTCGAGCCTGCCCTGACGAGGCAGCCCACGAAGCTGCTTGCTTAATATCCCTGTGACAGTTGGGGAAACCTCGAATCTGATATCTTGAAGCAAAAAGTGAGGCACGGAGATGACCTTATTCCGGCGCTGTTGTGCCTCGATTCGGATTTCGCTTTCTTGGTGGTTCCAAAAGAGCTGGAGCCGCTCAAAGACAATCTTGAGAGCTCCAGATGAGCGCTGTTGAAGGAAGCGTTTAAGGCTCGCGTGAGACGACTCCACGATCGAAGTTGTAACGTGCCCGAAGTGAGGAAGGCGGTCAACTTGAAACCTCACGAACTTATGACTCCAAGGCTCTATCCAGGTGTTAACGCAATATTCCACGGCCTGGGCAGCCTCGCCTGTATAGCGGCTTGGGTCTTTGAACTTTAGAAGCCTCTCCTGATATTCAACCTCGTTCCGGCTTCGCACGAGTAGGTGCCACTCTGCAATGAATTCTTCGAATTTCGCGTCTTGTTGTATCACGCCATCGGCGCCACGGGTCGGCTTAGGGAAGTGTTTCTTCGTATTAGCGACGACATTGGTGTTGATATGCCACTGACAGAGTAGATGAGGCACTGTATGGAAGGCTGGATGGGCGTTGAGCCGTTGAGCGCCCTCATCAACGCCAACTCGCGGTCGGTTATAACGCAGCCTGGGTGGCGGATTTGCTTCTCGTTGAGAAGCTCGTGAAGCTTCTCAATAGCCCAAGCGTAGTCCCCCTCTTTCTCGCCGTTCAGGAATATAGTAGCAACCTGGAACGACTTCTTGATCGAAGAACAAGCGCAGACGTTGAAAAGCGGCATATTGAAGCGGTTGGTCTTATAGGTGCTATCGAATAGCATCACTTCAGGATACTGGTGGAGTAGGTTGATGCCGCTTTGCGGCGCAATGAAAAGACGGGTGAGGCGCTTATTATCGTCAACTTCGTGGCGGACGAAGAAGCTCTCCTGCTGACGTAGCTGGTTGAAGAGCCATTCAATTGGCGCCTGTCCTTGGAGCTGCTGTTGGCGGTATTTCGCGATGATATTGACGATATCGCGCCTCCCAATTTGACGAAGGTCTGGGTCATCGTGTTGGCGTAACTTCGTGAGTATTCCGACTGGCTGAAGGCTCGAACGAAGCATCTCGATGATATCATCACGATACTTCTGAGAAATCTCCGTCCTATATTTCGAATAGGCAGATATCTCGAATGTCGGGTGATTATGGAGGCGCGCTTCTGCAGTCCCACTCCATTCAGGGCTCCACATGCCATCAGCGCGGCGTTTAACCACGATCTTAAAGGGGCAGCTAGTATCTTGGGTATTCCCTTTACGTCGCTTGGTCTCATGTGTGCCACTATCACGAAGACGATATGGCGTGCCTTTACAACAACGCCAAATAACCCGGCGAGGATCAGTAGCGTTGGGCTTCTTCGACTTTAAGGCGAGGCTGACAGAGTCGGACCTCGCGGCACGGTGTATCGCAGCCTCGCACGAGGCAAAGTCGTCGAAGGTCTGGCCGATGATCGATTGCATGATGAGGGGATTGACAACGAAGAACAGTAGGCAAGAAAATGGTACGCTGCGTGCGTGCGAATACCCTCAAAGCCTTGTGGATGGAGTGAAAAGTCAGGTAGGAATTGAGACATGGGTACCTGTTGGTACCAGCGAATTTATGTGGGCACTGCAAGTCGTGGCGTTTGCGCCACTTTGGGGTAGGAATTAGCCGACTTGGGGTAGGAAATATCCAGTCCCCTAATGATATGATGTTGCTGGCGCATATACGAATAGAGATAGTTCCGGCCATGTCCTTGTACAGTTGTAGAGATCTATGACTGGCTGTTGAAAAAGGACCGGGCGCGTTCTCTTGCGGCTTGGAGCGCTTCAGGGGATTGGCGGCGGTATAGCCCCTCTTCAAGCCGAATTCTTTCAAGACGGAACTTTGAGATCGTAAACCCCTCATCTCTAAGTCGTTTAAGCATGAAATCATCCTTAAGACATTCATCAAAGAAGAGCGACCTAATTCGGTCCCGTAAGGTGTCTGAAGTGATCGTACGTGCTTGACGAAGAAGTCCCCAGTCTTTGATCGATCGATAGAGACTGGCGCGGCTTACTTGAAGCTGATGATGCTCGAGAAGATGCGTACGGATTGTATTAATCGAGGATCCATCTCGATGCAAGCCGGTGATTTCCTCCTGAACTGTGGAAAGATCAATCCGTGGTCGAGGCATACTTGTTTAACTGAGTACAGCGCTATTCGGGCTCAATGATATCGTAGAAGGGAGAAAAGCACTGAAAATGTGTACTAATGCGCATAGCGAACGCTTCCTTTCTTTCAATGCCCTATGCTAATAGAAGAGTATCGGTATATACAAGTTACCAGTTGGACTTGGACCTGATCGGGTAATCTAACCCCGGGGTACCCATAGCCCAAAATGAGTTTTGAGACAGTCTGGCCTACAGTCGCCCGTAATGACGAACCCGAGCCTCGGAAGCGCCTAGCAACCGATGAAGCGGTTGTCTCCAATCCAATCGAAGTGCATGAAGAAAAGGCTGTTCAGCCAGCATCAAGAAGCCGAGTCAATCCATTTACTACTAGTGCAGTCGTAAGGCAGTACGCCGTGATATACTATTTGGGTTAAAATATGGCCTCTCACCCACACCAACAGCTCTATATCCAAACCTATCCCCGAAGCCGCTATGGTCGAAAATAGGACTGTGAAACATGCTGCGGTTGTCCCATATAGCTATATCCTCGTTAGTATAGATGTTCCTCTAGCTCATCGGACTGTGACATAGGACTTACCAAGATCATTCGGGTTTTGCCACTTGAGCCGCACCTGCAAGTCAGGGTTATGATAAACCATATCGAGAAACAAATCCAGCAGCTTCCTGCTCTCCTCCTCGGTCACGCCATTTATATTGATGGATGAGAAAAACTCATTGCTGCACACGGGGAAGATGCTCTTCCAGCCGGTGACGGGGTTGGTGCGTACTACGGGATGCACCGCCTTGAGCTTGGAGCCCACGTTCTCGGGTGCGCCGCGCGGCTTGTCGTATAGCTGGAAGCCCCCCCTCTCGGCGACCATGCGGAAGAGCGGCTGCTTAAAGGTGGCGGTCAGGGTTTCGAGGAATTTTTGGTAAGGCTCGCTAAGGCGGTCGTAGAGTTCGTACCCGGAAGCCCAGAGGGTATCTAAGTTCTATATTACCATGCGTATTCACAGACAGCAAGTATAGTATGGGTAGGTAGTTATTTATTTTCGAGATTTGCGTGTTGGTAAGGGGGTAATCAAGTAGTTGACGTGGGACGATTAGATGGGAGAGTGAAGTCATAACGATGTGGGAACTCACCACCACCAGTTCTAGGCAGCTGAACTAGACGCAAAGACGTATAATCCGCAGGCACAGGCTCAAACGCAATATCGCTATGCCACCTCGCCGTGGTCTGTATCTTAGGGCTCAGCTCGTCCGGCCCAGCAACCTTCCAGAATTCGTCGGTCTGGACGGAGCTGATAGTGCTAATATTTTCGTCCTTGCCGCCGAGCTCGCGCTCCGAGTTGAGGACTGGGTGGATATGCAAGCCCGATGTCGCCGGGCGGCCGGTGAGCTTACCGAGTCTTAGGACGAGCTCCTTCTGCAGGTTATTGGTGAGGTCGTCCTGGGCACGGAAAAAGACGACTCCGCGCTCAGAGACTAAAAGCTATCAACATGGGCTGCGCTTATATCGCAACTAAGAAGGGCGAAGTTGACTTTAAAAAATACTAATGAGTGAGACTGACTGGTTATGGCGAGGTCGCGTATGAGCTCGTCCGAATTGGGGGCGTTGAGCCACTCGACCAGCTTGGCGTTGGGGAACTCGCGACCAATGATGGGGGTAACATCAAAGGACTCAAACTGGTCCAAGACACCTGTCGTCTTAAGGGATTTGGGGCCTGGCTGAGCTTCTTTGGTTACGGTCGTGGGAGTCGAGTCGACGACAGCAGGACCCATGGTAAAGTGTCTGTGAGAACGGCCTTGAGTTACAATAGAAGCCTGAATTTGTTTGGAATCAATGATGCTAAGAGTGATTCTATCACATCAATACAAATCCAGGAATCTTCAGCATTATATACACGATGGAATCACAGCTCCTGCCGAGCCCGCCACCTACCTTGAATGTCTCGCCCATGCAGTCATGACCACCCATTTCGTGGCCCATGATCACAACTCACCACCTTCCCCTCACTACTCGTGAAAGCTAAAGCGAATATAGAAAATTGGGGCGAGAACGAGTAGGATACTCACTAGCAGGTTGCTGTAAGGTAAACGCGGCATGCGTCTAACCAACCTATGTATGTGATCGATATCAGCTGATGTAGATCCAATGCAAAATAACTTGCGCATTGGCAAATCACCCCATGACAACACAACGCCCTGCACGCTGAAGTTCCGAACTGCATGGGCTAGTCGAGACCGGAAGCATGGCTTTATGATCGACACCCATCTTATGCACTATATTTATGTGTTGTCAGACACACATACTGTATTTATGTGTCGTCAGAGGCACATACTATATGGAGTATATACCTTAGCGCGCCATGTTGCGATGACTGTACGCCACTCAGGCAAGTGGAATGCACTCCTACAAGTGCTCTGGCGACGTGTCTACCTTCCGACCAACAAGTGTTCCCCTCGACAGTCTTCTTCTCGACACACCCCCTCAGGGACCACGGCTCCGCCGGGATTCCTGAATCATGGCCTAAGATGCGGAAGTCGAACACACGCGCCATGCCCGGGCATGGAGGAATCCAAGAGGAGGGCGTCGCCTACGGGGATTGAACCCCGCACCGCACGCAGTCACCGGAAGTTACAGGGATAGTTCGCCATCCCGGGCTCATAACTCTCGCGAAGAGAGCATGCGAGAGGGATGATAAAGTGGATAAAAGGTAGTCACAGAGGTGTCTTTGTATATGATCAGATGGCTAGTGTTGTCGTGTCACTCGTGTGTGTATTGTTGTGCCCTCTGTGTGTCCTCTCGCTGCCCTCTTCTGGCTCCTTATTTAATTATATCCCCTTTTCGTAGGTACAAGAACTAAGGGCCTGGGCTCCGTTCGCCAGCCTCCCCCCTTGTATGTAGGCTTTCTGGGCCTCGTATATGCAGTCTCCCTCTAGCCTATGTGGCTGCCTCATGCTGTCTAAAATCTCTCTGCAGACTGCTCTTCTGCCTAGCCCTAACAGAAACCCTCAGCTGTATACCCCTCGTGGTCACTCCAAGCTCAAGCTCAGACGTCTGAGATTTTCGCAGACACCCATGCTAAAGTGCCACCCTTGCGCTCCTCTCTGCCGTTCTCGGGGAGGATTCGCTGCCCCGCCTTCTGTTGCACGACGCGGGCTGGCTCCGTCGCTTCGTGGTATTTCTCACACTGTCACACTCACAGGGCTCGAACTCACTCGGCCTCGGGCTAGGGCAAATGTGCGCAGTTTCCGGAAGTTACAGGAATGGTTAATTACGCTAAGCTACGTACCTACTGTACATGGTTCCATCGCACCTAAAGCCCCACGCTTCTTTTCATCTGTTTCCAGCCTCGTTCGCTGTGACATGACAGGCCTACTTGAAGGTCAGTTTCTCCAAGTGTTCAGCGTCCTACCTTCAGCGGCTGAAGCGCGGTCTGCCAAGTTTAAGGCTGTTGTGTTAGTATGATTATCCCTTGATCAGTACATGGTCCCTCGTCGGTCCATACTGAAGCGTTTTGTTGCCAATGCGAACTGTATTGTCGCCCGTACAGCCCCCATATCGGGCTGCCACTTGTCGTCGTCTGACTCTGCCTTGCCTCCTAGGAAGAAAGACAGGTTTCCCATCTTTCCGCGAGCATATCGAAGCATGATTTCTCGTTGTACCGTCCATCTTCTGCATCGAAAGAGGAAATGTTCCACCGTTTCCGCCGACTGTCCGCAGGTGCACTCATCCGATTCCTCTGCCCCGATTTTGCAAAGGTAGCCATTCAGTCGTGATTTGCCAGTTCGAAGTTGTACCAACACTTCAGATTCCTTTCTAGTTAGCTCGTCGTACATCTTGCGGGGGTGCTTGCCCGGCAATGCTTTATCGATGCGCTTTGAGTGCTTTCCAACCCTTTCTGGGATCTGACGAACGCGAGTGTGTTCGTTGAGCAGCAGTCGTAACGTCGTTGCTCTTGCCTGAAACGTTGCTGGTTCAGCGATGCATTCATCTCGCGTCGCTCTTTTCGCTTGCATTTTGGCCAGTGGCCCAAGGGTGAACTCCTCATTCTTTGCAGGCACCCAACGAAGTCTGACTCTGCAGCCTCTTTTCGCAAGATACTCAACAGATCCGTATATCGCCCGTATCGTGCACTGACCAGACTGCTGCCGCGGTCGCCCGATGACTTGCAGGACAGAGCGGTTGCTTGTCACAACTGTGAGCTGTCGGTCATGAAGACCTAGAGGTACACACCTCAGGGCCATGGCGATTGCCTCGAGTCCTGCTGTGTAGGCATTCTGCTCATCACTGGAGCCAAGGGTGACGGAGTAGCTGGCCAGCACCTCGTCTGCGCTGTCACGGGAAGCATCCCGAACGACGCCTCCCAACCCGACCTTGCCTTTCCTTTGCGAGCTGGACGTCGCGATAGTGATGTCCTCCGGGTCATCCGACTTCAGCACCTCCGCTCGGTCTGCCTCGTACGTTGCCTGCACTCGTTCGTCCCACGGCGCCAGTGCGAACTCGTGGATGACTTCCAGGCGTTTGGTATCTAGTCTTCCCATCGCCGAGGCGAGCTTCTGCATTGGCGACGCATACCTCCTGTTCAGCTTGAGCCTCAACGATGTCAGAGGATGCGTCTTCGGGAGCGTCCGCATCCTTATCCAGAATTTCGCTGCCGCTTGAGCATGCCGTTCTCGGAACGATTGCACGCCGGCCTCGGCCTCGGCCACTGCCGTTGCCACTGTGCGAAAGCCTCCCGTGACAGCCTGGGCTCCGATTCGCTGGGCCCTGCCAATCCACGCCGCTTCTTTCACCCCGCACGCGTGCGACCACACGTTTGAGGCATAGTCCATGGCTGGCGCCACCGTCGCTACGAACAGTTGCCTCGCCATCCGTGGCGAGGCCATCTTCAGTCGTTTCAAGCACATGGCCGCGGCCAGCCCTTGGCGGCTGCTCTGGCGATGTGCTCTTTGAAGCGAAGCGCTTTGTCCATGATGACTCCCAACAGCTTCACGTTGCTCTTCGGCTTGACATCGTTTCCTTTGATGATGAGAGGCAGGTCGCTGTCGCGCTCCGCGATGCGTGTGAAGTGGATGACGGATGTCTTCTCTGCTTCAAATGTGGCGCCGCTGCGCTTCTCCCAATCAAGCGCCTCATCGATAATCGATTGAATACCATCTCTGTTTGACTCCGCCGTTGGCCCCGTGACCCAGGCAGAGTAATCGTCCACGAAGGCGATGGAGCCGCCATTGTTACTGATCCGTCTTTGCACCAGGTCTGCGTTGAAGAAAAGAAAAGCCACTGGCGACAGAGGGGATCCCTGGGGTAGGCCGGCCTGCGGCAGGGTTTGTTGCTCGGATGTGTGCCCGTTGACAACCACCGACGCGGTCCGTCCCGAGCAGAATGCGTCTATCCACTTGACCAGACGACTCGGGATGCCTCGGGCTTTCATCCTTTCGAGCATTCGCTCTTTGCACACCCGTTGTATGCGCCTTTGACGTCAAAGCTGATGAGGCTGAGCACTCTGCCCGTTCTCCAGGCCTTGTAGATCCGCTCCTGCAGAAGCACAAGTGCTTGATCTGCGGACCTGCGCTTCCGTGCACCAAAGTGGTTCGTGGGCAAAAGCCCTTGAGCCTCTACTGCATAGCTGATACGTTCCGCAACGACTGCTTCCAGGATTTTGCCAAGCGTTGACAAGAGAGAAATCGGTCGCCACGCCTTGGCCAAGGTGTAATCCCCTTTATCTGGTTTCCTCAGGGGAATGATCTTAGCCGTTCGCCATTGATGAGGCACGACGCCCTCTCGGAGCGATGAGCTGAAGAGCGTCCACACCCGGTGCTTGACCACGTGCCAGAGCTTCTTCCACACGATCGCAGGAAGGCCATCCTCACCAGGCGCTTTCCAGGGCTTCGCCGCCATCACCTTCTCCTCGATCTCTTGCAAGGTGAGGTCTGGCATGGCTATCTCTTCTCTTTGCGGACGTTCACCCTCCGGCTCGATCCTCGTTGGCAGAGGCGGAAAGAAGGTGCTCAGGAGTTCCTCGGCTTATGTATGTATGTGTATTTCACCCGGAGGATTTCTCCTATAGGGCCTAGACGTAAAAGCTACTGACATTTCAATACATTAATGCGTAACACCTTAAGCCCCACGGGTCAGCATACGCTACACCAACCTCGCCGCTACTCGCTCCGTGACAGGCCTGCTTGAAGGCCAATTTCTCCAAGTGTTCAGCGTCCTACCTTCAGCAGCTGAAGCGCGGTCTGTCGAAATCCGAAGTCGAATACCTGTGTGTTAGTATTGTTGAAGGTTAGTGCCATAATCGATCCTAAGTGGATTCTCACTTCCGCTGCTTAGCCCGAAGGGCCAAACGCTGCCTGCGTCTCATCCCCAGGGTTCCGCGCCCGACAGTTCCGGCTGTACGATTCGTGTGGTCCACCGCAGGGCACGCACTTTGGCACTGTCTCCTTGCATTCTCTGTGGTGATGTTCTGCTTTCGCGCATCTGCCACATCTTTGCGGCTTCTTGCATGAAAACGCCTTGTGTCCCATCTCTTGACAGTTGAAGCACTGAATCGGTCCTACGCGGCGTTCAAAAACATTGGTGCAGGCGGACTCTCCCGCAACATCGAACCACACGCCGTCCAGAAGTCTTTGCGCGTCACTCTCTTTAGTGACATAGATCACCATTGACCCGTACGCTTTGGCTTTCTCTGTTGCTAAGCCAGGTGATCTTGGCAATCGTGACGTAATTCTCGGCTCCGAGCGCCTCAGCTGCGCCCGGCAGAACGTTGCCTTCGGCGTCCAGCACTGCGGTACGCTTGGTGTTGTCGACTTTGACAGGGTAAAGCTGATCTCTCAGTACCCTGGCTCCCGAAGTTACCGTCTTCTGCGCTGCTTCCTTGACCTGCTTCAACTCGGTTTGGTCTCTGCATAAAATTTTGATCCGGTCGGGGTTTCGAGCGTCTGTCACGACCGCTGCGCATTTCCAAGTCTCCTGCCTCTGACTCTTTCTCATGTCGCTCTCTATGGCCTTTCGGATGTTGCCGATCTGCGTCTGGCACCTGTTCGCTTCTTCGACTCGTGATGTGTCCACCGTACAGTAGAGACTATCGCTGACGGCTGTTCGTGCCGATTTAGCTGCTGGTACGGTGCCCCGGTTCATTGTCTGGATCGTCGGCGATGACCCTGCAGCGCTCGCATACGACATCTGCGGACTGCTCTGCAGAGAAGATGCGGGCGTAGTCAGGGTCTCTAACTGCGCTCGGATGTGACGAAGCTCATATCTCATCTCTTTCCCTTGTTGATCCATTTCCTGGATCATCTGCTGTTGCTTGGATATGATCTCGTTTTGCGCATCTATCGCTCGGCTGAGCTTTTGCGTTTCTTGACGTGACTCGCTCAAGAGTTCGAGAACTTTCTGGAGCATGGCTCGGCCTTCGTTCGCGCCACCGCTGCTGCTGGCAACTTTGCGCCGCTCAGTCGCGTCACTGATGGCGACATCGTCCGAGGCAATGCGCGTTGCAAGCCTAGTTGCGCGTGTTGTCTTCTCCGCCAGATCGTCGGGCTGTCGCGCGGCTTCTCGAATTTTGGTGCTTGACCTCACGACGCGTGTCGATCTTTTCGCGGGTGTCGACGCAGGCGACGCGCTTCGCCCCACCATATTCACGGCCTCAGCCGGCGTCTCCATGATGAGGCCCCTCAATGCCTAGCTGGCGTTCGCTTCAGGCTTCTTGTCGAGTTCGTCGGATCCCCGGTTTCCGCGTCCTTTATCGCGAGTTTTGGAGCCGAGATGCGTCTTGTGCCTTCTCTCGCGAAGAGAGCAGGGCAAGGGGCATAATGTTTTTAGGATGCATGTGTTGTCTTCCATTTTCCCTCCCTGTCTGCTGTACCATTCTCCCATTTATGCCCTTTGCTCTCTCTTCTTCAGTCTTCCATCTCCTTCCTTGCTGACTTACCCGTTGGCGGGGCCTCTGGCAGCCAACTAAGGGGCCCCTTCCCCTTAGTTGGGCCCAAAATTCCCGGACAGCCCCAAAACTCCCGGACGCGCGCCTCGTGGGCAAATCTGGGCAAACAGCCGCCACAGCGTCCTATGAGTGTCTAAATATATTTTCTAGACATGCAAATTGTAGAGCCAATGGCCCTTATTATTTGAGGCTATTTACGATATAGAAAACACGCGTTATGCGGCGTTGCACGGCGTTGAGGCGCGCACCTATTACTGTTGAAGTGTGTAGCCCGTATTCGGCTCTTCCCAATTTATATACCGGTACTTTCTTGATCCGAATTCGGTGCCTGAGAAGCTCGGAAGTATTGTACGATCCCTTGAAGCCTCTTCCACCCCGGAATGAGCGGTGTTGGGGTGACCGGCGGCGACGATGGCGGCGTGGCCCCCGGCGGCGGCGATGACCCCAATATACTGTCAACCTCGTCAAAGGAGGCAGTGCATAGTGTAGAATCGAGTGAGGCTTCTTGTGTGTTCTCGTCAGGCGCGGGCTCGTTCGGTTCGCTCGTTTCGTAGGGCTCAGGTTGAGGCTTCTTTTCTGACGATATGATGATCTCAATAGACCGCTCTCTTTGGAGGTGAGGCCATTGAATTGATTGCAGAGGCCGCGCCGAGGCGCAAGCTCTATCGACGGCTTCTTCCTCGGCAGCTGTACGCTGCGTGCGTGTTGTATCGATCGTGAACTGGTCTCGTGGTCTGAGGAGTCTGTTGTAGACCTCTTCGCTGCTCTCTAGGGCAAGGAATCCCTCGCTCTTCCCGACGAAGTCAAGCCATTGTTTGATAGTCAGTCTCTTCATCTTTCCGTTCACCAGCTGCACCTTGTTTTTACGGTATTCGTCAAGGAGTTGCTGTCGCTCGCGCCGTATAATGCCACGCATCGAGAGGAGCTGTTGGCGTTGACTTTTCTCTTCTTCGAGCCGAAGCGTGCGTTCACGAGATTTACGGATATCTTCTAGGCTGACGCTAGTGTAGAAAGTGCCCTCGGCAGCCTTGACGGCCTTGCCGCGCCTCGGGCGGCTGCTTATCTTCTCGATGCGTTGTAGGCGGTCTTTATAGCACTTGGCCAGTGTAGAGCTAAGAAGAGATGCCTCTGTGACGGCCTGGGAGACGTTGGAAAGCCTGCCACGCGTTGGAGAGCTTAGAATCTCGTGATAACGCGTTCGAAGGTCTTGTACAGTGTCGGCAGCTTGTTGGAAGCGTGTTTCCTTAGGGAGGAGCGATGCGAACGCTGGGTTAACGGCCTGTGATGCCTTCAGCTGCTCGGCCACGAGCTTCTTCATTGCCGGCTGCTCTGTGGGAGGGTAGATGCCCGTTTTTTCGAAGCCCCCTATGATATAACACGCTGCGAAGCCCTCTTTGAACCCTTCCCAGAAAGACTTTAGGAAATCGTGCCTCGTGAAGTTCAGCTCCCCTGACTCGATGAACTTATGTAGGATTTTCTGCTGTGCGTGCTTAAGAGGCTGGAAAACGCCTACATCGAGCGGCTGAAGGATATGCGTTGAATGCGGAGGAACACCGCGACGATGATGTCAAATTTGATGCAATACTGTATGAAATCGAGGCCTGTATGCCCTGTGAAGCCGTCGATGACGAGAAGACGATGAATTCGCTCGTTTTCCGGGATAAGGCGTGGCTCTGCCTCGAGGAAGGGATATTCGGGCTCTCTGCACCACTCATCTACACCAAACCACTCCTCGAGGACTTTCCGGTGCGTTGGGCACGGGCAGACCGTTTCAAGACCATACATTAAACTGGTGTATCCAATCAAACGTTATCTCGCTGTTGCTGAAGCCTGTGTCGGATCGTGCGAATCGTATATCGTCGGGGGCGTTGATCTCGGCCCAAGACTCACAAGGGAAGGTCTTGAACACCAGCCAAGGCGGGATCGTGTCCCCAACCGCGTTGGCAGCGGCAATAAGCGTACAAGACTCGCGATTCCCTGGGTCAGAGACTTGAGGGCGTTGATGACGCGTTGTACGCACTATAACGACGTGAATGCGTTCTCGTAGACTTCCAATACGGATGCCGCACTCGTCTTCGTTCCAGACCTCTGAGGGGCCGATTCCATACGAGCTGATGATCTCCTTGAGCCTCGAGAAGAACTTCTCGACGTATGACACATCGTTGGCCTCAAATACCTTCCTGGACTTCTCTACGGCCTTTAAATATGTGGTTCGAAGCTCTGGGTGATCCTGAAGCCAACGACGATACCAGTTTTTGCCTGGTGGCTTCGCATTAGGGTTACGGCGCTGAAGGAGCGTTAGAGCGGCCGATTCGACCTGTATCTTGCTCGCTGGGAAGCCAGAGCGTTGTAGCCATGTCACATAGGCGGCGATGGCATCGTCTTCGTCGTCTGAGAGCAGCCTTGGCCGGCCACGGCTTCGAACGCGACCCTGAAGCCATCGTGGATGCCGCTTGACGCCGTCGTGTACCGTAGAGCTCGGTACGCCGAAGATCTGAGCCGCCTGCCGTATTGTGACTGTGTTGGGGAGCGCGCGGCGCGTCTGACGGCGCCGCCCTTGTGCGATGGCATCGCGAGAGTCTATAACTAGCTCCACAGCCCTTGACGTGGCCGTCGGCTCAAGCCCGACGTATTGAGACATTGAAACACGTGCTGCGCATCACGCGTTCTTGTGTTTTGGTGGGAATGCGCACTAATTACGACGCAGCTACGATGGCGGGGCTGTAGGCGCGCGTCCGGGAGTTTTGGGGCTGTCCGGGAATTTTGGGCCCAACTAAGGGGAAGGGGCCCCTTAGTTGGCTGCCAGAGGCCCCGCCAACGGGTACTAATACATAGGCACCCTCTCTCCGCGTCAGCTTGCCACGTCATCCCAGTTTCATCCTGTCTCGTTCCTACACCTTCAGCTAGCTATCAGGCTTCAGGACCAAGTCTTAGACCCTTCTTCTCGACACCTTCCTCGGCTTATGGAGCTGGTGAGGAACGAACGCGAGATTAAGTGGGGCGTGGCACGGGTAAGTGGCGAAGACACTTGTTGGGCTGCTGTGGCCCCACACCAAGATCAACGGGTACATCCGTACCTCAACTTACGATCCGTCGACACTTTTGTAGACCCACTGTACATAGAATATCCCGAGTACCTGGTGTCGAGAAGAAGGGTCTAAGACTTGGTCCTGAAGCCTGATAGCTAGCTGAAGGTGTAGGAACGAGACAGGGTGAAACAGGGAGTACGTGTCAGGCTGACGTGGACAGAGGGGTATGATTAGTAAGTCAGCAAGGAAGAAGATGGAAGACAAAAGAGGAGGCAGGGCAAGGGGCATAAATAGGAGGATACAGCAGAGAGGGAGAAAAAGAATGAACACACATGGACCCCAAAATAATTATGCCCCTTGCCCTGCTCTCTTCGTGAGACCTGGACTAAGGACCGTGTGTAGCACCTAACCACTCCATCTAGCAATTCTGAGGCTCTGAGGCCGGTCGGAAATTCGGGGCCCTTCCCCCGTCAGCGGGTTCCAGGCACGGCAGTGAAGCCGTAATAGTAGTCAGTCTTTGGCCGAGGCTGGGTGACTGAGAAAGCCCACGAAGTCATGGGCCGGCCGCAAGCCCCCTCGAGGGCCTACGGGGCAGAAAGAAAAAGAAAAGAAAAAGAAAAGAAAAAGGAAGCAGAGAGTGTAGCAATGTTAGTCGGGGGTTCGCCCCGATGGCGATTGTCTTCTCCCGCAGGAGCGTTCGATCCGGGGCCACTTCGTGGTCATGACAGTCGGCGAAGTCCCCGTGCCTACTCCTCGTAGCAAGCAGGCGGTAGAGGTGTTGTCGATTGGTGTGCAGCTCCGGGGGACACCCGGGTGAGGCCTTGAGCTCTAGGCTCTTGTAGCTCCTCGGGGCCCCCGCGGCCCACCAGTCCAGAGGAAGTCGTGGCCGCTAGGCGGCAGAGGTCGGGGCCGCGAGACGGCAGAAGGAGTCAGGGCCGCAAGGCGGCAGAAGGCGAGGCCAGCCAGTAAAGGCGGCAGAGGGTGCGAGGCAGCGCGAGGCGTGCCAGGAAGGGCGAGAAGAAGTCGGGCCGCGAGGCGGCAGAAGGCGAGGCAGCGCGACGCATGCCGTTATTCGAGACCAGCTTCCCAAGAGGAGACGAACTCTTCAAAGTCTGCCTTTGGTGCCTGTTAGAGCCCCGTTAGGGCTAGAGAGGCAGAAGCATGGTCGGGTGGCCTGAAAATTTCTTCTCCTGTCGAGAAGAAGGTCCGAACGAGTTGAGGTCTCTAGGTCTCTCTAGGTAATACAGCTTGAAACCAGGTAAGAAGGGAAGTGTTAGATCCGGTAGAATCCGGGTAGATGCAGCTACGATAGCGTCAGGCTACTAGTGGCAGCGCCAACGGTAGCGCAGACGATAGCGCACCAGGTAGCGCAGCCGATGAGGCCACGAGGACATCTATGAGACAGTTACAGAGATATGACGTGATGGCATGTCATAGGGATTGAGGCCATCGCCCTTTGATATAGGGCTTGGGCAGAGCACCCCCAAATGGGGGACACAGACAGACAGACAGACACACATCATACCTCACTTCATCCGATCGTACCATTCTTGCTGTGTCCGTGACCTATCCGACGAGAACCTCATCAAGGTTCTGACAGGAAGTCTGCAGACTGTTCTTTCTTCTTCCTGGACCACTGAGGGGTCCGGAGGATCTCCTATTCGAACGGGGACCCTTTGAGGAGTCCGGCATAGCTATTACTGGCTCGGGGACCTCGAGAGACTGAACTATCGATCTCATAACTAGAAGAGCTATTCGATCGGGGAGATGGAGCTGATGCTGCTGACGTAGATGACTTACGTGGCCTTCAGTAAGTGGCAAGAAGTGCCCTCTTCCTGATAGAATGTATACTATACCTGAAAACGGGATATCAACTTGGGAGAAGCTTGGAGGGATATAAAAGGAGGATTGCTATTTGTACAGTAAGGAAATGCTAGTCGTACAGTAACATCGATTTTTGTATCTTTTTGGCGCCACGCCCCACCACCAAATTTATATGCGCGCGCATGCCGTAAGGGAGGCCCCGTCGCAATGTATATACATCGGCCGCAGCTTGGGCCGCAGCAAGTGCCGCATTGGCAGCAGCAAGAGCTGCATTGGCAGCAGCAGCTTTGGCAGCAGCAGAAGGAGTGGCAGAGGCGGCATTGAGGGAATCCATTTGCGTTTGAGATGCGTACGGTAGTATGCGTTGGAGATGCGTGCGGTGGTAATGTATCAGTGATACGTATAGTGGTGATAGCCTCCTCCTACGAAGTATACGAAGGAAAATTCGTCATAGCGGCGCTACATAGATACATTGCGGTGGTCCTCCCTTACGGCATGCGCGCGCATATAAATTTGGTGGTGGGGCGTGGCGCCAAAAAGATACAAAAATCGATGTTACTGTACGACTAGCATTTCCTTACTGTACAAATAGCAATCCTCTATAAAAGGGGCTGTGTAGACGGGAAAGGAGGCAACCGGGGGGGAGAGCGATTAACACAACATCTGATCGTACGATACTCAACCTTCAAAAAGTCCCTTTATCCACGTTTATGCCCACTTTTGCTCTCTCCTTCGCGAGATCTCCACTTGAAATTTTTTTCTCCACTAACAGGCTGCTAACAGTCCGCAGTGCCTCCATGGCGTAGTGGTGACACGTCTGGAGTCTCTGCTCTGCAGAGAGGTCGGTTCGAAACCGGCTGGAGGCACCCCTGGGTGAACAGGGTACACCCGGGTTCCCGCTCGTCATCAGGGCCAACGTCATGAGAGAACACCAGTTCACAACGTCAAGTTCAAAGGAAGAACCGAAAACAAAAAAAAAAGTTAATTGCAACAGAAGAATACGTCAAGTACAATCGGCGTACCAACCACCATCAATTACTAACACAACCAGCTTCAACTTCGACAAATCACGCTTCAGTTGCTGAGAATAGGATGCTGAACACTTGGAGAAATTGACCTTCAAGCAGGTCTGTCATGAAGCGAACAGTGGAACGGTTGGCGCAGCGTAAGATGATCTGTGGGGCTTGAGGTGTCATGCATCAGTGTATCGAACCGTCAATAGCCAGAGCGTCTAGGCCCTATAGGAAGTATCCTCCGGGCGAAATAAATCCATACCATAACAGTCCGCAGTAGAGAATAATTTTTACAGCAGAGAGAACATATACCCTTGATGGTTTTGCTATGCGCAGAAAGAGTGGGTCAGTATGGGGCATATGGTACTTCCCTCTGCTGGCATTTAATGTGGCATGCAAGGTCACATCCTTTTAGGCGCCAATCAGAAGCTCTGGCTATACAGGACGAATACAAACGGCACACAGGACGACTAAGGGCGCCCGACAGACGTAAACTAGCCCCCTTCAGTCTATCGCTGTAGGTTAGTAAAAGCTCCCAGAATATTAGTCTGCACGCTGTGTCCCCTGTCCTGTCTCTGTCGCGAAGCACGTCTGAGATCTTGAGCTCGGGGTGACTATAAGGGGTATATAGCTAAGGGCCTCGACGGGCTAGACAGAAAGGCAGCCTGCAGAGAGTTCTGAGGCTGCAGAAGGCTATTAGGAGACCGCATTAGGCAGCCACATAGGCTGTAACGTACTTCACCACCTAGTGAGCCACCCCCCTGTAAAATTTGATGGTGCGCCCCGCGACGGGCGGAATAGGTACCGATTGACATTTTTACAGGGGGGTGGCTCACTAGGTGGTGTGGCTCACTAGGTGGTGAAGTACGTTAGAGAGACTGCATATACGGGGGAAGCTGACAGAACCCTCGGCGACTAAGGAAAGTCAGTATGCAAAGGGGCTGGGGAAAGGAGCCCAGCCCCCCTTAGATATTGTACCTATACAACTGAAAAGGGGATATCAATAGGGAAACACGGGATATAAATAGGCAGCCAGAAGAGGGCATTGCAAGAGGGGACAGAGACAACAAAAATACAACACAATCAATGCCCACTTGCATGCTCTCTTCGCGAGAGTCTCAGCCCGATTGTCGTGCAATTGCTCTTTATCGGCCAAAAATTCCGTGGCACAACTTAGCAACAGTATATATTGCAATTACTTCGTCCAATTTGGGGTTTTGGACCTTGTTCTCAACGTGGAATCACTTGTTGACACATGCAAAAGTTTGCTCACCTTTGGCCGACGACCACCATGCATCCAAATTCAATGCCTTCCCCTAAAATTATCGCTGTTTACGGGGCCACTGGGAACCAGGGCAGAAGTGTTGTGCATGCTCTCCTGCGAGATAAATCAGGAGGAATCAGACCTCGGGCCATTACTCGCAACTCAGAATCAGACTTCGCTAGGTCCCTAAAAGCCGCCGGCGCCGAGGTGGCCCAAGCGAATGGCTTGAACCCTGAAGATTTACATATCGCTCTCAAGGATGCATGGGGAATTTTCGTCAATACCGACTCTGATGATCCTGTATGTCCTATTGACCCGGTTTAGTGACCATCACTGTGCTAATTTGGGGTTGAGTCCATTGGCAATGTTGGGAGCCCAAGCGAGACGGATTTAGGCAAAGGTATCGTGGACATTGCGATCAAGGCTGGGATAAAATGCTTCGTCTACAGCGGACTGGCTTCTGCCGGTCTTCTCACGGATGGAAACGTCAAATCTGACTGTTTCGATGGTTTGTAATATTCCACCCTCGAGTGAGAAACATCGCCGTGGCATACTCAGGCTAACTTGAACTCAGAAAAGTATGCTATTGCGAAATACGCGGAGGCTCAACCATTTGAGTACGTTGCAACGATCTCCGCCGGCTGGTACATGGAGAATTTCCTCTCCGAAGAACTCTGCAGCGTTTTCGGCGGCTTCCCTCATTTTACCGACGAGGACAACGTTCTCACTCTCAGCTGGCCCTCGTGGGGTGGCAATGCGGAGGTGCCGTTAACCTCGATTGCGGCCGACTTCGGCGACTTGGTGCATGGGATTCTACTGCAACCAGCCAAGTTCAACAGGGCGTTCATTCAAGGGCTAAGCCAATCCCGCACATCGGAGGAGGTAGTGAAGGATTTTGAACAAGGTGAGATCGTCCTGTGCACGGCAAGTTTCATTTGCTAATGAATCTCAGTTACGGGCAAAAAAGCTCGATACATTCCCATGCAGGACTGCAAATCTTTTAACACCCGTGGGAAAAGGTTTTTGACCACTGTTCAGCAGATGTTCGACTACTGCCAGCAATGTGGCGGATTGTACTTCGGGGCGCAACCAAGCATCAGGGAGGCTGTTGAGCTAAAGCGTTTAGCTGCGGCGGCGCAAGGTCGGCCTCGGGAAGATGCGAGACTGCAATCCATGAAGGAGTTTTTCCAGGACCATTTTGGCGGGAAGGAGTTCTGAGGAGCAATCCAGCACTACTCGTGCCCGCCCCACTTAATTCAGCCCGAAGGGCGTTTGCCTTTTTGCCTTGCCTTGAGGAACGTTAGTGCCTTGAGGAACGAGGAACGAGTGACGAAAGGTTCTTAGGGTTCCTCCCCGGGGAGAAAAAAAATTCGCCATGCCTTGAGGAACGAGGAACGAGTGACGAAAGGTTCTTAGGGTTCCTCCCCGGGGAGAAAAAAAATTCGCCATCGATTTCCCCCCCGCAAATGCCGCCCTCTGATTCGCTGGCGTTCTCGCTTTTGATTCGTCGGTTGTTCTTTTCTCGCTTTTGATTCGTCGATGTTCTCGCTTTTCATTCGTTAATAAATAAAAATAAATAATGCCCTGCCCCCTTGCTGCCCCTTTTAGTTCCAGCTGCGCAGTTCGCTTCCAACGCCTCCGTAGACCATACGCCGCCGCAGACCACATAGAGGAAGGTGCCCAAGCCGGCCCGGCTTCTAACTCCGCCATAGACCACACGCCTCCACAGACCACCCCCTTCGCCCGTCCTCCTGGCCCTTAACCTACACTCCTTTTACGTCAGAAGTGTGGAAAATGCAGGGCGCCTGCGTTACCTGCGGAGCCAGTCGGCCGCCTCCTGTGTTGTCTGCCTGCTAAGCTCCTCTAGCCGGGCCTGCGCTGCCGTCATCTCCTCAGGCACCCGGTTCCCCACTAGGTCCCGCTCCCGCACCTCTGATACGAGCATGATGCCGTCGAGCGTCGGGCACCGCGACAGCTGCACGTATAGGCTATACGGGTCGCACGACGACGGCACCGCCCTCCCTCGACCGTCGTCATCCTCGCCCCCCGCAGCTCCAGCGCCACGCGCTCTAGCGTCCCGCCCTGCACCTTATAGTCGGTGCAGGCGAAGGCCGCGGCGCACGGCAGGCCCCTCCGGCTGACGTCGTTGCGCTGCCATGGCCGCTTCCGCTGCGCTGTGATCTTGACGCTGATGGGCGTTAGCAGGATCGTCCCGGCAGGCATCCCGACGAAGTGGAAGTCCTTGGTCGTCTCCGAGGCCAGCACGATGCCCGCCGGCGGCCCGAAGTGCATGATGAGCTCCGCCGAGACGCGGTGGCCGGGAAGGCGCGGTCGGGGATGACGTCCACCGCCGTGTACCCGGCCCCGTTCACAAGCTTTAGCCCCTGGTGCGTGTTCTGGTTCACGACGACCGGCATGCCTGGCACGAAGAGGAAGACGGCCGGCACCGGCGTCGCGCTGTCGTCGCCCTGGCCTAGCATTAGCACCGCCTCCTCTTCCGTCGGCACGCCGTCCCTCCACTTATGCTCGGAGAGGAAGACGCGCGCCGCCGTCCGCCGCCTCTCCGGAACGCGAGCGCCGCCTCTAGCGCCCTTTGGCTATATCACCAAGTTCACGGTCGACAACAAGACCCGTTCCGGAATCAGCTACCGCAAGCACGTGAAAGGACATATCGTCGTCTTTCCGAACAAGGTGGACGATCTTGTTACCACCGTTCTTCCCCATCCCTTGCTGCAGACCATTGAGAATATCCACGTCTCTTGGAGCGGTTCGGCTAAGCCTGGCTCCGCAGACGTCAGACACCTGCTTCAGGTGCGCAAATCTCGAGTGGCGGCCGCCCTGGCGTGGCTGCAAAGGAACAACCCACTTTACGAGAATATCGCAATCGACCAGGCAGAGATGGATGGCTGGCGGTATGCCGACGGCTCCACTGTTCCGACCGTCATCATGGACCGCATGCAGAGAGGAACCGTCGACCGTTGAGAGGACTCAAACTGACCACATAGTCCCGGACACTGATCGAGGCTTGGAGGAAAACAGTTTCAGAAGCATCGATGAAATTGTGAGCTCGATCGATGGCACCTTCGTCGACGAGTCTCGCGACTTGGACTGTACTCTATCGACTGAGCAGACTCGACCCTCTCCTGGTGAGCTGGCGACTCTTGTCCCCGACTCGGCTGCCATCGGCCAGGAAGTGGAAACCATATGTGAGACGTCTGCATCCGCCATGTTCCTCTTGATGGACCGGCTGCCTTTGCGGATACCGATAAGCTGTCGTTTGTGGCGGGCATGGCCAACGCCAATCCGGATCCACGTGGCCGCTCTATACCATGCGTTATGCAGGTCCAAACTACGGGAGATCAGCCGTTTGTCCGAGTAGAACGTGGTGCGGACTTTGCAGACAACCTGCACGAAGATTTCTTCCTCGAACATTTCCCAAGCTTTTCCGTGGGAAGGGCGGCCCGAAATCGAAGGGCGACTCGAGTCGTAGCCGACAAAGCGACGCTGCCGACCGTCGTCCGAATCACTCGCTTAGCTACTGGGCCAGATACGTATTGCAACGGCATGGAGGCCGATTCGCCACCCATCCTGTCTTTTGTTTCTTAGTATTCAACACCCTCCTTCGCTCCTCTAACCGCCGCATCAGCATGGTCCGTGTCGCTAAAGATTCCTTCCACAGGCTCGAGCAAGCGTATGCGAACTTGAACGAGGACCGACTGAAGAGAGCCGAGGCGGAGATGCGGGAGACAAGGACCACGTCGGACCCTGACATATCGGTCTTGCTTCGCGAGCTGTCGATTTTTGGCCACGCACAGCCGCTCTCGAACGAATCCCGTTTGCTTATGCGGAGGAAGATACAAGCTGTTAACATTTGGGCCGGTATGCCTGCAGTTTGGATTACCATCAGTCCCAACGACATTAATAATCCGATAAAGATGAAGCTTGCCATTCATAGGCTGCACGATTATGACTCTGCAAAGGAGCTTTTGGCCGATCTCCGTGAAAAGTACGACAGAATCGCCCTCAGCACCATGGATCCGGTCAGCTCGGCCATCTTCTTCCACCGAGAAATATCCTATTCTTTGACAAATACGTGAATACAGGCCGGGAATCGATCTTTGGGAAGATTAGCCACTACTACGCGACGGTGGAGACGAATGAGCGAGGCAGCCTCCACTTGCATGGACTCCTCTGGCTGGAGGGCAACATGCGGTTACCGAACCTGATGGACGACATGGCCAATCCGCGGAAGAAGCATACCGTGCCCAGGTGATCCGGTATGTGGACTCTGTCTTTCATGAGTGTTTAGACGAAGATGCCGGAAAAGCCGTGCGACAACAGAGGAAGCCCATCGATCCCGTGGAGGAGGTCATGACCAGCACCTCGGCTCTCACTGCGGCCTTCGAAGACGAATCCAACTTCATCGCGTACTGTTGCCAAGTGCACTCCCACACGTACACCTGCCTCAAGTATTCTCTGAAGGGTGTCATCGAACAGGGGGCAGATCAACAGAGACGGACAGCCTGCCGCTTCAAGGCACCGTGGAAGATCGTCGAGGAGACAGGGTTCACAGAGGATGGTCTGCTTCAGATCCGGCGCAATCACCCGCTCGTCAACCGGTATAACAAGTCATTGGCGGTCGGCCTTCGCCACAATCACGACGTCTCGATGATCTTGACCAAAACCAAGGGCCTGGCCATGGTGTACTACATCACGAACTACGCCACCAAACTGGATACGCCGATGTGGAGGCGCATTGCTCTCGCCACCGAGGTTGCCCGCCAACTCCGCGAAGCCGGTCGTCCGACGTCTCGCGCACCAGATCCCGCCCTGCCCGACAACAGGCAGCAGGCAGTGTTGAACGAGAGCCGTCAATTCCTGATGAGAACGGCAAATCGGATCTTCTCCGAGCGACAACTCTCGGCCGTAGAGGTCTGTTACCACCTCCTTGGATATGATACCGACTTTACCAACGTGCCGCATTGGTCTTTCCTGAACCTGACGGCGCTCTATTGGGCAATCTTTCGCCTATGGTCACATCTCCGCCATCAGGCCGGCGAGCTGACGGACGCTGAACAGCCCGCGGAGACAATCCGTCTGAGGCAAGGAGGGCGAACCCTTCTATACCTAGACGCGTATGCGTACCGCGGCCATGTTCTACGAGACTTATGCCTGTATGACTACATGTCAATGATTCATTTGGTGCGTCGAAAAGGTCGGAGTGAAGACGACTCTCATATTTTCTCGATGGCCAGGATTCCGACTGTGACGACTGGATCCAAAAGCTTCGACGGCCCGACCAGTACGCCATCCCGATCTTCCAAGGATACATCAGCGACGACCATGAGGACGATCACCCAGTCTATATTAAGCGGTACGCTCTAATCCCCGGGACCGTTTTGGCTCCATCTGACACTGTGTGTAGAAACTCTGTCCTACATTTGGCGTTATTTGTCCCTTGGGAAAACTTCATTTCTGAGAGCCAAGGCGACATAACCGACATATGGACGACGCATCGATCGGGGCTTTGTCCCCGCCTCCGTTTCCATGTCTCCAACATTGGTCTTTTGAGAAAATCTGCCGAAGACGCGCGCAAGGACGCGAAGCTCTGGGCCAGTCGGTCGGAGGGCGACGACACAATTGACGTCGAGTACCCACTTGACGACGGCCGCGATGAAGAAGAGCCTCCAGCGCTGGCTCATCGTCAGGCCTACAAAGCTCTGCTCCAGATTTTGCGAAATGCCGTGCAGGATACGGACGCCACAAAAGACTCACCCGTCCTTGGAGGTCTAATACACGATCTGTGCGAAGAGAACCCGGCTGAAGAAGAGCAACCTTTTGTCCAACGTCAAGAGGATCTGTACCGGAATATGCCCGATCAAGGTGACGCCTTGTGTCAATTCCCCCATATCTCGAGACGATGTCCAAGCAGCGGCCAAGGCCCAACAACTATTGCATCTTCGGATGCTGGACGATATTGAGGGTGGTTCTCAGGGCACCGTACTATCCACGAATGGCGCCGACATTGACGATACCCTTGCTCGCTACGGCGATATGGAGTCCGCCGCTGCGCTCCCGGGCAGTGACCTCAATGAACAAGGCCCTCGGATGCTTGTCGACGTCAGTCCGGTCACTAGCTTCGTGGAGATGGGACACACCACCGCGGCCAGCTTTACACTGAACTATCTACAGACCATGGCCCTTCAACTCGTTTGCCTATTTCTGGACAGGTATACGGCCAATCCGGACTCAGCGGGTCAGCATCTTCAATACACCGGCGGGCCGGGTGGCACGGGAAAGTCGAGGATTATCGATGCCCTGAAGGGCGTGTTCGCGGCGAGGAACCAGCCGCATCTTCTGCAGATAACCGGCACGTCGGGCAGTTCGGCGGCCCATATTGGCGGCACGACCATCCACTCGGCCTGTGGGTTAGATTCCCATCGCGATCCAAACAAACCGCCTCCCCCCTTCTCGGAGGCGAAGAAGTGGATCTGGAAACAGAAGCTGGTACTCGTGATTGACGAGGTCAGCATGCTGGGAGGAGCCACTCTGCACAACGTCAGTCGTCACCTGCAGGCACTCCGTGACTGTCCGGACGAACCGTTTGGCGGCATGCCCGTCGTCCTACTGATGGGAGACTTCTACCAGTTCGCCCCCGTGCGGGAAACAAGCCTACTGATCATCAGACCGCCGGACCGAACAGAGACCCCCCTGCGACAGGCGACCATCTCTCACCACAGCGGCTGCAGATTGTGGCATCTGTTCAAAACCGTGGTGCTCCTCGAAGACCAAGTCCGCGCACGCAACGATCCCCAACTCCGTGCACTCCTGGATCGAGTTCGTAACGGGCGCCAGACCCATCAAGATCTGAGCTTGCTCAACGCCAACATTGTAGGACGCTCGCAAATCACCTTCCACGATGGTTTGCGCGCTATAACGCCGCTGAACCGCACCCGGTGGGCCTCAACATGGAAGCTGTTGTGGGCTGGGCGCGCTTCAACAAGCGGCACATCCGTATCTTTGTCTCGACTCACACCTGGCGTAGCGGCGCGCTTTCTCCAGACATCGTAGCGCGAACCGTCGGACAAGGCGACGACTCTGCCTGCAAAGTCCCCGGCGTCTTCTTCTACGCCCAGGGCATGCCCGTGGTTGTCAACAAGAACGTCTACACTGGCCTGAAGGTTGTGAATGGGGCCGACTTTGCTGCCGTGGACGTAGTACTCGATCCCAATCACCCGGGATACTGCTTGGCCAATGACGTGACCATCCACTTCGGGCCACCACTCGGCATTCTTCTGCAGTCCGAGGAGACGAATGCCTTGGCGATACCGTCCCTCCCTGTGGGGACGGTACTCATCCGCCCGATGTCACATATACTTGACTCGACTAACTCTCACTTCAAGTTCTTGTCCGCAAGATGCACGCGACGTGGACTGCCCGTTGTACCAGCGTTCGTTCTCACTGATTACAAAGCCCAGGGTAAAACGTTTGTAGAAGTACTCTTGGAGCTGCGTGGAAATCGTCTGACCAATGGCGAACCCTCCAAATGCGATTTCACGAGCCTCTATGTTCAACTGTCCAGGTGTACTACGCTCCATGGCATCAAACTCCTCAGTCCCGTGAGATACCAGGATTTTATTGACAATACGCTAGATCGAGCCATGCTTGATGGAATGCGCAGACTCACAAACTTGGCGGCGCAAACGAGACGGGCATATGAGGGTGGCGATTTAGAAAAGCAGTGACACTGGTCAATCCGATCGTCCACATGTACGCCTTTTCGTGCGTGGAAGAGTCACACCTGATAAGGTGACCGGGCCGCACGCCAATCATCCGGATCTCGCTCCCCTCCCTTCCCAGGACGTAAGCGCTTTTGCTCCTCACAATAATTTACCCACCATTTCTCGAACGCCTGGCGGCTGTAAAGCCATCTCGGCGGCCCTTCTCCTTCCCCGAACAGGTCGAGGATATGGTCGCAGAACATCCACACTCCTTCAAGATGCTGCGGATAAAATGGCCTCCTGTCCTTGCGCGCGACCACGACGGTGCCAACTTGTGACTGCCATTCTGGAGGTGCAAACCCGGAGTCGGCATCAATATTGAGGTACGTAGCAATCTGGTTGTCGAGGTCTGCCTCGTTGACGGACTGAGTCCCCGTCCGATAGAGGACCAGCGGGACCTCGATGAGCGCTGGGACGGAGGGCACCGACTGCGAAAACATATCATGATTCGCAGGGATTGTAGTGGCAGACCAGAGGGGAAACTTGCGTTTCTCGGCCTCGCATCGGACAATGACAGCTTCGACATGCCCCGACTTGCTGTGCGTTTCCCTCAAACCTGACGTACCCATCGGCGGCGAGGCATGCGTGGCCGGCGGGGGGGGGTTGCCGCTGGCGCTTGCTGGGGCGATGTCTCTGGCTCCGAATCGGTGCCGATGTTGTCCCACTTTGAGTAATCAATCGGAGGCATTGGGTCGATTCTTGAAAAATTGTTACCCTTCACTGCATAATTCGCAACGGTTCGGACTCCTTCGACCTTCAAGATGATGGCTCCTGAAAAGGCTCCATTACGTCCTTACCCCGCCCTAAGCCTATCGTGTTGTGGCGGGGTAAAACGGCGTCCAAGCCACACTATCGGGAGCAAGCCTCATCTTTCCTTTCAACAGACTTGTCAGTGTCAAACCAAACCGAATGCTTCAGTCCCGTTCCTCAAGGCATTGGCGGACCCTGCAAGGGCCGGTCTCCTGTGGGAGACCTCGTTACGATACATATGGTCTCGTGCACGTGCCTTGAGGAACGAGGAACGACGTGACGAAAGGATCTTTCTTCCGCCTCTTTCCCCCGCAAACCTTCCACCCCCCCTACGCACGGACCGCATGCCGCTCCGTGCCCACCAGCCACTTTCACCGCCACCTGCGGCCCGCTCCGGGCCCACCTTCTTCCTGCTGCCCGCTCCGGTCCATATCTTCCTCGCCGGATTCTTACTCCCGGCCGGCCGCCGGTAACTGCTCCTTTTTGTCCCCGTGCACGATGCCGCGAGAACAGCCAGTCACGGTTTCGCCCGAAGAGGTTCGGCGCACCTTGGGGGATCTTGAATCGCACAGGTCCCGTCGGCGCCGTTCACCGCTTGTCAGAGTTCCCCACGACGAGATCCTCCGCGTCTTGCAAGATATCGACCGCCAGCGCGCTGAAGACCGAGCCCGCCACCGTGAAGCTCAATACAAATATACCGCTCAAGCGCAACCGCCAACTAATCCATCCCCGAGACGACTCGGAGAAGAGCAAGCACCTTCCACTCCACCCCGAACGCAGCCAAGGCGCCCCCCTAAAAGACACACGCAGCCGCCGCCCACTCCATCACCGAAACGACCTAGAGAAGAGCAAGCACCTCCTACTCCGCCTCCGACGCAGCCAAGGCGGTCCCTCGAAAGGCACCCGCAGCAACCAGCCTCCCCGTCGCCGAGTAGACCTAGAGCGGAGCAAACGGTTCGTTCTCCGCCGCCCACGCGGCCTAGGCGCTCCCCCACGAGGCCCCGACCTACGCGAGAATCCGTTCAAGATCAACGAGACTCTGTCAGGTCTACTCTATATCACTATGACGCCTGTTTCCGCGCCAAAGAGCAGGCGTCATCAACAAGATCCTGGTGCGACGAAGTTCCACTTGCCCTTCAGGTAGCGGCTACCAAATCGTTCTACCAAGCGTTCACGGACGAGAGGACGTTGCCGATTTCCCTGCGTCTTCTGCTACAGGAAGACCCGCCTTGCGAGCTCTCGATCATGCCGTGGAGGGTCGATTGTCGCCCTCCTGCTGCAGGCGACCAGGACTATCCAGACGTGTGACGCTTGCCTTCCGCCGCACGAGCGCGCAGGAGTTGACGTTTGCCGCGAGTGTCGCGTCAGCTTCGACCGTGGACGCCTGCCCAAGGCCTGCTCGGTCAACAACATGGCCATCGGTTGTGAGCATCGGTACCCCGACGAGCTTGATGACCTCTCTCCCGTCGAAGAGAGACTGATTGCCCTGCATGCGCCTTTTGGCTATATCACCAAGTTCACGGTCGACAACAAGACCCGTTCGGGAATCAGTTACCGCAAGCACGTGAAGGGACATATCGTCGTCTTTCCGAACAAGGTTGACGATCTGGTGGCCACGGTTCTACCTCATCCCTTGCTGCAGGCCATTGAGAACATCCACGTCTCTTGGAGCGGTTCGGGTAAGCCTGGCTCCGCAGACGTCAGACACCTGCTTCAGGTGCGCAAATATCGAGTGGCAGCTGCCCTGGCATGGCTGCAAAGGAACAACCCGCTCTACGAGGATACCGCAATTAACCAAGCAGAGATGGACGGCTGGCAGTATGCCGACGGCTCCACTGTTCCGACCGTCATCATGGACCGCATGCGAAGGGAGGAACCGTCGACCGTTGAGAAGACACAAACGGACCACATAGTCCCGGACACTGATCGAGGCTTGGAGGAAACAACTTCAGAAGCATCGATGAACTGGTGAACTCGATTAATCCCACTCTTGCGGCTGAATCTTGCGATTTAGACTGTACTCTGTCCACTGAGCAGACTCAACCATCCCCTGGTGAGCCGGCGACTCTTGTCCCCGACTCGGCTGTCATCGGCCTGGAAGTTGACACCGTCTGTGAGACGTCTACGTCCGGCATGTTTCCCCTCGACGGACCGGCTGCCTTCGCGGATACCGATAAGCTGTCGTTTCTGGCTGATATCGTCAACGCCAATCCGGTTCGACATGGCAACTCTGTGCCGTGCGTTATGCAGGTCCAAACTACGGGAGATCAGCCATTTGTCCGAGTAGAGCGTGGTGCGGATTTCGCAGACAACCTACACGAAGATTTCTTCCCTCGAACATTTCCGAAGCTTTTTCCGTGGGGAAGGGGCGGCCCGAAATCGAAGTGCGACTCGAGTCACAGCCGACAAAGCGATGCTGTCGACCGTCACCCGAATCACTCTCTTAATTACTGGGCCAGATACGTATTGCAACGGCATGGAGGCCGATTCGCCACCCATCCTGTCTTTTGTTTCTTAGTATTCAACACCCTCCTTCGCTCCTCCAACCGCCGCATCAGCATGGCCCGTGTCGCTAAAGATTCCTTCCACAGACTTGAGCAAGCCTATGCGAACTTGACCGAGGACCGACTGAAGAGAGCCGAGGCGGAGATGCGGGAGACGAGGACTACGTCGGACCCCGACGTGTCGGTCTTGCTTCGCGAGCTGTCGATTTTTGGCCATGCACAGCCGCTCTCGAACGAATCCCGTTTGCTTATGCGGAGGAAGATACAAGCTCTGGACATCCGCGCCGGTATGCCTGCAATCTGGATTACCATCAATCCTAACGACATTAATAATCCGGTAAAGCTGAGGCTTGCCATTCATAGGCTCCACGATTATGAGTCTGCAAAGGAACTTTTGGCCGATCTCCGTGAAAGGTACGATAGAATCGCCCTCAGCACCATGGATCCGGTCAGCTCGGCCATTTTCTTCCACCGAGAAATATCCCTATTCTTTGACAAATACGTGAACACAGGCCAGGAATCGATCTTCGGGAAGATCAGCCACTACTACGCCACGGTGGAAACGAACGAGCGAGGCAGCCTCCACTTGCATGGACTCCTCTGGCTGGACGGCAACATGCGACTGCCGAACCTGATGGACGACATGGCCAACCCCGCGGAAGAAGCATATCGTGCCCAAGTGATCCGATACGTAGACTCTGTCTTTCACGAGTGTCTAGATGAAGATGCCGGAAAAGCCGTGCGACAACAGAGGAAGCCCATCCATCCTGTGGGGGAGGTCATGACCAGCACCTCGGCTCTCACTGCGGCCTTCGAAGACGAATCCAACTTCGTCGCGTACTGTTGCCAAGTGCACTCCCACACGTACACCTGCCTCAAGTATTCTCTGAAGGGGGTTGCCGAACAGGGTGCGGATCCACAGGGACGGACGGCCTGCCGCTTCAAAGCACCGTGGAAGATCGTCGAGGAGACAGGGTTCACAGAGGATGGCTTGCTTCAGATCCGGCGCAACCATCCGCTCGTCAACCGGTACAACAAGTCACTGGCGGTCGGCCTTCGTCATAATCACGACGTCTCGATGATCTTGACCAAAACCAAGGGCCTGGCCATGGTGTACTACATCACGAACTACGCCACCAAACTGGATACGCCGATGTGGAAGCGCATTGCTCTCGCCGCCGAGGTTGCCCGCCAACTCCGCGAAGCCGGTCGTCCGACGTCTCGCGCACCAGATCCCGCCCTGCCCGACAACAGGCAGCAGGCAGTGTTGAACGAAAGCCGTCAATTCCTGATGAGAACGGCAAATCGGATCTTCTCCGAGCGACAACTCTCGGCCGTAGAGGTCTGTTACCACCTCCTTGGATATGATACCGACTTTACCAACGTGCCGCATTGGTCCTTTCTGAACTTGACGGCCCTCTACTGGACAATCTTTCGGCTATGGGCACATCTCCGCCATCAGGCCGGCGAGCTGACGGACGCCGAACACCCCCCCGAGACAATCCCTCTGAGGCAAGGAGGGCGAACCCTTCTATGCCTAGAAGCGTACGCCTACCGCGGTCATGTTCTACAAGACTTATGTCTGTATGACTACATGTCAATGATTCACTTGTTGCGTCGAAATGGTCGGAGTGAAGATGAGTCTCACATTTTTCTCGATGGGCAGGATTCCGACTGTGACGGCTGGATGCAAAAGCTTCGACGGCCCGACCAGTACGCCGTCCCGATCTTCCAAGGATACATCAGCGACGACCATGAGGACGATCACCCAGTCTATATTAAGCGGTACGCTCTAATCCCCGGGACCGTTTTGGCTCCATCTGACACTGTGTGTAGAAACTCTGTCCTACATTTGGCGTTATTCGTCCCTTGGGAAAACTTCATTTCTGAGAGCCTAGGTGATATAACCGAAATATGGACGAGGCATCGAGCGGGCCTTTGTCCCCGTCTCCGTTTCTACGTCTCTAACATTTGTCTTTTGAGAAAGTCTGCCGAGGACGCGCGTAAGGACGCGAAGCTCTGGGCCAGTCGATCGGAGGGCGACGACACAATTGACGTTGAGTACCCACTTGACGATGGCCGATACGAAGAAGAGCCTCCGGCGATGGCTCATCGTCAGGCCTACAGAGCTCTACTCCAGATTTTGCGAAATGCCGTCCAGGACACGGACGCCACAAAAGACTCACCCGTCCTTGGAGGTTTAATACGCGATCTGTGCGAAGAGAACCCGACTGAAGACGAGCAACCTTTTGTCCAACGTCAAGAGGATCTGTACCGGAATATAGCCCACGATCAAGGTGACGCCTTGTGCCAATTCCCATATCTCGAGACGATGTCAAGCAGCGGCCAAGGCCCAACAACTATTGCATCTTCGGATGCTAGACGACATGAGGGTGGTTCTCAGGGGACCATGCTTTCCACGGATGGCGCCGACATCGACGATGCCCTAGCTCGCTACGGCGATATAGAGTCCGCCGCTGCGCTCCCAGGCAGTGACCTCAATGAACAAGGCCCTCGGATGCTTGTCGACGTCAGTCCGGTGACTAGCTTCGTGGAGATGGGGCACACCACCGCGGCCAACTTTACACTGAACTATCTACAGACCATGGCCCTTCAACTCGTTTGCATGTTTCTGGACAAATATGCGGCCAATCCGGACTCGGCGGGCCAGCATCTTCAATATACCGGCGGGCCGGGTGGCACGGGAAAGTCGAGGATCATCGATGTCCTGAAGGACGTGTTCGCGGCGAGAAACCAGCCACATCTTCTGCAGATAACCGGCACATCAGGCAGTTCGGCGGCCCAGATTGGCGGCACGACAATCCACTCGGCCTGTGGGTTAGATTCCCATCGCGATGCAAACAAACCGCCTCCCCCCTTCTCGGAGGCGAAGAAATGGATATGGAAACAGAAGCTAGTACTCGTGATTGACGAGGTCAGTATGCTAGGAGGAGCCACTCTGTACAACGTCAGCCGCCACCTGCAGGCACTCCGTGACTGTCCGGACGAGCCGTTTGGTGGGATGCCTGTCGTTCTACTGATGGGAGACTTCTACCAGTTCGCCCCCGTGCGGGAAACAAGCCTCCTGATCAACAGACCGCCGGACCGAACACAGACCCCCCTGCGACAAGCGACCATCTCTCACCACAGCGGCTGCAGATTGTGGCATATGTTCAAAACCGTGGTGCTCCTTGAAGACCAAGTCCGGGCCCGCAACGATCCCCAACTTCGCGCACTCCTGGATCGAGTCCGTAACGGGCGGCAGACACAGCAAGACCTCGACTTGCTCAATGCCAATATCGTAGGACGCTCCCAAATCACCTTCCATGATGGTTTGCGTGCTATAACGCCGCTGAACCGCACCCGCTGGGCCCTCAACATGGAAGCTGTCGTGGGCTGGGCGCGCTTCAACAAGCGGCATATCCGTATCTTTGTCTCGACTCACACCTGGCGCAACGGCACGCTTTCTCCAAACATCGTGGCGCGAACCATAGGACAAGGTGACGACTCCGCCTGCAAGGTCCCCGGCGTCTTCTTCTACGCTCAGGGCATGCCTGTTGTTGTGAACAAGAACAATAACATCTACACTGGCTTGAAAGTTGTGAATGGGGCAGACTTTACTGCCGTGGACGTAATACTCGATCCCAATCACCCAGGATACCACTTGGCGGATGACGTGACCATCCACTTCGGGCCACCGCTCGGGATTCTTCTGCAGTCCGAGGAGACGAAAGCCTTGGCGATACCGTCCCTCCCGGTGGGGACGGTACTCATCCGCCCCATGTCACATACACTTGATTCGACTAACTCTCACTTCAAATTCTTGTCGGCAAGATGCACGCGACGTGGATTGCCCGTCGTACCAGCGTTCGTTCTCACTGATTACAAAGCCCAGGGTAAAACGTTCGTCGAAGTACTGTTGGGGCTGCGTGGAAATCGTGTGACCAATGGTGAACCCTCCAAGTGCGATTTTACGAGCCTCTATGTGCAACTGTCCAGGTGCACCTCGCTTCGGGGCATCAAGCTTCTTGGTCCCGTGAGACACCATGATTTCATTGGCAATGGGCTGGATCAGGCCATACTTGATGGAATGCAGAGACTCAAGAACTTGGCCGCGGAAACGAGACGGTTATACGAGGACCAAGATTTCGAAAAGTAGTGGCAGTATACTAGGTAGCCATCCTGATAGTTTGACCTTCCGTATGTCGGGCCACGATCGGCCAGCTTCTACTCGATCTGCGGTGCTGTCGACCAATCAAGCCTATCCCTTCACCGACCAAGCACGGCTGCTGACATGTCCATCATGTGTGACTCCATTCCCTCTGCTTTACCCTGCTCCATTGCGACCATCATTTGCCTCATCGCCGTCCCACTTGTCCCGCCCGGAGCTCGACCATACACGGACTCAGCAAACATCCGAAGCTGCATCGGGAATCGTGAATCCCCATATTGCTCGATGATATCGCTCTTTTCCACCGCGCTTCGTAGGTCGTGCCATTGCGATGGGGTCATACCGAGTGTCTCACACTCTTTCTTCGTCATTGCATCCCACCATGGCGGCAGTAAACCGGGACAACGCTCGACGCGCTCCAGGAAGCGCTTGAAGCCACGCAGCCCGTTGCCGGCACCACCATATATGCTATCCGCGTCTGCTTCGCCTTCAATGTTGTACATGTCCTCAGCGCGCAGTCGGTAAGCGTCGATCAGCAACCCGTAGACATCTCTTTCCGATCGATCATGGAGCCAAGTGCGATTTTCAAGACGCGTGAAGGGCCGGGCGACGCCCTGTTCCAACCCCTTCGGAGGCGACAAATTTGCCGTTGTAGGCCCATCTTGAAACGATGTCGTGGCATCGGCCTGTTTGCCACAAACCTTCTTATGGACCTTCCAGTCTGCCTTCTGGCAATCCCTGGAGCAGTACGGCGTGGTGGAACATTTCGCGCACCTCTTGAGGGCGACTTCAGGCGGCGACTTCTTGCAGCTATTGCACTCAAGGGCCATGGTGACCTAATTCCCATGACCAAATCGTGAAGATTGCGTTCTGAAAAAAGGTCGAATCAGAAGATGGGGGGTAGCTTAGGCTTAAACGGGTAAGGTGCTGTAATGGGTTCAAGCAGCCGCACTCCCACCTCTCTTCTCCAACAGACTTGTCCAAGAACCAAACCGAATGCTCGCGCTCGGTTATGCCCAACTCTCGTCCCGTTCCTCAAGGCATTGGCGGACCCTGAAAGGGGCCGGTCTCCTGTATCGGCGCTGCGCCTTGACCAGCAAAAGACGTCAGAACAAAGATTGTCAAGGATCGCATCAAAGAAAAAAGGGTGTCTCGAGAATTGAAAGCCGGACTCACCCCTGCCGGCACAAACTTGCCGTCCACCATATCGCCAGGGGAGACTCGGGTAGCAGTCTCGGCCGCGGGCGGATACATTCGAAGTATTTCGTTGATACAGGCCTGCAGATACTCGAGCGAGCGGGTGCTGACCAAGTTGATGTCTTCTTCGGATGCGAAAGCGGCGCGAATCTCGTCGGCGAGCAGGGTGTAGGCCAGTGGGTTCCGCGACAGGTAAAAGCAAAATCCCGACAGAGCTGTCGCCGTTGTTTCACTGCCGGCGACGACAAGTGCATGCGTATTCACCAGGACCTCGCTCTCGCTCATGCCGTCGCCACCATCGCGAGTCTTCTTCATCATGTAGGCTATGATATCCTGGTGTTCACCGGGTGGTTTCGGGCCGTGCTCTAGGCGAGCCTTGGCCTTGTCTTTGGCACCGGATCGGGCCCCGAGTAATACTTTGCCAACGACCGCCGGCTGGATTTGCCGATGATCCAGCCGATGAGTGGGTAGTACTGAGAAAAGCGTAGAAGAAGTATGCCTTGAACGCCGCGAAAGATGGTCAGTACCCAGGGGTGGTATCCGTTGTTCTCCAGGAGAAAGAGTCGGAAAACACCAAGTCGCCAATGATGTCGAAAGTTGTAAAGTTCAGCCATTCGACAATGTTGATGCTTTGGCCCTCGTCGGCACGCCGAGAAAGGCGGTCGAGCATCATATCCACATACTTGATAATGACAGGTTCCTGCTGCGCCAGGGCAGCGTCGCTAAATGCATGGCCCAGCTGTCGGCGTTGTCGTCGGTGACCGTCACGAGAAGCGGAGACGAGAGCTTCGTGTTGTTCTATCGCACGGAGGATGAGCAAGTGGGCATAAAGATCAGGGACTGGAAGACTCTTGATTCTGCTATCTAAGGTGGGAAAGAGGCGAGATCTTTATAGACTGCCTGAATATGAGAATGGAAGGGAATGGTAGTGAATGGAAGCATCTGATCAGATCATCTGGAAGCCACCGATGCGTCGATGATGCCTCCTAGAAGTTTCTGTGGGGAAATGTGGAAACGGACTGTGCGAATAGGGGGTCAGACTGTTGGAGGCTGATATCCTATGTGTGACATGTTCTTTAAACACGGGGGGTGTTTTCTGGAATTCTGCTTTTCCGCCTGGTCGACGGCCATAAACCTCTGGCCATCCAATGGAGCCGTCCAAGGAGACGTGATTTGGTCCGATTCGCACCGCGGGGCCATACTTTTGATGCAGTTTGGCAACATGTCTCACCCAAGTTCCCTGGATGTAGTTGGAGTATGCAGCGGGTAACGATGTAAGAGACAGATGCAGCGGTCCAGGAAACTTGGAAAGTGGATGGAACCAAATACGATAGATGCCTTGCGCTACGCCGTAGGCAACGATCTAGATCGCTGTCAGAACACAGCCACGTCAAAGGAGGACTAACTTAGTGCAGTTACCAGCAAGAATAACAGGCCAAGAGTGTGCAAAAGGTTGCCATCGTACTGCCAAAGGCCCCGCCAGGAATCAAAGCCGATCTTGCTGAGGTCGGTAGAACTCATTGCCGAGGAAGTTGCAAAGAGTTGCTAATAAGCGGACAAGAAAACTGTTAGCTTTCGAGAGCCGAGTGACGAGACTCTCCGCTCCCCAAGGTGCGTCATGGCTTATATAGACTACCGTACAGGCCATCTCGCACGAGTCGAGCCCGGTACCCGCGGTGTGCAAGTGACGCGACATCATTGGGCGCAGGCCACCGTAGAAATTCAACAAATTCGTTTCACTTTTTAGCGCTTGGGCCGGGAGCTCCCACAGGTTTCAGCCCACCAAATTTGTATACGAAAGATACCTGGCCGTGCCGGCGTTGTGCGCTGAGTTGTCAGACTGGCAGAGGCGGGCCCGGCTAGATGTACATTCTGTATACAAATTTGGTGGCGCTGAGACCTGTGGGGAACCCCCCGGTCCAGGCGCTAAAAGTCGAACGAATTTGCTGAATTTCTACGGAGTACGTACGGTATGCGTGTTCCTCGTGTCTCAGGAAACGGGTCGAGAACTACCCGTAGTGGAACACGTGGACCAATGACGACTTGCAACCCCATGTTACCTATGCACAGACCAGAAACATCAAAAGCACCATTCATAAACAGGGAACATAAATCCATCACAGACGACTATGATGGCCGATCTTGAGGCACTTCTTAGCCGAGAATACGAATACTGGCACACCTTTCGTTGCACATCGCGCATAAGGCGGGGGTCACCGGGTGGAGAAACTGGAGATTTCATACCCACCAAGGCCACCATTGTCTCGCACTTGGGGTCATGCAGAACGAATCCGCTAGGATAAGGGAGCATGCCAGTGCCCACATGTGCACATGCATGCTATTCATACTCCGCGGGGGGTGGGTGCAAGTGCTGGCTCAGGGTTGGCGATATTTGGATCGTTAGCCGCTAATAACTCCATTCCCAGAGTACGACCAACCATATCTAAAACAAACAAACCGCTTACAAATACGCCGCTCCTGCATCTTAGATTCGTCAGTTTGGGGTTACATTCAAGCTCTTGCTCTTCCGTTGCCCAACATATTCACCTCCGACCCAGCACCTCACATAATACACACCCGGTGAAGCCGAGGCTGGAGTCTGACCAGTCTTTCACTTCAAGAGTCACGAACGCCCGAGGCCACAAGGCATCGCCGGTTATTGGATGCTCAGCTTCAAGTTGTCGAAGCATCTGAAGCGTTCCGACTGACTTCTTACTCCGCACGAGCAATCCAGTACGTGTACGTGTCGCCATGGTGCATATGGTAAAGCTAATCCAGAGTCATTTTAGAGACCTTCAAGATGAAACAAACAAGAGAAACGACTTGCGACCTCTTGGCTCAGCCGCCAGGTCACTCATAGCCAGGTGTTTCACCAGCTGCGACCGTCACTACGGTCTTAGCACGGCCAGCTGCCAAGTCTATGACACAGCTTGGGTAGCTATGGTCATGAAGATAACTGACAACGAGAAGCGGTGGCTCTTCCCCGAGAGCTTCTACTATTTGCTAGAAATACAGGCGGATGATGGCAGTTGGGGCTCTCCTCCTGCAACACAAACCGCAGGAATCCTGGATACCGCTTCGGCCCTGTTGGCTCTCCTCAAACATGTCAAAGAACCACTCCAAGTGAACAATGTGTCCCTTGGAGAGCTGAGGAAACGCATTGCAAGCGGCTCTAAATCACTTCAGAAACAATTGGAAGCATGGAACGACGTCTTGGAGGTTAATCACATTGGTGTTGAGATGATTGTTCCTCCTTGCTCAGTTATCTCGAGCAGGAAGACGCGCCGTTAAGTTTCGACTTCGCTTGCAAAGCGGTTCTCATGGCGATGAACAACGAAAAAATGTCCCGTTTCAAACCAGAGTCCTTGTACGAGCAGAAGCCATCGTCTGCGATTCACTCGCTCGAGGCCTTTGTCGGCAAGATCGACTTTGACCAGGTTTCCCATCACCTCTGGCAAGGTTCCATGATGGCTTCGCCCTCGTCTACTGCCGCCTATTTAATTCACGCATCACACTGGGACGAAGAAGCCGAAGTGTACCTACGCCACGTTATCAAGGCCGGTGCTGGGCATGGCAGCGGCGGAATCCCCGGAACATTTCCGATAACGCACTTTGAGTACAGTTGGGTAAGTCAATATTATCAACTTGCTGAGGTGGGAAGAGCTGACAGTTTGATCTAGGTTCTGGCGACACTACTTCGGAGCGGCTTTTCCAAGTTGGATCTAGAATGTGCGGAACTACAATGCATGGCAAATACCCTCCGCAAGGCCTTTGAAGAAGAAGATGGCATCATTGGGTTTGGTAAATCCCGTCCAACTTACCTACACTGGCAGCGTTACAAAATATGGTTGTGTGCTGACCTAGCAATAGCCCCGTGCGCCCCGGACGTGGATGATACAGCCAAAGGCCTTTTGGCTCTAAGCCTGCTGGATCACCAAGTTAGCCCGGATCGGATGATTGAGGTCTACGAAGGGCAGCATCATTTTATTACATTCGGCTCAGAACGGGATCCGAGTCTCACTTCCAACTGTCACGTTCTCGTCGCCCTTCTCCACCAGCCAGATGTTTCTTGTTTCCATTCGCAAATCTTAAAGACGACCAAATACATCTGTGGACACTGGTGGTCCAGTGATTGCCATGTGAAGGACAAATGGGTAAGTACATCCATTCCCGGGACTGGTCAGTTTATCTCTGACACTGGATCTCAGCACCTGAGCCACCTGTATCCGACCATGCTCTTAGCAGAAGCCTTTACACTGTTCCTTGAACTCCTAGACGGTGGTGCCCTTTCTGATATTGTCAGTCAGGAACTTCATTCGAGAGTTTGCATTTCCTTGTTTCAGGCTTGCTTCCGGACGCTGATTGAGCAAGAAGAGGACGGCTCTTGGGGCGGGCTCCCAGAGCAAACCTGTTATGCCATCCTGACGCTAGCCGAGGCCCGAAAGGTATTATTTTTCCGGGATCTGCTGGCCCAGATACAAGCTGCTATTGACCGTGGGGTTCTTTTTCTGGACTCCCGTGATTACCAGCGAATGGATCACGGTTGGGCCTCGAAAACAGCTTATCGAGTTGCTTTTGTCGCAGAAGCGTATGAGATTGCCGCTCTCAACGTTCCTCATGTGAAGCAGACCATTGGAGCTGTTGGCCATAGTCTCCCACCTGCTCTCACCGCGACAGAGCTGAATGGGTACACGAATCTGGTGCGCCAAACGCCACTATTTTCCAGGCTCCCGGACTGGGTACTCCGAGGGTCGCTGGTCGAATCAAGCCTTTTCATACCGCTTCTTCGAGCCCAACGACTCAAAGTGTTTGACAGAGACGAGATTCACATAGCGGAGGACAAGTATCTAAACATCATCCCTTTACGTGGATTGGTTGTAACAACAGGGTTCGTACTTTTGCGCCTACATCATTGCTCTACGACCTTATGCGGTTGTCTATGCTCGGCTTTCAGATCGACGAATTCATCGAGGCTGTCGCTTCGCCTGCTATCAAAGATGTCTCTATCCTACATGAACTAATCGATCAGATCATTGACGGCACGGTTCAACAGCAGAGCAGCGATCCATCCAATGACACGAATCGCTTCAAAAATGCTCAATCAACCCCCGGTGACCTTGTCGGAAGCAATTCGCTAGCGCCCCAGGAAGTCAGCGTTCCTTTGACTCGCTTCGTGGCATATGTTCTCAACCACGAGTTGGTTTTGACCAGCAGTGCTTGGGATCGCCAGAACTTGCATCATGAGCTGCGAGCTTTTCTGCATGCCCATGCAACCCAAGCTGAGGAAAATTCACGGTTTGAGCAGCAAGGGCTGCAGAACAACACTGTCTACACATCCGCCATGCGATCCTTTTTCAACTGGGTCCGCACAACAGGAGCAGATCATGTGGCGTGCGCATACTCATTCGCTTTCGCGTGTTGCCTCATCTCGTCCTCATTAGGCTCCGGCACAGAAGTGTTCCCCACTGTGACGGAGAAGTACATTGCAGCTGCAGCCGCTCGACATCTGACGACGATGTGCCGCATGTACAACGATTTCGGCTCTGTAGCTCGTGATACCGCAGAACACAACGTCAATTCTGTCCATTTCCCTGAATTTGGGCATTACTCATCCGTATCACCCGAGGAGCCAACGGAAAAGAAGCACGCTCTTGCTGTGTTGGCTGATTACGAACACGACTGTCTCATCCGTGCGCTTGATTTGCTTGAGCAACAGTCTCTGAGAACACAGCTTGGGCCGTGCGAATCCAGGGCTTTCAAGAAAAGGAAAATGAGTGTCATCAGATTGTTTTGTGACGTCACAGACATGTTTGACCAACTTTATGTTCAACGGGATCTTTCGAGCAAGATCAAAACCTAAGCTTGCGCATCAACCCTTGGAGTTATAACTAAAATACTACGTCACACCTTGCACTTTAGGGCTGTGGTGCAAGGCGTACAATCAGCCAAAGGCTGCGAGTCTGCGGACCAACAGGTCAAGCAGTCGCCGAAGGTTGAGCAGTCAAATTATCTACAACCATAAAACTATCCCGTGCATTATCTACGCCCTGGATCATTTTCGTAACAGTTCTTCATCGCGAGATTCGCGAGCTGCATCACGTGGAGTTATGCAGACCCGTGGTCTGTCTTGTAGGGGTTCTGTGCGAGAACCTGTTGTCTGCGAAGTTGCTGATATCTCATCTTCATCTTGGTGCCCTCTGGCGGAAACTCGTAAGTAGGTGATTGTGGTCGAACGGCGCATCGAGGAACGTCTTCACTCGCGACACGGCCACGTAGCTTAAACCGGTCTGAAAGTCACGGCAGGACAGGTCCGTAACGATCAAGTCCTCGGTGATGCTTTGTGACTTGTGCACGGTGATTACCTAGCATACGATCAGGGGAAACTGGGTGCGAGAGCAAAGATTGCCTCCGATGAGGAAGTCCCTCTCCACTGGGAGAATCGGCACAATTTTCCTGCCGTCGCTGGTGGTCAAGCCGTCGCGAATGGTCAAGACCACCGGTCCGCCGTACCTGTCAAACTCCATCATTATAACACAGCGCGGGTCTCGCGTCAGATCGGCCCCAGGTGCCCAGGCGATATCGTAGACCGTACCGCGAGCGCACTGCGGAGGCCAATTGGCTGCCAAAGGTTGGACGTTGTGACGGCCGGGCACCGTCACACCCCCTTGCATCATGACTCACATATTGTGGAGCCAACGGCCCACACTTACGGAAGACATAAGAGCAGGGTGGTTTTCCATATACCTAGTATTGCAAGGGTCTTTCCATACAAGGTACGAAGTACCTTCGTACGGAGGCAGTTTTCAAAAGTCGTTGCTGACGCTAAAATAACCCCTGTTGTTGGCAGGGCTCGAGCATGAGGCAAACTGGGAACGTCGTTCAACCGGTGTGTCGTATTATGCTATGAGGATTGTCTATCTACTTGGGGGGACTAAAATCCGTCCCGATTCCCGCGCATGTCAAGTCATGCACGGGGGGTGCGTTGAGTAGCAAAAAGTCCGTTGATTCGCAAAAAAAAAATAGTGACTTATAGTTTAGTGAGCGGTCCACACAAATTAAGGTACCCCCCTTTTCCTACATATCCGCGTTACAAGAAAAACAACCCCGCATTTAACGCTAGATGACGCGCGATGCGCGTTAGACATCATGGTCTTTACTAGTACATCACAAGACTAGTTAATTAACGATAACAATTACTACGATTTTACTATCTATCCCTTGCAGTATGGCCTCTCTAGAAGGTAACTCATCTATTATCAATACGTGGATCGATTCAGAGACCGGCTTGCCTCATTTCTCGCGCTTTACACCCGATAACCTCGAGACGCGAACCGTCGCAGCAACCCAGCTCTATCACGATGGGTTTTACCGTACAATCATGGCAGCTTCTGCTGCATTACGCGTACCCTACTATCGGTTACGGTCTCGTATTCAAGGCAATCATCCAAAGGCTACCAATGGAGGCAACCGTACACTTCTTTCACCGGAAGAAGAGAAGGAGGTACTATGCTGGGCGCATCGCCGCATCACACAAGGCCACCACATCCAGCAACGCTCCTTACAACAACATGCCAACGCGATACTCAAAGCTACGGGCCGAGGTAATACTACAGCTAGTGGGTCATGGGCTCGACGATTTATAAAACGCTACAAACAATATTTCCATCGTCGAAAGGCAGTTGCCCGAGACGCAAAGCGTAAAGTCATGCAAGACCGTGAAGTCCTCTCTCGATTCTACCAAGACTGGAATAGGTACATCGATAGAAATAGCATCAGACGCGAGAATATCTGGAACTTCGATGAAACAGGCTTTATGGTGGGGTATTTACATACCGGGACGTATATTTGGACCTTTAACGAAGTCAATAACCCCGTCTTAACAGACTCTCGGGATACGGTCTCGATTACTGCTATAGAGTCAATCTCCGCGACCGGCAGCAGTATCCCTCCTTTCCTCATCCTTCCAGGGGCACAGATCCCGGTCCGTTGGGTTAACGATAACCTCGATAAAGGCATAACAATTACAACAAGCCCAAAGGGCTACGTCAACGATATCCTTGCCCTCGAATTCATCGACCACTTCGAGCGTCACACCCGGCCCCGAGTCCCCGAAGAGGAGCGCCTTGTCTTAATGGACGGCTGCGAGAACCACTTTACATACGAATTGGTGCATTTTTGCTACCAACACAATATACAGCTGTTCCCGTTACCGCCTCATGTGACTAACCTACTCCAGCCGCTTGACGTTGGGGTCTTTGGTCCCTACAAGCACTGGCATCAACAAGTGCTATATCGTGAGATTGCAAACGGAGCTACTAACTTCAACAAGACCGACTTCCTTTTCCATCTTCAAGAGATGCGTAACCGAACCTTTAAGCGGCCTACGATCCTATCAGCCTGGGAGAAATCTGGTCTCTTTCCATTCAACCCAAGCGTCGTCCTCGACCAGTTGCAAGATGCGTTATCCTCATTAACCGACTCTGTCCGCGAACGAGAACTCCCTGGGTTCGTTGAGGAAGGCACGCCAATAGATGACGATAGTAGTAACGAGGATGCATTCGAAAATATGCGCTCTACACCACAGACGCCAACTTCTCGATCGATCGAAGCGGTTCCAGGCGGTAGAGGGCCAGCAACGCCCGTTACAGTCCATCGTATTGACTGGAAGACCCTCAAAACACCACGGCTAAATCTTCACGACATCCACAAATGCCATGAATTCATCAGACTACGGATAGACCTCTCTATTGCATCAGGTACGCCTATTACGCCGTCAGTTGCACACGTACAGGGAAAAGTACGTAAAGCAGCGCACACCCTCGCACTCAATGGTATCACCGCCACGGATGAGATGAGGCGTCTCAAAGAGAATCAGCTTAGACGATCGAAACTAGCAGAAGGGACATCGATTGTAGGGAAATTCGGGCCATTAACCGTCCACGATTCGAGACTACGTGTCGCAAAGACGAATACAACCGACTGGCTGCACAGGCTGACGAGGCACGAAGGCGGCAAAAGGAAGTCCGTGAAGAGGCTGCGTTTTGCGCCGCTGGGTTAGGCAGGTTAAGGGTACCTGCCGAGATAGTATCTCGAAGTCATCAAACAAGCAGCTACGGCTCCTTGGCCGCGACAAACGAGGTCTTCGAAGCTACATGGATAGTATCGAGTCGATATGTTACCAATACGCCGCTTTCCGTGCCCTTGGCGATCCAGATCGATCGACTGACTGTCCTTTCGCTTGGATATGGTACAATGACATTACGTACACTCGAAGCAGCGTTCTTACTTGGCCCAAAGACTACGATCGCGAGGTCGTACAGAAAGCCGTTGAATTGGTTATCTTAGAGACCCAAGAGAGGTCTACAGCACGAAGGGCGCTTACGTTTGAAGTTGACGGAATTGAGATTACTGAAGAGATCGTTATTGACGGGCTAACCGAGGAATTTGAAGCTATTATAAAGGAGGAATAGATAGGCAATCTAGCATCGTGAGACCATCAATCTAGCTGTATGTGATGGTAGGCACCTATGTGCCTACAGATACGCATGCGCACAAGCTGTAGGCTGAGTCACAGTCACGACAGGTAGGGTAACCGGTGATGACTTCAATTGTAACTAACTAGGGAAGAGGAAGCTATTCACAAGAAACGGAATGTGCACCCGGTAATGGGGGCATGCAGCCGGGGCTGCGTGCCCTGATCGCGGGGTAGGGTGTCACGTGGGAGTCGTGCATGAACCGTGATGGTATCCCGATTGCACGGGTTACTCAGCAGGTTAGTATTCCAACACAGGCAGTCTTTTCTTTTCGTGATGGAATCCGAAGGCTGCCGTGCCTGCCCTTCATTCCGGTCTCAATGAAGGGAGGCTCGTCATCATGGAGTCGTTTGTCGTTAGGTGGTGTCTGCGGTCACGGGTCGTTGTACATATCCTTCCACTCGAATCGTCAGCCTGTTCGTCTCAATCAACCGTTCCAAAGCACGGTTGGGTGCTGCTTTGGTCATCGCATCAGCCGGGTTGTCATCCCCATTGATCCAACGGATCTCTGCCATCTCGCGCTGCTCGTAGGACTGCCTTAGCGCCATGATATCAATCATGAGTCGCTTCTCTTTCGTGGTCCCGAGCTTTACGAGGCATTCGTATAGCGAGTATGAGTCGGTGCAGACAATGAGGAGTCGGGGTAGGTCCAGCTGCTTGACAATAGCCTGCAGGGTGGTCGCGATGACAATGGCCATATCGAAACCTTGGACCATGCCGTAGATCTCCGAGGCTAGCACGCTCCGGGTCACTCGCTTGCTCTTCGTAGATGACCAGTGCAGGACATTGCCTCTGATCGTGAAATCAGCAGGGCTCTGTTCCTCGTTGGCGAGCACAATAACAAAGCCCAGTTGTGAGCTTAGGTCTTTGTTGTTCGCGAACGAACCGTCCGTGAATACCATTAGCTTCGCAGTCGAAAGGCCAAGGGAACATAGCGGAGTCCTCGTTGCAGGTTGTCGGTCTGCCATTGTATCCGCTTGTTCAGGGTCTTGTAGTCCGGGGCTTCCGGCTGCTGCACTTGTGCTGCGACTGAGTAGTCGAACGTGGCCTCGGGCTGGCAGATTGATGCGATATATGCTCCGCGCGCGCGCTGTTGGGCGTATTGCTGCGCGCGATCCGTGGAGGAGAGAAAGATGGTGGCTAACTTCTGGCCTTGGCCCTTCTGCTGGATGATAAGGTCGTCTTTTTCGGCTAGAAGTGTGCAACCATTAAACTCGAGGAGTCGCGGCCGATAGCTGGCTCCTTGGTTTCGAGCGGAGCTTAGCCTTCTGGATCTCTTTTTCTTCTGCGGCCGCGAACTCAGGGGAGGCGAGGAGGAGGGTGTCATCCGTCTGCATAGCGACCATGCCGAAGCCGGCGGCTTGATCATTGGAGATCAACAAGCAGGGGTCAAAGGTGGAATGTGTCATACCGAGGCGCTCACGATGATGCCTATAATATGTCACGAACCAATGGAGACCTGACTCTGCTATGCCATACAGGGGAAGGATGACATGGATGATGGTGTCTGGGGGATAGCGGGGCACTAATTCCGCTGGGAGGCGTGCGAGTATCGTACGATTCAGGGGGGTTTTGGACTGAATATACGCTTGTGTGATATCACGCAGGAAGACGGAGGCTTCACCTGCGAGGGAGGGCAATTGAGAGGAGTAGCCGCTGTGCTGCCCGTTGCACGGTCGGCGACTGGGTAAGGATATTCTCTTTATCACGATCGTTATAGCCTTGAATGACGAGACGGGATTTCTCGTAGGCCTTGTGGTTGGTCCGAGTCCTTTAACTTCGCGGACCATGCGTGCTTTAAAGAGTCTTTGGCCTTTGTGGGCCACGGGGTCGAAACGAATGAACTCAAACACACCCTGTGCGATTAGGTTGTTAATCTCTTGGGTATCGGACTGTTCAAAGGGGGCACCTGGTGTGGTGATGTGGCCTTCGCGGCGCAATTGAACAGCGTGATATATAGTATATATCTCGTACCGCCCCTTAGCAGAGACCCGATATTTAAAGGCGGCTAGAATAATAGTGATTAACTTCCTTCTTTGACAGGTTGGCTACGCCGGTCTTGGGCTTGTTCTTGGAGCCTTTGGGGCGTCCTCGTCGGCGTTGTTCAGGTAGGAGCACAGGGGCAGGGGCATCATCTTGATCGGGGTTAGGGGGTGCATTGGGGTCGACTCGTCGGGGATTTGGCTGCGAGTCGTCGTGGGGTTGTGATGAGGGGGCCTGAGGATCACGGTGGTATTTCTTGACCGCTGTGATCCTGAAGTTGCGGGGCCATTGACATGATTGATTGTTATTTCGTGGCCGTTATTGCCGATAACGATCCACGGGCCGGTCCAGCCGTCAGCCTCTCTCACACGAGGACCTCGCTCTGCAGGGAAGCTCTGCAGCGCGCTCTACATTTGGTCCATTCCTCGTGTTGAGGGCATCTCTAACCTGACGGGCAGCGGCAGCACGGTGCAGAGCTGCCATGGCTTTCCGAATAGCCTCTGCGCGCTTGATCATAGGGGGAGAGGGCGGTGAATCGTGGTTGATTCGTGGGTATGCGCCGAAGACGAGGAGGGTAGGGACAAGGCCATCCGGGCCGGCTGTGTCATTGACTGCCTTTACAGCCATTTGGAGGAGGGCATCTGGGCTTCTCGACTCACCCAACTCTGCTTGGAGGATATCGTAGGCGCGGCGGAGGGCCGTGTGCCTTTTCTACCTTTCCAATCGAGTTGTGGGCTTCGATAGGCACCTGCCTGCAAGTGATACCCATCAACGATGCCTCTTTTTGGAACTCCTCTGCTGCAAAGTTAGTGCCGGCATCGTGGCGCATAAAGTCCGGGGGGCCTTGGTAGGTGTCTATCCACAGCATCCGTAGCGTTTCCCAGGTGTCTCGGGCGGTCATCGAGGGAGGAACCTGGCGCCTTGGAACGCTGTGGCTTCGTCGATCACGTGTAGCACAGGCTTTCCGCCTATTTGGACTACATCCGCGGTTATCTCGAAATTGAACTCGCGGTCGTCTCTAAGGGTAAACCTGAAGCGTTGGGGGGAGGTGCCGTTGATTTGACAGTGGTGGCACATCCTCGTGATCTCACGGATTGACTGCTCATCAATATCATCATGCCCGGCACATCTAAGCAGTCGGTGGAGTCTAGCTGTGGCCGGGTGACCGAATCGTCGGTGAAGTCGTCGCAATTCGCGTTCGGTCAGGAATACTCTCGCAGTCTCTTCTTTACCTAGATGGAACCATGCGTGGCCCCATTTACGTACTGCGGGAACGCGAATGTCATCGCGGACGACTTCGTTGGTCTGATTGTTGAAAAACAAGCCTAGCCGGTCCATATCGGCTAGGGAGAGGAGGAACGGGGTCTTAGTGGGAAGAACGTGGAAATCAACGGGCCCGAATGCCGTGCGAATCGCGGTCGCACCGACAGACACAATCCGGGGTCCATCTCCAAAGGAGATGCCTGCCTGGCCTGCGCGGGTGGTATCGAGGGTAGCGCAGTGGTCTTCGCGCTGCCAGGCATGGAATTGGTCTAGGCCAGCGGTTGAAACGTCGGAAGCACCTGTGTCGAGCATGATGCCCTGATAACGCGTTGTGTAACGGTCATCGACAAGGAATTGTTGTGCCGGGGCCTTTTGAGGAGCGCTATAGGCATCTTCCTTAGTCAGACGGTGTAAAACAGCGTAATCTGCGAGGAATGATTGCGTGAAGAACAGCGAGCCAATCGCTGGGTCTTCATCGTCAATTTCATCGGCAGTATCATAGTCAGGGACAGGGTCTCGTCAAGTTCATGACCTTCGAATTCGGCGAGGAACATGGCGAAGTCCGGGGTCGTGTCGGAGGCATTGTGGGCATTAAGGAAATACATCCGTGATTGTTTCCGTTCTTCTATGGTATGCTTGGTAGACCAACAGCCAGCTTTGCCGCAGATGAAGCACACCTTCTTTCTCTGCGGCTGTCGTTTGGGGTTCGCGCTGTTATTGTTGCGGAAGGGGTCTATTCTGTTGATACTTGCGGTCGGTATACCATTGGGTGCTACCGTTGTCCGTGATCGCAAGTTCAATAGAGGCGCGGAGGTCGGCAAAGAGTTGTTCGCAATGGGCGGGGCTTTGTACAAGGCTTGCTTGAGCTCAGGCGTTCCACGGCAAGCGCGGATGACTGCGTTGCGGAGGTTGCTTTCGCCAGCTATTTCCGGCCCAATCGCTCGTTGACACAATTGGAGCTTGTCAAGCATTATATCAAGCACAGCGTGGAGGTCCTTGTCACTGTGCTTGCTACGGACACTGTTGAAGGTGATAGTTGACCAGTCCGTATGGTAATGCTCCAGATTCACGTTGGTATCGAAATGTTGCTTAAGTTGTCGGTAAGCGGCGGCGAACGTGAGGTCTGGGTCAAGATAAAGGTCATAGTAGGTCTTTGCTCGACCTGTAAGGGCGCGGGGGAGAAAGGCGTGTAGCTGACTCTCGGGGACTTCAACCGAACGGCAGGTGGTTAGGAAGTTCCTGATCTTATCGTCAAGGAGATCGTAAGGTTGACCTGAGTAGGTATCTTCCTTATTCCAAATCTTGACGAAGAGGGAGAGTCTGGGCATTGGTCGGGGTGTTCGGCACGTCTCGTGGTGGCAATGTGCGGTATGGGGTGTATTGTGGCGGATCTGACTTGGCTCTTGGGAATCGCCACTGAATTGGGGTAGGTAATAGGGAGCTGGTGTTACCTGGGAGCTATCCTTGTGCGGTGAGGAAGGTGTAGCTCGTCGGAGCGTTTGTAAAAGCGGTTGGGGTGACGGATTGAGTGGCCTGCTGGACAGGTTGTACAGGCGGTTGAATGGGTGTTGGGAGGGCAAAGGGATCGCTGCGGGCACGGGTTGTGCTCCTTCGTCGATGGAGGTGACCGGGGTATCCTGGGTTTCCCAATATTCTTCGGTGACGAGGAAGCGAGAAGATAGTCATGTCGGCATCTTCTCAAGGGGCCAGTGATCACTTCCTTCGTACGAAGATAGTTGACGAATGCAGCTCGAATCGTTGGCTCAATCCTTCCGAAGAGTGCACTATTCCATCCTTCGAAGTGCTCTTGGAACATAATAAGAGTGTCGATTCTTCCTACATTGGCTCTCTCATAGTCGGTCCACGCACGGGCGAGTTGTGTGATCAGGTGGCGTGGCGTTGGCTCTTCATCTGGGTTCACAGGGGTATGCCAGAGGGATAGGTCAATGTCTGACATGTCGATCGGTATGCCAGTATATTTGTCCAGCCATCCTTGCACTCTCTCCTGGCTTGGGGGATCGCGAGCAATATAGATAGTAGGGACGGGGGTATTACTACTGCCTCCCGGGGCACTGCTGCTAGGTCCTGCAGACATAGTGTCGGAGGTGAATTGTAGTAATCAATTGTACTGATTAAAGCACAATCGCGAGGGAGTCGGAATACGTTGCTGACGCAGCTAAGCTATGTCTTTCCTTTCCTTCGAACGGTCGGTGAGTTGCTCGGCGGAACGGCAGTTAGGAATAGCAATAGGTTAGCCGTAGGTTCTGCTTCTTTCTTCCGAACGGCACAGTGAGTTGAAGGCGGATCGGAATAAGGAGTGTCTCCTGCTCTTAGCACAAACTTGTCGTCTTCGAACGGTCGGTGAGTTGCTCGGCGGAACGATTCACGGAGTTTGTCTCTTCTACCCGTAGAGGAAAAGTATCACTTTCTCCGAACGGCACGGTGAATTGCAGGCGGATCAGATCGGCGACTCTTCGTCTACCTTGCTGCTCTGTGGCTCCTTCGGGACCTGGAACCACTGATCAGTGATGGTAGGCACCTATGTGCCTACAGATACGCATGCGCACAAGCTGTAGGCTGAGTCACAGTCACGACAGGTAGGGTAACCGGTGATGACTTCAATTGTAGCTAACTAGGAAGAGGAAGCTATTCACAAGAAACGGAATGTGCACCCGGTAATGGGGGCATGCAGCCGGGGCTGCGTGCCCTGATCGCGGGGTAGGGTGTCACGTGGGAGTCGTGCATGAACCGTGATGGTATCCCGATTGCACGGGTTACTCAGCAGGTTAGTATTCCAACAGTATGTCTAATTGTTGTACGGATAAGTGCGTAAATCGACGTGGTGGGGCTTCGTGCGTTTATGGGGGGAAATTAGGTACATAATCCTACTAGTTAATTGGCGGGGCCGCTATGTACTCTTTTTTGCGAATCAACGGACTTTTTGCTACTCAACGCACCCCCCGTGCATGACTTGACATGCGCGGGAATCGGGACGGATTTTAGTCCCCCCAAGTACAAGGGAGAGGAAGTCACGAAGCTAGCTTTGTGGCCTCAGCCGTACTCAGCCGTACACGTGACTGTGTACGTAAGCTAGCTAGGTGAGTGCAATAACGTAATCTACCCCCTTCCTGGCCACACCCCCTACCTGCTCAAAATTTCCCCACCCAAGCGACCCGTACCTCATGGCGCGACCAACCGAACACAACAGACGGCAATTGATTCCAAGAGACAAACAAGCAAGTAAATTCAGACCTGTCTATCTATTACACGTCCGGGCATTATGTTCAAATGACCTGCATTTACTACACCGTGGTGGTGCACGCCGTCTTGGGACGCACAGCTCTTCTTCTGTCTGCCGTCGGGCCTGCTCCTCGATAAGTTGTTGCCCTGCCTGCTCATCCTCCCTTGCCCTCAGTCGCCTAGCACGTTCCTCTTCCTTTTCTCGCCGTCGCTTTATCTTAGCCGTGCCTTCTGCGACAGACAGAGCACCACCATCACCAATATACTCGCGTCGTTGCTCTCTCTTCCTCTTTCGCCGCTGGTTTTCTGACCGAAGATGTCTGTTTTCGTCGGCGAGCAGCGCGGCACTATGCATGGCCATTTGACATCCTTTGATGAGCTGGTTTATGGCTTGTGAGACCGGCGTGCCCGCATTTTGTGGCCGGCGCTGAAGAAGTCCTTCCACGTGAGTGGTAAGCTGGCTAACATTGCAAGGTGTCTTGTGGGCTTCCAAGCTTTCTGGGGCTTGGTGTGCTTGTCGCCGTCATCGTTGGCATTGTTGTTGCCATTCCTGTCAACCTGAACTAGTAACCGTGACAGAACCCGGGTCGGATTGAATGGGAAAGGCCTGTGGCCATGAATCCACTTCGGATGTTCGACGGGAGAGCGCTTGTCGGCGGGCCTCGATGTACAGAAGCAGGAAGTCCTCTTTATCGATGTGGTTGACCCTGCGAGCATCTTCTCTTGAACATTCCGCCCATATATCGTTTTCAAAGGCGAAAAGCACCCGACATCCAGAGGCTGTAAGAGATGTGAGGAATGAGCTGGCATTTGGAGTACCACGATGGCATTGTCTGTACAGTACTTGTCGAACTCCGGCGTAACATGGCTGCCGTGCCCGTCGAGAATGAGAAGTCGGCGTGTTCCAACGGTACGGCGCCGTGTGTATGGGTCGAAAACTCCCTTCAACCAATGCAATCCAAGGTCGTCGGAAGTCCAACCTTTGTCGCTCACGGCAATCTGCCAGTCCTTGGGCACATCTGCCTCGTACCAGCTTGCTTGGTGCACCTTGCCCTGGAAGATGACCATCGCCGGCAAAGCCCAACCTTGGCAATTAATAGATTCAATTACGGTAACCCATTCTCGATTTCCTGGCTGCATGACCATAGGCCGACCTCGCCGGTCAGACCGAGTAAGGACTCTTGCCGACGCAATGACTCCCATTTGAAAACCCGTCTCATCGAAGTTGTAGACATCCTCATCAAGAATCCCCCATTTCTGTTTCGCCATTGCCACCCGATCGTACCATTCTTGCATCATCTTCGGGTCTTCGCATTTGGCACGTTGGTAATCGTATCGACGAGTATTTCGCCTTGATTTCGTCGTGGCGGCCAACGAACTTCCGCACCCAATTTTCGCCGACAGTTTCTTGGCAGCGCTCCGAAAGCAACAAGTTGGCCATGCGGCGAGTGTAGACCACTGTCGGCGGCATCCCTCGCTCGTCCATCGACAAGACCCATTGTACGAGGGCAGTCTCTTCCGTCGCCGTCAACTTCCGGTTGTTCATCTGCGCGTCGCGTCGGGGCCGGGCACCGCGCAGTCGAGCAGAGACTGTCGATTGAGGGACATCGTATGCCGTCGCGGCCTTGTGGGCGCTGTCGAATTGGCCTTGCTGATAGGCCTTCACGGCGAGCAGGACCCGTTCTTCGCGTGGAATCGATTGGTCTCGAATTTCCGTCATGGTGGTCGGCCTGTCTCGCCATGAGGTGCGGGTCGCTTGGGTGGGGAATTTTTGAGCAGGTAGGGGGTGTGACCAGGAAGGGGGTAGATTACGTTAGACTAATACCATTCCCACACCTGTCAATAAAAAGGAAGAACGTACCAAATTTCTATGGTATCTGTCTAGATGCGGAGGACTTCATTATGTGGGGACATGGGCTCTACTGGCCCTACGCGAGAAGGAGGCTTTATAGGAGGGTCTCGGAAGACATTCGGACCGGGGTTACACGCCTCCCTTCATTCCTTCCTTCCTTCTTCTCCTCCTTCCCCTCATTCTTCTTCATCTTTTTCTCTTCTCTTCATAGATTACCAATACAACAGTCACAGGCATAGCTCTTTAGCACCTTTGATTCGTATTCTCTATCACCCCTGTGCACAGCACGAATACCCACGACCCAACAGTATCGCTACCAAACTAAGATCTTAATTCCAAAGCTCTTTCCTTTCGCAAAGGAATGCGAGAAGGATCTTCCAGGGATACTTATACAAGAAGATAAAGCTCCAGCTCACAACCACTATATCCAGCAGCAGGTGTACGACTTATATAAAGTCCGGCGCCTTCTTTGGTGTGGCAATTCGCCTGATCTTAATGCTATTGAGCCTTGCTGGCCTTGGCTAAAAGAACTACTACGAAAAAGGCGCCCTGAAAAGCCGGGCTGAAGCTATTTCTGCTTGGGAGGCAGCTTGGAAAGAGCTGCCGCAAGAGAAGATAAAAGCTTGGATTGAGCGAATTCCTCGGCATGTGCAGAAAATCATTAAATTGGAAGGCGGCAATGAGTATCAAGAGGGAAGGAGGGATAGTATTAGCAGGGAATAAAGCCATAGAAATTTGGTACGTTCTTCTTTTTTATTGACAGGGGTTATTTTAGCGTCAGCAATGACTATTGAAAGCTTCCTCCGTACATCTGTCCATAATGGAAAATATGGAAAGAACTTTGCCATACGTAGAAATTCAACAAATTCGTTTCACTTTTTAGCGCTTGGGCCGGGGGGCTCCCCACAGGTTTCAGCCCCACCAAATTTGTATACGAAAGGTACCTGGCCGTGCCGGCGTTGTGCGCTGCGTTGTCAGACTGGCAGAGGCGGGCCCGGCTAGATGTACATTCTGTATACAAATTTGGTGGCGCTGAGACCTGTGGGGAACCCCCCGGTCCAGGCGCTAAAAGTCGAACGAATTTGCTGAATTTCTACGGTAATGCGGGTGTGCGTTGTCCATGTCTCAGCTAGATGCCCTGTCCATGTCTCAGCTAGACTCCGAGACAAACCAGATGGCAAACCATCATTGGCCAATGGATACCCACACTGCGGTTAGGGCAAGCGGTGAGGAAATATCCGATTTAAGTGGACACCCTACCGGTAGTCCTTCCTCAATATGTGGGGTAGGACAACACGGCCCTATGTGGTAACACGTCATCCGACACGCCATCGTGTCCCTTCCCAGCCAGCCCTGTTCCTTTTATCTTCAAGCCTCGGAGATATGGGCAAGCCTACCTCATTTTATCTAAACACTGGAAGCTATTTCTTCGGTACAAATATTTTCAGATTCATGGAGCAAATCCTCATCATGGTTCAATACGCGATATCTTTGACCGGATGAGAACTTTTTCTGCTCATTGCGGTCATAATTCTGGTGCAGGCTCGTTGCGCACTTACATCCCCTGAGCATCACACACTTGCGATGCTCTACCCCAATCAGGAATTCGTTTCATTGAAACGCCCACATTGCCTCAGCCGCTCGAACCCTCCCTCAGGCGAAGAGGGGGGAGGAAGCTGACCTGTACACGCTGCGGGGTTGCTAATAATACAACGTGGACGAATGGTAGCTGTCGTAAGCCGAAAGCCGATATAGCGCCACCGACAGGGAGCACCTTAGTCAACAGCTCCATACCTCAACGGTCGGAGCAAGTCGCTCAATGACGGCATTTCCTGATCCAAGATCCAGGGTACGTGTCCAGTGATGTGCCGGAGCCGAGCGTCCGTCGGCAAATACATGGTCAGAGACTGATCATGCTTCATCGAGGCCGTCGAACTATACTCTGCTTTTGTTACGCTTGTCAACACTTCATTCAAACGTTTGAATGACCAGTATGAACAATAATACTACAACCATGACTTGGCCTTTATTATTCACTTTTGAGTTGGATCACATCCAACAAAACGGAATTAATGTGCAGACTGCTATTGTTTTGGGAATGGTGTCATTGTTCTTGGCCTCCATGTCTTTGACACTGCTTAAAGCTGAAGTCAAAGTTCCGTTCGCCGGATATCGAAGCTATTGGGAGCCTACTTGGCTGGTCCGTCTCCGATTTGTGCGAGACGGGCCTTCCATTATTCGTCAGGGTTATCATCAGGTCAGTGATTCATGAGGGAGGCGACAGAATAACCAATTGCGTTGGAAGCTTAAGTGTTGATGGTCTAACGTTTATGCTTCAATCAAGTTCAAGGATTCCCTGTTTCAAGTTCGGCGCATTGGGGCTGACATCGTCATCCTCACACCCAAATATGTTGATGAGATTCGTGCCCTTTCACAGGATAAAGTACGCTCTGTTGAGCCTTTCATCCATGACTTTGTCGGTGACTATACTCGCGGCACGGTTTTTCTGGAGAGCGATCTACAAAACCGAGTGATCCAGCAAAGACTGACCCCAAACCTGGGCCTTCTCACTTCCATCATGAAGACTGAACTAGACCTTGCTCTGAAGAAAGAAATTCCCGAATGTAAAGGTAAGACCCATCGGCCATAACTCTTCAGGGTCATTGTCTTAGTTTGTATTCCCACAGACCAATGGTTTCAGGTTGATATAAACCACCTCCTGGCGCGGACTGTTGCCCACATTTCTTCCAGGGTGTTTCTTGGCCCGGAAGAGTGTAGGAACGAAGAATGGCATACAGCAACGGCCGAGTACAGCAAGAATCTTTTCATCACTGGCATGGCTCTACGGATGCTCCCGCGCTGGCTCCGACCAGTTGTCGCTCTCCTAATGCCTTCCTACAGGGCGCTGCTCACAAACGTTGCAACTTCTCGAAAAATTATCGGCGGCATTTTGAATTCACGCCAGGCTTCTAAGAAGGAGCTGGGGCCGAACTATGCGAAGCCTACGGATATCTTGCAGTGGATGATGGACGAAGCGACTGGTCGAGAGCGATCTCTCGACAACTTGGCCCAGCGGATGCTCATCCTGAGTTTGACTTCAATACATACAACGGCCTTGACGATGACGCAGGCGCTGTATGATCTATGTGCACACCCAGAATATTTCGAGCCGCTTAGAACAGAAGCCGCCAACGCATTGTTCGACGTCGGCCGATGGGACAAAACTCTCCTCAGTCGACTCTGTAAGTTGGACAGCCTTTTAAAGGAGTCGCAGCGATTCAGTCCCGTGTTTCTCTGTAAGTAAGGTGTTTGCATTAAGAATACGGCCAAGAGATAGTTGACATGTTCACAGTGACTTTTAACCGCATCTTTCATAATCCAATGACACTCTCTGACGGCACCTTTCTTCCGCCTGGGACTCGCGTCGCAGTGCCTTCGAATGCCATTCTGCAGGATCCTGCTCGTGCCCGCCCGCTGCGCCCTCCAAATTTGACCCTTTCAGATACTCTAAACTGCGCGAGGATCCGGCTCAAGCGGAGAAAGCACAGCGATTCATGTTCACCATGACCAACTCTAGTAACATGGCCTTCGGATACGGGAGATACGCGTGTCCCGGCCGGTTCTATGCTGCCAACGAAATGAAGTTGATTCTATCTCACCTGCTTCTACGGTACGAATTTAAATTTCCCCCTGGTGCAAAGAGGCCCGCCAATTTTACGATTGACAGCGATATGTTTCCGATCCTGCAGCTCGTCTCTTGATTAGGGAGCGGAAGTCTCTGGATCCCTTCCTATGGAAGCTTACAGGATGAAGCTGAGCCTGGAGCAACGCACAACTCGGCCATTCTTTTAGGCAGTTGCTATGCGGGCCGAACTGGTGTTTCCAATTTGGCAGTCGATGCATTCCATGGGTATGATTCCAGCGGGTGGCACGGGTAGAGGATTGAGTGGAGTGGCTTTCAACCTGGCTGGGTCGGAGCCGAACAGATGTCGAAATCTTTCCCTTTCGGCCCTTCCTCCGTCTCTCAACTGGCTCCGGAGTCCGAGCGAGCCGGGGCCGGCCTGCCGCTTACCTGCCGCAGAAGGAGCGCTTACGACTGCTCTCTATTAACAATTCGCGTTTCTCGCACTTGCAATTGTCTTTCTCCCATGTAATCTCATGTGACGCGCGACCTTCATTGTCGTATATGAAGCGATGTAATATAGATCCATTCTGGTCGTTCCATGTAACGGTCTCAACCAAGTGTGTTGACAACTAGCTGAGCGACTGCAACGAGTACCCATGCACCACCACCTCCCACCTTTTCGCCAGGCAAAAAAACCACCAAAACTTAACTATTTCACTTTCACACAACTTGACCAAAATAAAAGTTATTTGCAAATGGTTGCCTGGTGTAAATTTACAATTGATGTATCTATTGGATTTTAGGGCTTTTGACCGGCCTCCTGATCGTGTGGTGCGCTGAGGTAGTATGGTTTCTTCTCTGACTTCAATAACTGAAGCAGCCTCCGATTCTGGCCCTGACTCCCGAAGAGCTATGGTTCACCACAACATGCTTCTTTTCGCTTCCTTTTTCTGGATTGGCTTCTCCAGAGGCTAGAGCCTCGCTCAGAGTCATGAAACGTTTATTGGGATTCGGAATAGCCTTCCTCTTCTTCTCTTCAGGCGTGCCAGTTCCTCCTCCATGCCAGCAATTCTCGTGACATGCGCCATTAACGTCTGTTGTTGAGTCTCAAAGCCTTTGGCTATCACGTTATACCGTCTCCGTGTCTTTGGTGTTTTGTTTAGCCCAAGATCGCGAATCTGGCGGCTGGTTTTGGTGTATCATCCGAGCCAAAATACGGCGCCGGCTCCGAGTCCTTTTGGGCTGTCATTCCGCCTATCCTCTTGGATTTCTGGGTGCCGTAGAGCTTTGGCTCGCGAAATTGGCCAATGCCAGTAACTCTCCAGCCGGAGAGTATATTCTTCTTCGTCATTCCCACTTCACGAGCCTTGGCGTAGGCTCTGATGAAATTGACCTTATCCATCGGAGCAGAATCAGTCAGGAAGCGAACTTTCCAACTCTCGTCGATATGCAGCTTTGGAGGCGTTGAATACTCCATTGTCCAATGGCTGGAGGCCGTGAGAGCAGTGTGCTGGAAGGTAGCAACAGTAAACGTTGTTCAAAAGCATGTAGCCATCCATTCGTCCTTCTGATGCGTTTTTGCGTGTCCCTACGCACACTGGGGCGTTGGGCACGGCACCAAGCATCAAGGACACCGGCTGCCGAACGCACAGCCATGTGAACAGGCAGCCGTGTGAGACAGGCAGCCGTGTGAAACAGGCAGCCGTGTGAACAGGCATCGGTATGTGGCTGCCTGGTAAACCGGCCGGATCACCTAGATAGTCCGACCTGGCTGCCTTGTTGACTTGGTATGAGACTGACTTGGTATGAGACATGGACCAAGACATGTTTAGGCAGCACTTACAAGTGGTGAGTCACTGGATAGTGGCACGGACGTGCCACTATGTATATATATGTTGAGAGCTGTCAGACAGAATTGAATAGAAGCAAGTTCAATCGCAACAGGTTATGCACCCGGTTGCTTTTATTTTGCTTCCACTGCACGATTGAACTCGGCATATGAGAACACTTTTTCGTCAAGAATCGACGGTTGACAGCAAAGACCCGGCACTATGGGCAAGAAAGACTACAAAGGAACCATCCTTGATGGAAGAGACTCCTTGACAGCTGGAAGATGGATCTTGAAGATAACTTGTTGAGTGACGATCTTATGAGCTGCGTCACCGGTATGGCAACAGCGGAATCGTCAGATTTATCAATGCCAGGAGAGAATGCTGCGGACATTAAAAATGTCTCTCTTGCGAGAATGAAAATACGACAGAGTATTGACCAGATCCACAAGAACTCAGTCAACCATCTCACCGATCCACGAGCAATTTATCAGTCCCTCGTTAAGCGATACGCGATATCGAACAAAGCAGGGAAGACCTGGCTAGCCTCTGAAAAAGCGAAGGCGAGAGAGGCCATGGATAGCAAAGAAAAGGCAAACGCGGTCAGGATCCTGAAGACAGTGGTAGTGAATCTGAGAGATCTACCTACTTGCTTCCGAACACAAAAGTAACAGCCCTCCACAATGGTATCTCGACAGCTGTGCTTCCGTCCATATCACCCCAAGGAAGACCAATTTATCTCAAAGTTGTCCCCTACAAAGACAAGTGTTGAGATTGCAGACGGCTCGAGGTTCGTTCAAGAGGGAAAGGAGATGTGAGGATCTTTACGTCTCACAGAAAGGAAGAGCAAGGTCGACAATAGTACGTGGGGTGCACTACATCCCGGAGGCGACGAGCAGCCTGCTATCAGTCGGTGAACTGGAAGACAGGGGAGCATGTATTGTCGTGGACTCTCCGGGGAAGACAGTCACGGTGACAAGAAATCAGGAGGAGGTGCTGTTTGGCCACAGACATAAAAGGTGTGGCGCTTGAGCCAGACAAGAGGGCACCGAGCCCATACAATCCAAGAAAAGGATGGCGATAACGGGGTAGCGCTGAAGTCAATCCTGAAGATGCCTGAAAGACTACTACATGCTAGGCTGGGACACCCTGGAAAGCATATGGAGGGCAAACTGAACGCCGTAATGGATGATCTCGGAGACAACTCATTCTGCCCGTCATTCTGCTCAAGCTGCACCGAGGCCAAAATGACAAGAAAGGTCTCAAGGGAGCCAATGTCTGCGGTGACAGAAAAGCTAGAGAGAGTCCATATAGATCTTTGGGGGCCAGTTGAGCTATCACTTCAAGGAATGAAGTACATGCTGACAATCACCGATCAGGCTACCGGGCGAGTTTGGGTTTATTTCTCTAGAGACAAAACGAGAATTACCGACAAGATCAAAGCCTGGGTAGTTGTTGCAGAGGCAGAGTGTCGCGAGTACGGAAAAGGCGAAAAGGTCAAGGCGATGCGCTTTGATCGCGGAAAGGAATTTCTAAACGAGGCAATGAAGGTATTTTGCACGGGAAGAACTATTCGGATCGAACCAACAGTGGGCTACCACCCGAGGGGAATAGTATCTCTGAGAGGAGCATGAGAACCATATCAGAGAGGGGTCTGCTATGCGTCACGAAATGGACCTCCCGGCAGCATACTGGGAGTTTTCGAATGCAACAGCGGCCTATCTGAGAAATAGGGGAGTTGTCAAGGGAATGGCTAAAAGCCCATGGGAGTTATGGCGTGGAGAGAAGCCAAGATCAGGGCACTTGAGAGTGTTCGGATGTCCTGCCTGGGTATTTATTCCCAAAGAAAAGAGAACAAAGCTTCTGAAAAGAGCATGGCAAGGAGTTTTTGTTGGATACAAAGAGGAGACAGATAAAATCTATCTAGTCTGGAACCCAGCTGATAAGAAGGTCCACGAGGTTCGATTCGTGGAATTCGATGAGAGCAAGTATATGGACAATGAAATCAGCCAAGAATCACAATCGCAGTATGACGATGAGAAGGAAGAGAAAAGGAGCAAGGGAGCTCACTGATGATGACTCTGATGCCGAAGATTCGGTCGGGGATAGGACTACGGACCAGGAAGCTACAGAAGCTGGGAGGATGCCGGAGAAGCAGCGGATGGGAACCCGACCGACCAAGACACTGCAGATTCGGAGGAAGAGCTCCAAGGAGACACAATCATTGTCAATACAGGGGAGGCGGATATAACCTCTCCTGAAAGGAGTCTGCCGAAAACAAGATCCCAGATTCGACGAGAGGCCGTGGCACTCAAAAGAGCAGAGAAGCAGCGAGCAGAGCTGGAATGGCGGCAAAGAGAAGAACAGCGCATGGCAGAACGTCTGAAGAAGCGAGGGGAGAGTGGCAGGAAGGAAAGAGCCATGGTAGCAAGGACGCTTCTCCAGCCTAATACAGACCTGTACGACTTCGACCCGAAAAAGCTTACCTTCCGACAGGCGATGGAAGGCAGTGAGAAGGATCAATGGGTAGGAGCTATAGATGAGGAAGTTCAGAATCTCATTCGACGACAGACATTCTCGGAGGAAATCAACGAAGTTGACGTGCACGGAGAAGAAGTAGTTGATGCCAAGCTTGTGTTTGATCACAAGAAAGACAAAGAAGGAAGATACTACGGTATAAAGCACGTCTAGTCGCGAGAGGGTTCACACAGAAACACGGGATCAATTACGAGGAAACCTTCGCACCCACGATCCGGCTCGATGCGATGAGGATCATTCTAGCTTTAGCGGCGAAGAAAGGCTGGAAGGTATACCAGATGGATGCTGTGGCTGCGTTCCTTGCAGCAGACCTAAAGGAAAGGATCTTCATGAAAGTGCCAACTGAGCTCCAGCAATATTTCGGGAAATACGTTCAGATCCTGAAGAGTTTGTACGGATTGAAGCAAGCAGCAAGGATGTGGTATTTGCTAATATCAGAATATCTCAAGGAGATTGGTTTCTCACCGATGACAGTGGATCCGACAATATTCAGACATACAGAGTCGGGGGTAATCATCGGCGTGCACGTGGATGACTTTATGATTACAGGGGGGGACGAGGTTGCCATTGAACGGGTCAAGGAAAAGCTGAAGGGAAGATTTGAGATGAAAGACCTCGGAGAAGCAGAGAACATTCTCGGAATTCGGATTCAAAGGCACAATGGAAAGCTGATGATTGATCAATCACAATTTGCGAAGGAAACCGTGGCAGAATTTCTACGACGACTCAATGAAGCACGCAACCCCATGGAACCTGGAGCTATACGGAAGCTCGTTGAGGAACCGGACGACCTCTGAACCATGACGAATGGTTGAAATACGTGGAATTGCTCGGAAAGCTGATTTGGCTATGCAATACGAGGTTCGACATTATATTCGCAGTTAACAGAATGGCATCTTTCACGGTAGAGGCATGCTGGAACCACTGGAAGGCTTTGCTACGAATATTGGGTTATGTCAGCAGGACTATTCACCACGGTATCACATATGGCGGAAATAATGAGCACGCACAAGGAGTCGAAGGCAGCGATATCGACTATTATTCCATTGACCACAACATCGAAGGGCACGTCGGCTCTGCAGGCCTACAAGATGGGGAAGCGTTCTCTGACACCGACTACGCTACTGATCCAAGGGACCGGAAGAGTATCCTGGGGTTCGTCTTTATGGTCTACGGAGGCGCCGTCATGACGTATAGCAAGAAGATGAAATCAGTGGCAAGATCTACGACAGAAGCAGAGTATGTTGGGATGGGGAGGCCACAAAGCTGCCCTCTGGGGACGTCGACTACTTGCAGAACTGGAAGGAAAGGGGAGCAAACAGTGCCATTACTGCTTGGAGATAATAAGGAGCTGTACAGCTGACCCGAGGAGTATCGAACACGTCGAAAATCAAGCATGTTGATATAGCATTTCATCACGTCGTTGATGAGGTCAAGGAAGGAGAATCCAAGTGTACTGGGTTCCAGGGGAGAATATGCTAGCAGATGGGATGACCAAGCCTCTGCCTAGGAGGCTTTCGAGAGGAACAGGAGGAGGATTGGAATTGGACCCGTACGCTATGAATAGCGTTGCCATTGTATTAGTTGAAGTCTGACAGCTCTAGGGGAGTGTTGACTTGGTATGAGACATGGACCAAGACATGTTTAGGCAGCACTTACAAGTGGTGAGTCACTGGATAGTGGCACGGACGTGCCACTATGTATATATATGTTGAGAGCTGTCAGACAGAATTGAATAGAAGCAAGTTCAATCGCAACAAAGTTATTTAAGTATAATTGTGTTACTGTCTAGATGCGGAGGACTTCATTATGTGGGGACATGGGCTCTACTGGCCCTACGCGAGAAGGAGGCTTTATAGGAGGGTCTCGGAAGACATTCGGACCGGGGTTACACGCCTCCCTTCATTCCTCCCTTCCTTCCTTCTTCTCCTCCTTCCCTCATTCTTCATCTTTTCTCTTCTCTTCATAGATTACCAATACAACAGTCACAGGCATAGCTCTTTAGCACCTTTGATTCGTATTCTCTATCACCCCTGTGCACAGCACGAATACCCACGACCCAACACTGATCAGTGGTTGAACGTCTGTTTAACCACAGAAAGTTAGGTATCGAAAAGCATCCCCGTTTCCTCGAAGAATTCCCTGCGAGACCTATTTCTATAGGTTGCACCACAGTCCCGAGAGAGGAAGTTTGCAAGTGGAAGAGAAAGACCCGATTCCTTGAAGAATTCCCTGCGAGACCTATTTCTATAGGTTGCACCACAGTCCCGAGAGAGGAAGTCTATGCTACACACACGACAAGAACCGACTAGACCAAGCCGGTAGGAAAGCCTTGACATCACAACAATCAACATGTCACAAGGACAAACAGAAGGCATAAGGGTTATACAACCTCAAGAAGATGTACGCCTACGCCAACCTATTTCTGCTCAGGAATTTATGCGCGGAACCGACTTCGCGGCCGATTTTTCCGCTATAGACCCTCAGCTTCGATTCAAAGATATCTCAGTCGATAATATAACGGAGATACATGCAACCACGTACGCAGCTAAGGCCCTTAAAGCCTATACTCTTGAGAAGATGTGGGATGATGAAGTCTTCCATGCTTTCCAACAAGACTTTGAAGGATGGACGCTAGACATGTTCCTTATGGTTGAAATTTCATACCGGCGGGAGCTCCGCCGGGTTCTCCGCCGAAAGGGAGTATATACTGGGACGAACCACCAGCGAATCGAACGATCCTTGATTAAGCTACTCGAAGCCGACAGTTTCCCTACTTGGGACCCCGAGGAATTCACAAAACAGATATTTGACGTACGATCAAATGCTTCCTGGCAACAACAAGCCCTCGCAACGCCTTCTTCCCGAGAGAATATCCAAAATCCGACCCAAGACCAGTCACCAAGGGACCAGCCTACAACCCAAGCCCAGGCTTTGCAACAGCAGCAACAGGTTGTTTCAAGGACCCCAGAGGCCTCCCGAGCAAGCCCAACAGATGACCCCCCAAGGAACCTTATTCCAAGCCCCATTTTCCCAGGAAAGCTTTCCCCAAGACATCCCCACTCAACAGACCCAGACGAAGTCTATTCCCCAAGCCCCCTTACTACAGTCATTTCCTTCAAGGCAGACCCAGCCTGACGGGCATCAGCCGTACAAGGCCCTGCCCCCTCGTTCCGTTCCGAACGAACGGCTTGACCCCGCCGTTTCTGCCCAGTTTCTAAAGACCTTTGACAAAGACCAAAAGTACACAGGCGAGCCCTACGACCTCCTTGACGATAAGATGAAGATCTTTTTCAACATCTGCTTCCATGCACAGATCCGGGAGACCCAATTCTATGCGGTATTTCTAGGATTCTTAACGGACGAGCAGAAACCTTCTACCTTCATTACGTCGATCAAGACGATACATTTGCAATAGCGTATCACAAGGTTAAGACGCATTTCGACACCGATGTTAACCATCATCACTATTACACCGACTGGACAACTGCTACCTTCGATAGGGTCCGTAGGGAACATAGTGATAAGACCCTACATCAGGTTCTTCAGCTGCTACTTGATAAGCTACAGCTTTGCCAGAGGGGCCCTAGGCCCTGAGTATCGAGGGGAGGATAATTTACGTACTACAGTTATCCGAGCCTGCCGAGGAGTCATAGAACTTGAACACGCATTGTTCAAGCCTGCCCGCGTGTGCGAAGAGCTTTTTGCTGATTTACGGTCTTCAATCGAGACCTCTATCAGTAGACAAGCTATATATACAACCTCGACGGACAGCTACTACATGGACCGACGGTACAATCAGTACGGTAGGAACCGCGGATATTCCTCTTTTCGGCCCCGAGGGAACCCACAAGGTAGCCGAGATCAGAAACGACAGTGGACGAAGAAGTGCTTCGTTTGTGGAAAGCCAGAATGTTGGTCAACGAGGCATTCCGACGAAGAAAGACGTAAGTCACGAAGCCAGTATATCTCACAATGCCACTTCAGTGGGTCTACGGCCACAGCTACGGACTACGCTGCCTACCTCACGGAATATGAAGGAGCCGATACGGACGAGGAAGCCGACTTTGACCCTAGTGACCCGTTTGACGACGAAGACGAAGACCAGTTGCAGGACGTAACGCAGTTCCTTACAGACCAGGCTTTCTTGCACCAAGTCACCGGAGAAGACATCTACGCCGATAATGCCCCAAAGACCCCATCCAACCAGTTCCTTATTGAGGACCGGTATGCAGGACGCTTCAAGGCATCCTTCCAGATACCGGTGCAGCCAACGTCTCGACTGTCGGTATGCAACAGTATCTTGCGCTGCAGCGGGAAGATCCTTCCGTTGCTATAGATAAATCGACAGCCGGAAGAGCTTCCATCACGTTCGGAAAAGGAGAGTCAACATCGTCTATAGGGAATGTTAACGTACGAACAGCTATTGGACAGATCGACTTCCAGGTCCTCAACGCTCCGACCCCTTTGCTTTGCCTTGCAGACATGGATAGGCTGCACGTCTATTTCAATAATACCACAGACGAACTTATCCAAGGCGAGACCCGCATCCCTATTATACGCAAATGGGGACATCCTTGGTTTCATCTTAGCAAGCAAGAACAGAGCCTTTTTCTTACAGAAGGGGAACTACGTCGCCTACATCGCCGTTTCGGGCACCCCGCTACAGATCGCCTATTCAAGCTGCTAACCCGGGCCGGCCACGAAGTCGAACAGCAACGGCTAGAGGAAATCGGCAAATTCTGTCATCACTGCCAACTACACGGACGAGAGCCTCGTAGGTTTAAATTCAGCCTAAAAGATGACCATGAATTCAACTATGAAATTCTTGTCGATGTGATGTACTTAATTAGCCGCCCTGTCTTACATGTCGTCGATTCTGCTACTGCTTTCCACGGGCTAGGTTCCTGAAGTCCCTATCAACAAAGGACACTTGGGAAGCCCTCCGCTGCTTATGGATCGATACGTACCAAGGACCCCCGGACGTTGTTACCCACGATGCAGGTACGAACTTCGCCTCAACGGAATTTCAAACCGAGGCCAAGATGCTAGGGATTACCTGTAAGGAAGTCCCTATTGAAGCCCATTGGTCTATCGGCAAGGTTGAACGGTACCACGGCCCTTTGCGACGAGCGTTTGAGATTATGTACGCAGAGCTCTCAAGCCAGGCAGACGCAGATTCGATCCTCCAGATGGCCGTTAAAGCAGTCAACGATACCGCCGGACCAGACGGACTTGTACCTACCCTTCTTGTCTTCGGGCTTACCGAATCACCGCCGATTCGCCGCCGAATCCTCGGTAATCCGACGCGGTGAGGTCGTACGCAAAGCTATGAAGGAACTACGCAAGTTTATGGCCAACCGGGACGTTAAAGAGGCCCTAGGCACACGCAATGGTCCAACAACTATTGACGTTCTAAACCTCAAGTTGCAAAGCGAGGTATGCGTTTGGCGGGAGAAGGTTGGCTGGCGAGGCCCTATAAGGTTATAAGTATAAAAGACCATGATATCACGGTTGATATGGTTAACGGACCAACGACCTTCCGATCAACTGTCGTGAAGCCGTACTATAAGGACGATAACTCCCTGCTGCCCCGGCACGGACGAACAACCTCGGAAGAGAGGACGCCCGCTTAGATCGACGAATGCACCCGCAGCTCAGACAACGGAGCCCGCAGCCCAGACAGCCGTAAAGCCGCCCACAGGACCACGCAAGCGAGGTCGACCCCGGGATCGAAAATAAGAAGCATAGCTTGTACAACGCCCAGACCTTCCTACAGAAACGGAAATGGACGATATTGCCCTTGCCATTAAGCTTCGAGACGACGGCGTCATTACAACGCCAGGTGCCCCGTTTGAACAGTCCGATCAAAAGGAAATCAATGACCTCATCGGAAGGGGGTATTTACCTTCGAGTTATTCGACCCGACCAAGCATCGAGGAACACGGATTTTCAAGTCACGATTAGTCCGAGAAGTTAAAGGAAAGTATATAAAGCCGTACGAAAAGTCTCGCCTCGTAGTCCAAGGCTATAACGACGACGAGAAGAACACTCTTTGACCCAATCGCCTACCATCCAGCGGGCTAGTCAAAGACTAATCATAGCCCTTGCCCCAACGCTCCTTACGTCCGGTATGTCCCTCGAACTAAGGGATATATCACAAGCCTATACGCATTCAACGACAGGACTTGCACGCCTAGTCCTAACCTATCTTCCCATCGAACTACAGGATAAGTACCCAAAGGGACTATCATCCGGATCGTCCGCCCTCTTTATGGCATTGCAGAAGCAGGCCTACATTGGTTCGCAACATACCACAAGCATCATAGGGAGCAGCTACGGATGTCGACTTCAACGTTCGACCCATGCCTCCTTATAACGAACACGGACCCCAACCAAGCGTTTGGCATAGTGGGCATGCAGACGGATACACCCTGATCCTCGGAACAGCAGGCTTTTCTGTACACGAAGAAAACAAGATACAAGAAGCTAAGTTTATCGCCAAGCCAAAGACAAAGCTTTTAATTTCTTCGGCCCTAGACTTCAACGGCTGTACGCTTGCACTAGACGAAAAGGTCGAATTCACCTTAAGCAGAAGGGACAAGCTAAGAAAATCGCCCTTATTAACGTGGAAGCTTCTGATCGTATGCAAAAGTACATGGAACAACGCGCCCGAGGAGCCTATATCGCCTCAATCTGCCAGCCAGAAGCTACGTGTGATATGTCAACCGCGGCACAGGTCCAACAGCCCACAGACACGGACTGCATCACCTCAACAAAAGACTCAAATGGCAACAGGACAACCTACAAAGAGGATCCAATACGTGCCCCTAGACCTACAGACAGCTAAACTAATGGTCTTTACGGATGGATCATTTGCCAACAACAAGGACCTCTCATCACAAATCGGCTTTCTTGTTATGCTTGTTAACGAAAACAAGAAAGCTCCGAGGATGTTCCTTCTTTTAACATTAACGGCAATTTGATCCATTGGAGCTCTACGAAGTGCAAGAGGGTAACCTGAAGTGTGCTTGCCTCCGAGATCTACGGCATGACCGACGGATTTGACATCAGCCTTGCTATTGCAACGACCCTAAGAATGATCACCGACCGACTGAATCTCCTCCAATCCCCTTATCGTCTGCGTAGACTCTTATTCCCTTTACGAATGCATTGTCAAGCTCGGCACAACAAAGGAAAAGCGTCTTATGATTGACATTATGGCTCTACGGCAGTCATATGAGAGACGGGAGATATTAGAAGTCCGATGGATCAACGGCAACGACAACCCAGCTGATGCAATGACGAAGGCGTCACCAAACAAGGCCCTTGAGCGCTTCATCTCGACTAACCAGCTGACTATCCGGGTAGAAGGGTCAGTCCATAGGCCAGTGTGAAACAGAGCGTCTCCTTGCCTTTTGACTTCTTTCCTTCCTGGCCACTAGATTATCAACCAGCTATATTGTTACCTTTGTCTTTCCTTGAAAGAAAAAGTTGCTAGTGTCTAGATGCGGAGGACTTCATTATGTGGGGACATGGGCTCTACTGGCCCTACGCGAGAAGGAGGCTTTATAGGAGGGTCTCGGAAGACATTCGGACCGGGGTTACACGCCTCCTTCATTCCTCCCTTCCTTCCTTCTTCTCCTCCTTCCCCTCATTCTTCTTCATCTTTTTCTCTTCTCTTCATAGATTACCAATACAACAGTCACAGGCATAGCTCTTTAGCACCTTTGATTCGTATTCTCTATCACCCCTGTGCACAGCACGAATACCCACGACCCAACAGAAGGGGCTATTTATACAGGAGGCCTTAGGGAGTTCTGGACACCTCCTGGGTACGGGGCTCTACCCATGCATACTTGGCTGTGCCCACGCATAAAGGGGTTGCCTTCCTTACTCAGGAAGTCCTCATGCGTTCCTGCTACATGGGCCAGGAATCCCCTCTCCGGGTCCCTCCCTAACAGGGCTGCCCTGGTCCACCGACAGAAGGATATCAAAAGGCTTTAGTGAATCGGTAAGGGCATGGCCAACAGTGCCAATTTTCAATATATATTTAAAACAACCAATGGAATCGGCGATACGCCCCTGCAGGCCCTCGTCAACGCGTGTCAGCAGGTGCTCCTAGGGAATCATAATGCGGTACCACTGCGTTTGGATAAGTCGGCACAGAATAATGCAAGTGCATTACCGTACGGCCGCCAGTAGACGTAGGCTGTGTTGTTACCATGGCTTGGCCGGGACTGTCGTGCATCGAAGGGGACGGTTGCCCGCCATAGACGCAGCCTTGTCGCGTGGTGCTCGCGCGACTCAATGGGGTTGTCGGTGGATACGGAGAATGAACAGCCGATGCCATGACTGCGGTAGCCACGCCCATGTGATGTTGATAGCCGTACGAGGACGTCACGAGCTGCGACGGCT